GCAATTTTATAGCTAACAGAAGGATAAAATGGAAGCACGACAAGGTCATTAATATTATTTCTAACAGTGGAATGTCTTCTTTGATGGGAATCTGAAAATTTTTTAACGGCTTTATCAATAATCACGAGAGAAAATCCACGGTCAATCGCAACTGCTCTCAAATAATTAAGTTCATTGGTAACACACAAGTTGCTATCGCTGTGTATTGGAAAACTTTTATATGCATCCTCAAAAGTCTTTTTAATTTGTTCTTTGCCGTAAATCGAATTTTGCTAAATATTTCATTTCTGTGCTACGCATTTAGTCACGCGTGATTATTAAGATCTTTCGCAGATACTATATATTTTTAATTATATTACTTTTCCTGATTGATATCCAAGTTTTTTCTATTATTTTACATGTTATCAAAAAAAAAATTTTTTTTGATAAAATATTTTTGTGGAGCATATGCTCAGTAATGAGGTCTAATGTTATCAGATGCTGATTTTGGAGAAGTCTGATGGTCTGGATGAGACTCAAGAATAGTGTGATGCTTATACTGTTGCATAATCATGGATACTTCCTTTTACGGAGTGACAAGTTTATATTTATAAATGAAATTGTCTCAAATATAATGGAAACATGTAAACTATGATTATTGTAAAACTGCATTTGGATATTGGAAATTTAGGCCTGGTGTAAAAGACCTTCAGGAGTTGCTGACAGCTAAACCTCCTAAGCTGTCATTACATCAAATTTTAATATTTTCTAAATTTTTAATAAGACGTATATGTTTTATATCTTTCAGTTATGTAGTTATTACATAAATTTTAACAATCCACTTTCTTCAATTATTTTCTTTAAAGCATGTGACTTTTTAAAATTCATAATTTTGCGTTGGCATTATCAAGTTTGATTTCCCCGGCACCAAACAGCCATGGTACCAACAGCCACATACCTTATTAAATTGTGGAAAGAAAAATTATAGATTCACTTGGTCCACGGAAACGATCACGGCTTTTGAAAAACTTAAATTTAGCATTAATCCAAGTCTCAATCTTGAAATTTGCTAAAGAGGATGACAAGTTAGAAATCGCAGCAGTGGAATTGATTTCGCTGTAGGAGTCATGCTTATGCAAAATGGTCAACCGGTAGCATATATTAGCAAAACACTTAATTTAACTCAGAAAAATTTTACCGCTACCGAGAGACAGAAACACTGAAATCCTGTCTGCCATTCAGAAATTTCTACTTTGTTAAGGAACCTATTACCTTTTATACAAAACAAGGGCACCTAGAACGTCTGTATTCTGGGAAAAATCTCTAACCCTGACTCTTAAATGGGCTCTTAAATTACAAGAAAATTATTTAAGAATTAGAATTACTACTAGGAAAGATAACTCAACAGCTACTCAATCAAGAAATAAATTAAACGACCAGGTGAAAGAATTAAAATGTTCTATTTTAAAATTTTTTAAATTCAAGAAAACAGTGTATCAGAACTACAAATAGACACAAAACTTAAATACATCTATGTTTATTTGAAGGATTCAGATCACTCTGAACATCGTGGCATAATAGTTGTTAGGGACAGGCCACAATCTATGAAATTAATGATTACCTACAGTTTTATTCGAAATGAGCAAATTAGAAAAATAAACTAACGAGCGATTATCCTATCCTAGCAAATTTAAATATTTTACAGGAACCACCACTGTCAGGTAATTTCGGAAGAAGAAAAGCAGTTCAGAGAGTAAGGAAAGCTGCTTATTTTCCACAACTACAAAGATTTGTAACTGAATATGTGAAATCTAGTAGCGTTTTCCAAACAGTTAAAGATATAAATAATAGCCTGAACGCGTACCTAAATAACATAAAAGTCCCATTTCCTACCTGGAATACCATAGGAATTTATCAGTTAGGTTCTTGCCAGTGTAGTGGAAAAAAATAAAAGCAGATATTTCCTCTTGATTGTTGATCACTTTTCGAAGTGGGTGGAGATGATTCTCCTTAGAAGGCTACCCGCGAAAATTGTTGGAGATTCGTTTTTAAATAAAATTATATTAATATACAAAGCTCCAGTAAAAGTAATCAGATAATGGTCCGCAATTCGTATGTCAAAATTTTGAGGAAATAAGACGTGTCTTGACATTTTAATAATGGGCCTTTATCGACCATAATCAAATATCGCAGAGCCGTTGAATAGAAAGATAGTTAAAACTAACCACTGTCATGTATGAAATTAACCAACAAAGCTGGAATAGTTATGTTAATGAATTCTCTTATATACTAAAATCAGCTAATTACGATACCAGTGGTAAAACACCGGCTGAATTATTTTTTAGAAGTTGATTGCGCCTTCTGATAAACTACTTTGTGCGAAAAATGACGTTATGAATTTAAAATGGCAAACTTTCAGAAACGGTGAATGAGAGAACGTGCAATTCAGATACGGCTTCTTAAAAAGCAAAAAATTTTACAACCGTAAGAAAAGGAGTGAAATCGATTTTAAGGTGGGGTTTAAGGTTATAGGGTTCCAACCTTGAAGTTGCAGCTATGTGTGTGGAACGTTGAGAACTAGTAAGCGAATAATCGCTTTAGCTCTGGAAACAGAAACGTAAACTCAGGAAGGGTTAATTATCGTTTATTGTTAAAAATAAGGTTTAACATATGGCCCTTTTCTCAGGACGTACAGAAAAGCATCCACTTGCGCTTGAGCTCAAAAGTACTAAGAAAATCAAACTTAACTAATGCTTCTATCAAAATTCTACAGGACTTAGCCCCTAAATGTTAATTAAACGGCGAAGCTATCAAGAGCCTGAAATACAGCCGAGCATAGTAATAGCTTAGAGAGAGTGTAGCCAAAAGGCAAACGCGCGCGCTAGTCAGAATCTTTGGCTCTCTCTTAACAAAGTCTGTGGAACTTCTACTTAAGTACCGCTCTTCCTTCATTTGCATTAACCGCGATTCTAAAAACACACTCTGGCAGGAAATTTGTAAGCTGAAATTAGAAGGGACCGGAAAGAAGTTTTAACTAAAGATAACTTTTAAAAACTTAGGATAAACCGTACAAGATTTTAAAAACAAAGTATTTGCTTTGTGCACCAGAAGAAAAAGTAGACAAATTCAGTAATAAATTCGAAAGCCCTTATTTAATCAAGAGAATCAAAGAGACAGTATTGTATTCAGAAGGAAAAGTGAATCGATAAGAAAAATGTGGTTTAGGTAAAGGAATGCATCAAGCAGGCAGACAGGCCACTCAGGAGCGCTGAAAGGCCCCGGAGGACGGTCTAGGAAGCCACTTGCAGATTCGGATTCCAGTAGAAAAAAAAATAAAAGTAAAAAATTCCGGGAACTGATGAAAAGTGAAAAATGCCTAGATTATATGATTCGTCAAAAAGGAAAGCTACAGAGGAGGGGGTGCAAGAAGGAGGAAAACATTAAGGAACAGGCCAAAGGTTCCAAGGTAAAGATCAAGTATCTATATGATGTTGCGACCATCCGAGTAACATACAATGGTTGTTTGAAAAACGGCGGGGGAAAAAGTATAATATCAGCACGAAGCCAGTCAATACGACCGGCCAGTTACGGAGAAACTGACGCTGCAATAAATCGCCAGAGAAGGAAGCATCACGAGGATACCAGCAGCACCAGAATATGACGGAGATCAGAAGCAACTGAGGATAATCAAGGACCGAACCCTTAAACGGAAATGGCCAGAAGATGATCAGGATAAGTACTAGCCCCGTAGACGAATTCGAGTGAACAGAACCATGACCTATCCAACACGGAGCGAATTTATAGAAGGCAAAGTTGGCTGATTTCTACAAAAACAGAAGATAAGGGAAGTACAAAAGATGAACAAAAGAATAGAAGTTTATTTTATGTATGTTAATATATGTGCACGAATTATATGCTAGTATACATTTGTTTTACCTGAAGCTAAGATATATAAGTTAAGTCCAGCCTAAGAGGGTTTTTTTTTAATGTATTCATCTACTTTTAAAACTTTGCGTTTCTGTGTCAAACACGATCATGTTACTTTAATCGAAAAAACTGTAAATGGTAGAAAAATTACGTTAAGTTAAAACTAAGTGATTCTTTGAAGTGTAACATAGTTAATGAACTTTAATATCTTGAGTGCATGAATAATATAAGTTAAGAACTAATGTATTACAAAAGCAAAATGTGTTGCTGATATCATGTATTGTAAAGGAAAATTAAAAGCTAGGATACTGTTATTTAAGAGTTAGGCTCTCCAGTCAACACTTTAAAGTTAAATGAAATTTAAGTGCAGAACATTAGGCATAGATTCTGAAATAAGGTGTCTTTTAGGTTTAGTATGTCTAAAGATTCTAACTATGCAGGAATTCAGTTAACAGGTAATTGTGAAATACTTCAATTTGGCACATTGTTTCACCCAGCACAAAATGGAGAGAGGGGTGATAACAAGGTTAAGAGGAAAACAGAAATTGTAGATGTTATTCCCTTACCTGCATGCTTATATATATCAAGTATTCTCTGTTAAATTATTTTTCCTTTCAGATTTCTGAAAGGAGATATGAGACAAAGGTTGCGACGGATCTGAAAATATAAATTTTAAAGCGTAAGCGTAAGAATTAATTTTTACTTAAATAACACTTTGTAAGGACATCTCAAGCTTTTATGTTAGAATTTAAAAATCTTATAAAAAGGTCATTAAGACTTTCGTCTTCGATTAATTTAAATTCTTGTGGGAAACACTGCAATGATTTTCTCTGACCTTGGAATTTCATTAATCAAAATATCCGCGCATAAGACCTGACCAAATTTTAGACCAAACATTTAGCTATAAAAGTCTGGGTTTCGAGTAAACACGGCATATAAATTTTAGAATAATGTTATTAGTTTTTGGCTAAACTATGGAATTCTATATTATGTTTCTCTGTACTATTTGTTTCATTTCTTAGTTGCTGATTTTTGAAATAAAAAAAGAATTTTTCGCTTCTTATTAAGTTATTGTAATTTATTGTTTTTAACAGGAAGGGACTCCTAAAGAATGGCGATTGCGGAGCGAAAAGAGAATGGCGTGGAACCCAAGGAGTTTACAGATATCATTGGAGGTCATGGTCCTTGGCAGCTTGGCATCTTTACGTTCTTTTTCTTTTGCTCCGCGCCTCACTGTATGCACAACCTCATCATGACTTTCTTCGCTCCTAATGTAGAACACTGGTGTGCAAGATCCCCAGAGGTAAAATTCCTTTGACATATGATACGGCTAATGCGAATGAAAAGCTCTGAGGTGGACATGAAGGAAATAAGAAGATAGGGCCGAAGGCTATTTTTCTAAAAAATGCTTTCGTTTCAACCGCATCGCTGTCAAGATCTTTTGCACTTTGTTGCCGAATTTCAGATAAAAAATTTTCAGTCTTTTGTCTGAGCATAATTGAAAAAATTGAAGTAATCAAAGTGGAATGGTGAATTCTTAGTAAATTCTTTATTCCTATTATATTATCAAAAATCAACCATTTCAACAAAAGTATTTCCCTTATTTATAATATTTACTAGCCATATTACTGCAGTTATCCCTATTCACAAACTTCAAGTATTGTGAATAGGGATAACTGCAGAGAACCCTCATAATGAGACAAACGCGTTAAGAAATACACATTTCAAAGTTTTTATAAATTGCATTTTAAGGGCAAAGCACATGATATTTCAAGATTAATAGAAATGATTACATTGCACTTCTTCTTATCTGACATCTCTATAACGAGTTCCATTTTTGTTTTATCCATTATGACAAAGCATGTGATAGCAATTTTACTAAGAAATCGATGTTTTTAAGCAGGACTTTCCAAGGGAAACCGGCTAGTACTCACTTTACACACAGGAAAAACCGCAAGACTTAGTCAGTTGTCAAAAATCAGAGGAATTGACTGATTTGTTCAGCAGCTATATATGCCCTCCATTTGAAATCATGCTTTTTTTATTTATCTATGTTACTGTTTATGTATCTTAACCAAATAAATGCACTTCTATTTCATCGTACATGTCAGAAGAGGTTACTTATTATAGCAATATGCATATGGTTCTTTCCTCGTATTCTTCAAACTACATATTCTTTCTGTATATTCTTAGTCTATTTGTACGCAAAATCAAGGCGATTCCTTCTCTAAGCTTTTCAACTTGAATTACAAAGCTTCTAAGAGATTCAAAACTAAATGCACCAGATGCTTGTCCTGGTTACCTATAGACAAGTTTGCCTTATAATTGAGATATAGCTTTCGTAAACTAACACACGGATTTGATTGTATGAAATGCGAACTGCTACAGTTTTTGCAGAATAACTCTCTATCATTGATGCATTAGCAACAGCTTTTGTCCTGGATTAGTACTGCACTCACTTAGCCTTCTAAACGCTAAGGGAGTAAATGACGCAAATACGTAAGAGCACCTGATATTTACTGTGCTATTAAAAAATACCTAGCAAAAATATAAAAGGGACTTAAATAAGTAAATTTTTTTAATGGATGCATACGCTGAAATGGTGCATTGAGGTAGTATGGGCGCTATTAAAGGGTAGGTAAAAGCGCTGTGCTCTCTTGAATTTTCAGAAAGCCGCTCAGATTTCGAGCTACGCAAATGCAGAATTTACTGGAATGCATTATTCTCTGTTTTATCTGTAGGCTGCGAACGGAAACGGAACAACTGCACAGAGAAGATACTAATGAAATAGTTTGTAACCTCATTTAAGCAGATGTTCTATTTTAACTGAGATCTCGTAGGTAAAATAAATGCATGTCGGTAAGCTTCGCATTCGTGTAGCGATCATACCGCTCAGAATGAGCACAGAAAAAGATAATTTATGCCAGCAGAATGTCTGTACATGCTGCTGAACAGAGCTTTGTACCACGTCAACGCCCCATTTTGGTATACACGTTCCGTTGTAAAATATGCTTACTAAAGTTCCCTCTAACTGCCTTTACACATTGACGGAAAAAAGATCATAACACCAAGAAAACATTATTGTAGAATAAACGAAATTTCGGCAATCATTTGTCTAGGTAACAACATATTTATCTGATTAAATTTTGAAGATCACAAATTAATGTAAGCGTGAGAAGAGCCATTTCAACTATGGAATGCTGGTACATTAATAACCGGTGTTACCGCCAGAATTTTGAATGCAAGCATGCAAATGTGCATGCATTGTGTTTTACAGGTACCCGATGTCAGTTTATGGGATGAAGTTCCATGTCTGTTGCACTTGGTCGGTCAATAAATGGACAGTTAATGCTGGTTGGGGATGACGCTGGAATTATCTGGCAACGATGTCCCATACGTGCTTGATTGAAGAACGATATATTGATCTAGCAGACCAAGGCAACATATCGACACTCTGTAGAGCATGTTGGATTACCGCAGCTGTATGAGGGTGAGCGTTCTCTGGTTGAGAAACAACCCCTTGAATGCTAATCAACATATGGCCATCCCTAAGGCAGAACTGGTTTTCATCAGAAAACACAGCAGATCTCTACCCTTTTCTCCTGTTAGCTCTAGCTTCATACCACTGACATCGCAAACGGCAGTGGTTTGGAGTCAGTGCAATGCACGATGCAGGGCGTCTGGCTCGGAGCTGTCTGCCAAGAAACGATTTGTAACAGTTCGTTGTGTTACTGTGGTGCCAACTGCAGTTCGAATTTCTGCTGCAGACGCAGTGCGATGCGTCACAGCCATACACGAAACATGATGGTCTTCCCTCTCAGTAGTGGCGCCTTCTTTTTAACTGTTGAAATTATTTCATTTCCCCTCCAAGAATCAATTTTTCCTTTATCTTTTATCGCCTGTTGCCGACTAAATCACGTGACCGATGGCAGAAAAAAGAATGTAATAACTCTTTTAGTTTAACTTAAGAGTAATGCTTGAAATAAGCTCCTTGGCCGCATGGCGGTAATCAACAATCATAATGTTATTCCTGAAGTATTCAATCTTGGCCCTATGATGAGTTATTTTATACTACATGTAAATTTCGTGTTTGAATAATATACATATTGTAAATAGTTTCTTCATTAAATATTACTGTACTTCAATTGGAACTTGTCATTCTTGAGTTCTTTACGTGAAAATGGATATGTTGACTCTTGATAGGCGATTAAGTTGATGCTCTCCCAACTCATTATAAAAGTTACTCGGGAAACGTGATCGTAATGTACAAGTCTTTATATTAACCATTGCTGTCAACAATCAGAACCAGTGAATATATTCTTGCCAAGTCTTTCTGCAATATCTAGGAAAGAAAATCTACCTTCTTGTAGTTCTATTACACGATCTCGTTCAAATTCACTGAACTGTTGACAATGGTTTCTTCGTCTTCTTAAAGGCATTCTTAACTAACCACGTCAAATCTCAACGATAAATACCACTCACGAAGTTTACAGAATACAAAGTAAACCTAATTTACATGTTCATAGTGACGCTATTAGTGGCGTTACTTATAGTGGTGCGACATTTATGCGCCTAGCGCGAAATTTGAATTGATGTCGTTTTTCAGATGTATAAATTACTCTTACCGAATTTCGTTTATCTAATACAACTCCTTCTTCGTGCTGGGATTTTTTTCCGTCAGTTATTTCTGCCAAAAGTTTCTGAATCATTACGCGTAATAGAAATTAGGACTGATTGTAATCCTTAACGGCTTCTGACATTACGAGCGACTTAGATTTCAAGTCAGGATATTTTCTACATCTGAAATTTTCCAAACTGATGCAGTATTTGCTTAAAAATTGAAGTACTTAACTCTTTCTGGTACACAGTAAATCAACAGATTCTTATATCAAAAATGCTTATGGGAAGAAACCAAAAAAATAAGTAATTAAGATTTATTAGGAAAAATATTTAGCTCTGCAGTGAAATGAATTTATAGCTAAAAATCAGAATTTATTTTTAAAATTTTGCAAAGAGAACAGAGCATCTTAAACTTGTTTCATTCTTAAAATTAAAAATATGATATTTACATTTATGCTGACCTATTTTTCTAACGTAGATAAAATTATGAGTAGCTATCTTGAAGGTTAAATAGCTTCAAGTAACATCGTCATATAAATCTGAAATGACGTCCTTGATTCAGTTTTGAAAGAAGCAAACTCTCCAATGCTTTCGACCGCTGAATCAATATTTTACATTGGAATCCTCGAAATCCATAAACCTATGAAAAGGATTCGAGATTTGAAAACTTGAATTTTCGCTTTGTTTTCGTCCTTCGAATCTTTCGAATCCTAATCTCGAATACATTTAATAGTATTCGAGATTAGGATTGGAACATTAAGAAGATAAGATAGTCAAAACATTAAAAAGATAAGATAGTCAGAACATTAAAGAGATAAGTATATTTTCTTATCTTGCTGCAATTTCAGTACACCCCAATTATTAATATCCACTTGTGGCTGCTTTGAATGCCTTACTCTTATTTTTCCAGACGGTTTTGAGCATTTTTTGTTAGGTGACTCTTGAAATAATCCTATACCCTTATTTTAATTTAAAGAAATTCTAAAAACATATGAAAGAATTGAAGTGCTACTTAACTATTTTTGTCAAATTGTACAAATAAAATGAGTTGCAAGCTTCAAGAATTCTAATTGTTTTATTCCATTTATTAAATTTTAATTTCCCTTTTTAAAATAAATATAGTGTAGCGGACTTACGGGTTCGTTATAGATTGAAAGCACACAAGTCCGTTGATAGGTTAATAAAATTTATTTCATCAAAATAAACACTTCAAAGTTCTGGAATTTCTCGCAGAAATACTCGTACAGGAGTTCACACTTTCACAAAGTACAATCAGTAGTTACGCATTAAACTACTAAAAACGTTAAGCACAATACATTGCAAATGGCATCTAAAGAGAAAGGTAACTCAGATATATCTCAGTTCATGCGGAACTAACAACTCGCGACAACAATAACTAAGCAACTGAGAACAGATGCTCTGTCTCTGGCCTTATATAGTTTTCACTCGGTCGCCGAGATGTTTCTAGTACTTTCTACTTCTTGAAATTACTGGAATACAATACGAAGGTGGAATTACGGTTACAGCTTCCATAGTAGTCAATTACATTTATTCAATTTCCAATACATGTTACGGTAATACAGGGACCGGACCAAAATGTCACGAAGTTTGGCGACTTTTGGAGATTTCTAGCCAAATTTGGTGATAAAATAAGTAGCCTAAACCGTTGTTGGCTTAGGGATATCTTGACAAATTACCGAGATACCCATTTACTCAATGTTAAATGCACTTGTCCTGCATTCATACTTTTTCAGCATAGCTTCTCTCTTTAGATTTTTCATGTTACAAAGAAATACAACAATTTTTTATAATTCTGCTAAAATGATCTATCTAAGCATATAGCGTATTTTTATAAACGGTATTATTAAAACATTTCCATTAAACGCAGATTTTATTTTATTTTTCAGAAAATCTTCAAATAAATTATTATTATTATTATTATTATTGTTATTACATAAAGTATTCGAAATACTTACGAATCTTGCAGATTTCAGATTTGGAAATTTGTTGATTTCAGTAAAATCTTGTAGATTTCAGATCGAGAAAATTCAGGATTCACCCCTCTCTGATATTTTGAATATGAAAGCTTCATTAAGTAAATGCTTGTAGCAAAGTGTAGTAGGACTACTAACATTTATAAGGGAATTTTTTTCCTGACCATGACTGAAAATTAATATAATCGTAACAAGTATAACAGAAAATACTGCTAGGAATATGCCATAACGTTACCTTGAATTAAACTGATTTAGAAATGTGCAGTAACTGAAATTTTTTTTTTTTCATTTAAAGGCGCTTCTTGCGAACATATCTGTCGAGCAATGGAAAAACGAGAGCGTTCCTATGGTAAATAAACGTGGAGGCGGCATGGAACGTAGCAGTTGTACTGTATACAATGTGTCCTATACAAATGGTTCGTTCCTCTCACCATTTCCACAAGAGAGTGACGCTATAACTTGCAACACCTGGGAATACGATGTTTCTTTTTACAAATCGACAATGGTGGATGAGGTACGAATTAAGTTCTTTTCCATATAGATGCATAAATTCTGTTACAAACCGGTGAAGTTTATCCACACAATTCCTTTCTCCTTGCAGTGGGATCTCGTCTGTGATCGTGAATGGTTGGTGTCCGTTGCCAAAACAGTTTATATGATAGGTTTCTTGGTGTCAGTTACAGTGTGCGGACAGATGTCTGATAAGTAAGTCTCTGAGCTGTTTAGAGCAATTTTGTTCAAAAGATATATGATTCTATGTTATAACTATAAATGCTAAGTTTTACTTATTCATACAAATATATTTATTTTGTACCTATTATTATAAAGTACCTATTATTAGACATATCATAACGGCATAAGCCTATTCGAAGAACTGCCTTTCTTTAAAAATTATTTCTGGACATGTATTTATAATTACCAAGCAATTTTCAAAATGAGGAAGGAAATTTTTTGAAAAAATATTCAGATCAACATTGCGATAGGAGGATTCAATAATACAAAATCTAACTTTTATTATAATTATCTTAGAATAAAAGGTCCAAAGAATGAACTTTTACCTACTATTTATTAAGGTTAAATACGAAAATTTCTACACTTCTTATTAAAAAATGTTCCTTGAAATTCCTTGAGCAATTAACAACTTCATGGATCAGTTTGATGAGAGAAAAACGATAAGAGAGTTCGATCAATGATTATGTGTAAGACAAAATGTGCCGTTTTGTCTTACACATAAACATTGATCGCAATACGTTTTCTAAAATGGTTTTCTTTAAATATAATGTATCTACTAGTGGAGGAGAAGATAAAATGACTGACTACCAGTAGTTCATCCTGGATTCGGTTTCTGTTCATTCTTACTGCATAGAGTTTTTATGGGTTGCTCCATGTGTATCGTGAATACGAGCCAGTATCTGTAGAAAGTCTTCCATTAAGACATCTCTTCTGAGACAAATGCTCTTTTGCTTTATCAAAATCCCTTAACGAATAGTAACCAACCTATATCTGTTTAGAATCTCTTCGAAATTGTTTAGCAGATATCTTTGACACGTGACTTAATTCGTTCTCGAAATTTATTTATAAGAGTATAGAATATTTTGTATTTAATATATTAGAGCATAACAAATATTTTATAAGACGAATTTTTTTTTTTATCTACGAAGAGAGTATGAAATTTGCAGAAACCTCCTATTCCCAAACATTTTCTACTTTATTTTGAGAAACTGCATTAAATGGATAAAATTTATGAAAATGAAGTCTATAGTTATTGTATACTTGTCTTCTTCGAGCATTTTGTGTGCTAAGGATATTCTGTGTAGTAAGTTTAACTTTACAAACTTCTAACAAGGAGAAACTCACTATTGAAAGAATAACATTGTTCCTCGAATTATTTTTATAGAAACCTTAAACAGAACTTTTGCAGACGCTAGCAAACTATATGGAAATAAACATAAGCACAATATTTTAAATAACATTCTTTTTAATTAAGTTGCTTGGTTTGCTGCCTTGTTGCATGACTTTGTGGATAACGGACCACACTTCGAACCACAGTCTGTGCTTCGAATTCTTCTGACGTGGGCCCTGTTTTTTTAGTAACAGAGATCTTGATTCTCACTTTTGTGTTCATTCCTCATATACTAAGGAGCATTGACGATTTCCCTATAGGCTTAGATTCTATAGAAATTTTTTTTCAGCATATTGTCGTATGGAGGAGGAGTAAAGTAAGGAATATTATTTCATTGTGAAGAGAAGACTGCTGTGTTTTCCGAAAAGAGGTCTTTATTTAGCAACGGAAATATTAAATTTATTTTTTGAGTTTTGTAAAAGGTCCAAAACTGAGTTTGTTGTCAAATACGATGCCGAAACATGTAGCGTTTTGTTTCCAATGTATTTATTCTTCAAATAACGTAAGAGTAGATGGTAAATTAAGTTAATGACCTTTGCGAAATAGAACCGTTCTTGATTTGTTAACATTAAGATTTTATTGAAGCTGACTGTAAATAATTTCTAGCAATTTTCTCCGAGTCAGAATAGCTGTGCCATCAGCGAAGAATGCTAATTGAATGTAAGGTGTTATGATATATATTATTGTATATGTTACGGTGAAACACCGAAATCTGGAGAATGTCGACTTTCCCCGGTGAATGTCAACATTCACATAGTCTCTTGGTGTATGTCCGAAATATTTTCCAAATAGTCTTATTTATGACTTACACCGGTCAATGTCGACATTCACCATGTACTAATGGTGAATGTTGAACATATAACAATGTTATATTTTCTTCTTCGTAATTCAGTCGCGAATAAACGCACTTGAGACTTAAAATAAGAACTTAAGAACATGAGAACCTAAAGCACACAATACATTCAAAATGAGAAAGGAAAATAATATAAGTTAAAAACTTACTTAATTATACAGTACGTTCTAAATGAGAAAATAAAATAACAGTCATAAAAAACTTACTAAATTATGCGATTCAAATCTTATTTATTGCAACAACTTAAACTATTATGGCACTTTATGACCTCTCTTTTCGACTTTCACCGGAGCATATCTGTGATTGTCGACATACACCCGTGAGGGTCCGAATATACAAGAATGTAGTGAAATATTCGGTCTTTCACCGACGTATTTAGTGAATGTTTGATATTCTCCGGTGAAAGTCGACATTCTCCAATTTCGGTCTTTCACGGTAACATATATATGTCATATAATAAAGGATTTAGAACTTTGGGATACGCTTGTTTTAATCGGCCTCTTCGAGTATGCATTTTTAATTCTGACAGCGAATGATCACTCATATAGAAAAGAAGCGATAATTCGAATTAGATTTTCTGAAAAATTGACTTTCAGATCGCTTTGTATCATTTGTATCAGTTTTCAAATAACAGAATGCATTCATAAACGTTATCGCCATATTTTATTTTTTAAAAAATAATATAGGAAAAATAAAAAATGTATGGCAAGACAAATAAAAGAATGTTGCCACTAAATCGCCATGTCTTATTTTTAAAGAAGTAATGAAGCAAATATAAAAAAAGTGTATGGCAACATTTAACAATTTATCGAGAGTTCCAAAGCTTTTAAAGATTTTATAATTTTACTACTGAATAATTTTACGTGGCGTAATTGAGAAGAAAGCGATGATTAATTATCGCTTAAGTTAAACAGAAAAAAAAAGTTGTGCTAGCAGGAGTAAATCCAAGAACAAACTGGTAAAATGCAAGCCAAGCGAAAGCTAAAAAAATATTAACAAACGCTCTGGTACGAAGTCGAAATCCGAATCCTTTGAAACTTCTTTTTTTAACGTTGCCATGTTTTGAAAGGTCGAAAGAATAATTATTCATGTGTAATATTTGAAAAGAATAAAAAAATAAATTATTAAATAAAAAATTTAAATAAAATCCTAAAAAATTATTAAAAATTTATTATTATTTTAACACTTTATTCTGAATTATACTTATTTTTTTACTTGAAAAACGTTCAAAATGTAAAATACTAGCATCGGATCTATGCAGCAAATAATACAATTTAAAATACATAAAAAATTATAATATAAAAATACAAAGGAACAAAATGCAGGCCCTTCTAACTCTCTGACAATCCGTGAGAAAAACTGTTGTGAATTTTAATGATGGGTACTTTAGCTTGAAATTTTAAAGAAATGTTGCGAAGTGAAACATTTAAGTTGTGTCAAGAGCTTAATGTTATATTTCTACATTTTTGAAAGTTTTTGGAAATAAATACCATCCGTAAATTATAAATAAATTTGTGAAAAATACGATTGGGTGTAACAAAACAAATAAACAAAACTTTCTTTTTTCCAAATTTTTGCATTGTACATTATTTTTTTCTTATCCATTTAAAATACTATTCCCGAAAAATTTTTTTCAGCAGAAAATAACATTAAATGAATGAGTAATACCAAATATATAGTACTACTGCCCACAGGCTTTGTATCAGAGACTGCTCTTTTAAAGCGCTGTGCGTACCTGCAGAAATTATTGTTCGCAGTAAAATAAGTTTCAGTGCTAATTTAAATTAGGTCCAGTTTTTCTCGTTTATTTCCTAATAGTGCGGGCTAGGTGTTTCTTTCAAAGCACTGTACGTAGCTGCAGGGATTATTGTTCGCAGCAAAATAAGTTTTTCAGTGTTACTTAACGTTAGGTCCAGTTTTCTCGCTTATTTCATAATAGTGCGGGCTAGGTGTTTGCAAACATATTTATTCTGAAGTACACTAGTACGATGCAGAATTTTAGCAACATCGAAGTCCTGATAAGAAGGTAGGCTCGTCTGCGTGTGGGCAACTTTAATTTATATCTCTTCTACAGCCATGGTTGCAGTGAAAGCAGTTAGAATAAACGGTTAGAAAAAAAATTAAAAATTAGTGCTTTTCTTAAGCCATAACTTAATATTAAAAGCTTAATTTAGCGTTTCTTAGATTTGGTGGTTTCAACAGTCATGTGACTCTGGTTTAACTCAGGGGAACCAGCGGTCAAAGCTGCTGAATACTGGTAGTTCGTACTGGGTTCGAACTCAGGCGAACGGGCTCCTGCAGGGTTGGTTTTCGTGGGTTTTCCCATGTGTAAGGAAAATGTGAACCATTTTACCTTGTAACAAGCCATATTCCATGTGTAATGCGAAGATGAATTAAGTCTTGTAGGAAGGCATCTCTCTCCTTTCGTAAATAGCTTTGGTGTGCATTGTCACATTCAGATTTATCAACAAACTAACCACTGGAAATGAAATAAAATTAGGCAAAAACAACAACTATAGACTGCCGTCAATTTCAAGTAGAACTATGGATTTCAAGGGCAATCTGGCATAGGTCTCTTTTCTTCGGAGAAAGAGGAAGAGTGGAATTTTCAGAAAAAGCGGAACAGCTGACTGTTGTTACGCGTGTTCTGAAGCTTGCAGCGTAAACAGAAACTGCAGCGTGGACGGAGCAAAGAGCCAAATTTATAGGGAAAATTATTTCACTATAAATGTTATGCTTTACTGTAGGGTTTCTTAAACTTTCTGGTGTGGGGACCCCCTAATATTTACGAAACGTTTGTGGGACTCCATAAGAATTGCGCAAATCCGACACACGCGTGAGTGAAACTATTAGTTTCTTCACTTGCTATTGCATATACTATTGCAATTTTAGCTCATTGACTTTAATTTTTAAAGTAAAATTAACGTTTCTATTGTAAAAAAAAATTCGTCGAAACGTTTTCGTTTTTCTTTATCTGTATTTTCTTATCTTTACCTATTTTCAGATACATTATGTAAAAATATTTGGTAATAATAAAATTATTATAAGAAGAAATATCAGAATTGCTAAATTTTTGGCGACCCCCTACTGCAAGTCCCGTGGCCTACAGTTTAAGAAGCTTTGCTTTAATCCATCCATGCCGCATTTTTTTTCCGTTTATTTTTGCTTTTGAAAAAGAGGATTCGCATTGACCAAAGTAACAGCTGACCTTCCTAAACATTCATTATTCACACTAAGGTATTTTAATTTATTCACATTTAGAGCAATACACAGGGGTTGGACAAAAATATGGAAACACCTTTAAAAAAACATGTTTCTTTGCTTAATATGGTGTAGGAAATGCAAAACGCTGGCAAGTTCAGATAACGATGTTGGCGGTGGATAACGAGAACGCACTTTCCGTTCCAATGTAGACCACAAAGGTTCGATAATATTCAGGTCTGGTGACTGTGGTGGCCAGGGGAGATGGGAAAACCAGTCCTGGACAATGTGAGCTGTGTGAACAGGGGCTTTGTCGTCTTGGAAGACACCATCACCATCGGGGAACAAAGTTTGTACCATGGGATGAACTTGATCGGCCAAAATGTTCACATAAGTCTTGGCAGTCATGTGCCCTGACACAGTTATCATGGGGCTAGCAGAGAACCACGATATGGCTGCCCCAAACAATAACAGAACCCCCCGCCATGTTTCACTCTTGGCAACAAGCAGTCTGTATTATAGGCTTGAGATGGCGTTCTCCAGACGTAAACTCGGCCAGGCCAGAGTGGGAAACAATGTGAAGAAGACTCGTCAGACCATATATTACTCGCTTCCACTGCTCTATAGTCCAGGCTTTATGACTTAAACACCACCTTTTCCTATTACGGGCATTAGCATCACTGATGAGTGGCTTCTGAATTGCAGCACGACCAGCAATTCCCTGTTTATGAAGCTCCCTTCTAATTGTTTTGGTACTCACAGGGTTCGGTAACACAACATTCATTTCAGCAGTAACTTTTGCAGCTGCGGTCTTCTTATTTTTCGTCACAATTGCCCTTAATGATCGTCTGTCACGATCACTCAGGACACACTTTCGTCCGCGCTGTGATTTAGCAGATGTTTTTCCGCTTTTCAAATATGCGGAATAATCTTCGATAACAGTACCTCTTGAAAGACTAAAACACCTCGGCTACCTTGCTTACGGAAGCACCTACCATACGTGCTCCAACAATTTGCCCACGTTCGAAGTCTGTTAACTCTGACATAATGCAATGACAACCTCACATAACAGTACTCCGACAACAACTGAACTGTTTAGCACATTTACGAAGTTGTATAGGTGGCGTCAGTAGTCAAAAACGCCAGCGCCACCTACATATTTCATTAAAATCAATCTTTCTTTTCAAACATGCATTTCACAAGGTGTTTCCATATTTTTGTCCATCCACTGTATATTTATTGATAGATGCCAAATTTTTCAAAGAGCAAACACAGATTCGGAAATTTATTAATAAAGAATATTTGACTAGGATACAATGTATTAAAGTTTAACTACTGTTGAATGGATAATGCACTTCTTAAAATGCTTATTTGTTTGGGATTAAGCGATAAAATTATCAAATTTCTTAGACCATAATTACGTTCTTTTGTAACTCTTTTCCATAAAATATTTAAGATCTAGTAAATAACATCAATAAAATCTCACAATGTTTCTTGTTTAAAGGTTTGGACGTCGTCCTGTGGTGATCACATGCCTCTGTGTGTTTCTTATAGCTGCATTACTGACAATGCTTTCCACGAATTTCTTAATGTTTATTGTTCTCCGTTTCTTTGTTGCTCTGGGGCTGACATCAGTCTTCACAGTTTCATACGTCATACGTAAGACATTTTTTTGTTTATTCTTAGGTTCAAAATACACTCATGTCCATAAATTAAAGATAATGCAAAATCGGGCAAAGGAAGCGTTAGAAGAATAACAAATTTGACCTATTTGTAAAGCTTATTTATTAAACAAATAGTAAAGAGAAAAAAAAAAAAAAAAAAAAAAGATGCTATATATTTGATATTAGTAAAAAAATTAGCGATTTTTTTCTCCCTGGAGCAAATTACAAAAAAAAAAAAAAAAAAACCTACTTACAAAAAAACAATATTACATGGTTGGTATGATTGTTAATACATTGTATGTCTCCCAGACGATGCAATACAGTCCGTACAACGCCTAGGAATGCTGAGTATCAAATTATCGATCTGATCTTGGGGGATATTACACCACTCAAAAAGCAATGCTCTCCAAAGTTCCGGTAGACATGTAGGAGGAGGTTGACGGGCTGCAACTCGTCGGCCAAGCAAGTCCCACAAGTGCTCTACTGGATTCAAGTCCGGTGAGAATGCTGGGCAGTCCATACGGGTGATATCCTCCGATTGAAGGCATTCGCTTACGATGTTTGCACGGTGAGGACGGGCGTTGTCATCCATAAACACAAATTGTGCGCCCATGGCGCGCGGAAACAAACGTACACGTTGTTCCAGAATGACGTCCCGATAGATTTGGCTTGTCATGGTTCCAATTTGAACAAGCAAGTCAGTTCTGAAACCCAGAATAATTCCACCCCAAACGAGCACTCCTGCACCACCGTAACGGTGTCGTTCAATGATGTTTTCTTGGTGGTAACGGGTACCTGGAGCTCTCCATATGAAAGTCCGGCGAGAATCAGACTGCAAGCTAAACCTAGACTCGTCGGAAAACATCACACAAACCCACTGTTACGGTGTCCACAATGCATGCTCTCTACTCCAGGCTAACCGCAGGCGACAGTGAGTTGCAGCAAGTGGAACGCATCTGACAGGTCTACGAGCATATAGACGAATCTGCCCTAAGCGTCTGTACACGGTCTGCCTTGAAATTGTAGTACCAGTGGCTGAAGAGAGCTGACGAGATAGGTCTGAGGCTGTGCTCCGCCTGTTTCTTTTGGCAGTAACTGCCAAATACCGGTCCTCATTCGGCGTTGTAACCGTTACAAAACAGTTACAGCACAGGTCACAGACGTTACACGACGGTCACAGACGTTACACGTTACGGGGCGACCTGTGCTGTAACGTCTACTCACATTACCATCCTCTTGGAATCGTTGCCAAAGCCTGGAGATGACACTCTGGGCAATTCCAAGTTCGTCTGATACTTCCAGTTGGGTACGCCCACATTCCAGACGGCCGATAATTCTACCACGTAAAAAATCATCCAAATGCGTCCTTTGTGTCATAACTATTCGGTTATTGCACTGAAATGCTTATAAAGCGCCTGCGAACAATTGTACTTCTTTGCCTGTATTCCTTATATGTCACTCTCTTACACTCTCGTCATTGTGACGTACCATCGGTGTCATCTGGTTACTTCCTGAAATTTGCACATGATTCTTGAAGATGTGTGTAGTGATTTTACAGGTGATATATTTATTTTAGAGTTCGATTTCCGCGTGACTCGGAATTATCCTTATTTTATGGACATGCGTGTATATTAGACTAGGAAAATTGATTTATAAAATTGATCGCCAAAATTTGAGTCACTAAATTCATAAATGGAAGTGATAGAAATACTAAAAATATTTTACAATGAGTTTTAAACATAGGCTCTGTTGAACGGTAGAGTATCGCTTAAGCTCGCTGTTTCCTAGAGATATTTAACTGTATGAAATTTGTACTTAGTAGCCCCAATGGGCGTTATCTCAGAAGTGCTATTAGTCTCAAAACGGCATTTTGATTCGAATCACTTTTCAAATTGTTGCCGTCAAATATTATTGCCCTGTATTATATTTAAAGAAATTAAATAATGAATAATCTACATAAATGTATATATGTTTCTCACACTGTGTAGAAACAATTGTACCTAGAGTCATCAAATTTTGAATACATAGTCTCCATTTGGGCACTGAGAGTCGAATTTGGATTGTTTTATTGTCTTTCATATTTTGTAAACTTTTAATTAATTTTTTATAAAGTCAACAATTAAAGCGAGTAGGCAACATTGTAAGAAAAAACATTTTTGTCTCAGCTCATAGATGTTTTTGAAATTCTAAAGATAGTTGTTTAAAAATTTTTAGCCAATGTGGCTTCAGCCCAAATATTCGCGGACGTATATGCTATAAATAAAGATAACAATAATCATAACAAAAAAAAAAAAAAAAAAAAAAAAAAAAAAAACGCCGATTTGAAAGGAACATAAAATCTGAAAGATTTCACTCTTTTTAAAAATTTAAATTCATTTGTGCTATCAGTTATTTCGCAGGAATTTATTTTAATCTCTAATAAGTTTTAAAATTTCTTACAACTAAAAAGATTAATTTCAAGAAAGTTAGCCTAAATTTAATGAACTTCAAAGAAAGTTGCTATGCACGTATTTCGAGGAGAACGTTATAGAATTTCGAGGAACAGAGATCATAATGTTTTTTGGAAATCTATAGATTATTTTATTTGTATATATGAAATCAAAAAATCAAAAACATGGTTTAAAAATTTTGTAATTGGTTTCCTGAAGATCTTCAGTGATTTTACTTTTTAAAAGAAATGCCATAAATGAATACGCCAGACGAAGAATTAGAAATTCTAGCGTATAACAAACAATCATGTTTTAAAACTAATGTATAAAAATGTGACTCATCTGTGAAACGAAATTATGAAAGTGTGTGCACTTAATTTTGAACATTATTCGAAAGAATTAAAAAAATAATATTAAAAATAAATGTAGCGGGAAACACTTTCCTGTTATCAAGTTATACTTTGAACAATTACACTACAGTTAATTTTGAAAATTTAATACGAGTTTTTTAATATTCATTTTCAGTTACTGAAGTAGTGGGTGCAGAATATAGGTCCGCTTATTGCTTCACATTTAAGTTTGGCTGGGTGTTCTCGTACATGCTTCTACCAGGTATAGCTTGGTTAATTCCTAGTTGGTTCTGGCTACAATGTGCCATCACAGTTCCATGGTTGATACTTCTCTGTGTCTTCTGGTAAGGCTCTGAAAAAGGGTATGAAAATTTAAGTAATCATTTAAGATTAATTTTGCATTGTATATATTTTTATTAAAATGTATTTTATTTTTTACATGGTTACTGAATCAAAGAAAGAAGTATTTGCCATCATCATTCCATCTCATCTTGCATATATTCCTTACAAATTATTCTCAATTTCATTTTTAATTTTTGTTTCTTATTTCTGAAAGTTACCGAATTTTTTTCTGTAACATTTATGTAAGTATAATCTAAGCATAAGCCAGTATACACTTTCTGATACAGAAAATGCTCCATCTTGAAGGAATCCTTAAAATCGACTGAAATGTTTCGAAACTTGATTTGTATTTATACATACAAATCAGCTCTGAGTGAAAGGTTTTAAGTTTTAAGCTTTTAAGTTTAGTGGAGTTATGCAGATAAAGTTGATCTGTTTCAATTGATCACATTATCTGTTAGACGATGTATTCAAAAACATGGTTTGGTATTAAGACTTCGAGTTTGTCCCTGAGGATAATATGTGATAGTGATTAGTTTGTTTTCTTTTGTAGGCTGACTGACAGATGGCCAGCCGTTTCTCAAATGAATGAGTTAATCAAGGAAGAATTCAGACATTTTGCAGGCGCTGACTTCTCATTTAGCCATCTGTAACTGTGCAAAACCGTAATGAAAAATTACATAGTTTATAAATTTGCGTTTGTATAGTTATTAATTTGGAATGTATGAGCCAGTTCTTATGAAATACAATAAGAAGATGGGTGCAGTACATCATCGATGAAAATGTGTGTCATTAACATTAATGTGTGTCCATTTTTTGAAACTCAGGATCCTAAAATGGATCCGTTGATTACTTAGATTTCTGTGCTGTTGATGCTAACGGCATGCCAAACCGAAAATCCGAGTTGAGTCAAGGCCTGGTATGATTTAAAACGAACACCAGCACTCCTGTTGTCACAACTGCTTCAGACTTTCAATCGATAACCATTGATGTCAGATAAAAGAAAGAATGGTTCTTTGAGCATGAGTCTTGTACATCTAAGAGGAGGCTGCTAAACTATTACATGACAATAGATTAGGTGAAGGGCAGATTAACCAAAGCTGTCAAAATTTTAAATATGTCTCAACCGAAGGATGAATAACACTGTGCCAATACTGGAACATCCAAATCTCTCCATATATTTTGTTGAATATTGGCAGTTAAGATATATGATTTAACATTATATACGGTGAGATATTCTATGATGATTCACATCTTTATAATCTGACCACTTCCCTGTGCTAAGTTTCTGTAAGGTACGTCACTGAGACTAGCTAGCTGTATACAAACATATAATACAACATCTCATAAGAATACTAATTTGATTCAAAGAACAAACAGATGAACGTAAATCATTAATTTAAATGATGGTAAAGGCAGTGATTTGACTCAAAATTTCTTATCGTTGTTTCCAAAATGATTTCACGTCTTCATTAAGGTAAAAAAAAAAAAAAAAAAAAAAAAAAAAAAAAATTGTACAAATGCGTTATTTTTGCAGTGAGAAATTACAAAAAGTAGCTTAATAACTACTGGGCTTTCTTCTTTTAGCTTGCTTTTTTCTTACATTATGAGACTAGCGTAATTTGCGTAAATCAACAGTCTTAACTTGTTACGAAATTTTGATAGCTCTGAAACAAAGTATTCATATTGCAACATTCCTCTATTAAGCGATAGCTTACTTGCCTTCGTGACTTCTACATTTCCGTTCTAAAGTTCCCAATTGCTCTAGTGTAGAACGAAGAGGTAGTTTGTGTTATGTGTTTCAAAATAGAGCTTATTATCACGCTCTTTTGAAGCTTCAAATTGACGAAAAATATGTAATTTGGAATGTATGAGATTGTTCTTTAAAGGAGTGCTCCGTAGTAATGAGTACACACACGTCTTAAAAGTTTTATGCTAAATAAAACTCAAGATCAGTTTGCTTTAAGTAACATAAAGAACACCTTAATTTCTAACAGCTATTCAAACTTGCTGACCAATACATTAAAAATGTCTTTTATCACCGCATTACTACAATTCGAAAATAGTAATGAATTTTTATTAATTTTTAACCTATTACTCTTATGCCGATAGAAGTTCACAATTTTAGTTCTTTGTAATTCAGACAGCTAAATTAATTCAGACAGTAAATAGCCACTTTGGGACTTATTTACGTGTCATAGAAGTTAACCTTATAGTTAGTACACGAGAAAAGTAATTATTTGCTTTAATCGTGCTTTTATAGATTCTTATAGTTTTAGATTTCAAAAATGCTTTCTGATTGTGAGTTAAATAAGATAGTCACAAGAGTTTCTTGAAAGATAATTAAAGCGGCATTGTACATTTTCCGATATCTAATAAACATGGATTACATAAATGACTAAATTAAAAGACAGTAAGTAAATGGGTTGGAAAGTTATAATTTTATCAAGGATTTTTTTTATAGCTCATAATAGTATATATCCTTAAACTTTTAATGCCTTAGCATTATTTTCACTCCATATAGCGAATTGGAAATGGAATATTATGCGTACCTAGCTTCTTAACATATTGTTGCGTTTTTCTTTTTTTCTGACCCCAGTTGTTACGGGGTTCGTGTGGATTTGAAGTGAATAACGACGACACTTGATGAAGTATCGAAACACACTTTATTTAGACAGTATTGTCAGGACAGCTCCAAAATACCTTTTGCAGTTCGATGAACTCTATAAAAACGATGACACGATCAGCGCACAGCCTTCGGTTATCACGCTATCACGGTGGAGACAGCTTCCTGCAAAGCACCGACTCTGCCTTCCGAGTACAGTTCCCGACTCTGCTTGTCGTTCTCGGACACCCTGTATTCTCGAGCTCTCCAGCTACACTCGCGATGCACTCGACGACCCAGGCACAGCTCCTGACTCTTGGTTCGTCGTTCCGAGCTAAACACGTCTCCGACGAGCACTAAACGCGCTTACTCTAGAGACTCTTTCGGGCCTCGACGACCCATCAGCACTCGCGGCCGGCTGTCCGCGATCGCCTCCGCAGGGATTGACTCGCTAGCGAGACAACTCACTCGATGAGTGACGCAACTTTGGTACTACTGACTGACTGAGGACCAACAGGGTTTATAGTTTCGCTGTTCGGGAACATGGGGCTAAACCGTAAATTCGTTCCGGAAGGTTCTCCAACCGTCTATGGTACAACGCCAATTTTGTCGCCAAATGGGCGATTTCTCATCAAATGTGGCAACCCTGCCTTCCTTGCTTTTTTATGGCAACCCTAAAACTGCTTTGCGGGGAAGCCATCTCACCGCGCCTTTACATTTCGTAACAATATTTTTTTAATGAATTTTAATTCATACAATTAAAAATAATTGTTTCATAACATTATCAGTATTTGTATAAAAAGAGATCAAATTACTGCTATAAAGCAGAGTTGCCAACTCTCCCGATTTAGGCGGGAGACTCCCGATTTTCGACCGCTCTCCCGCCAACCCGGTTTACAATATATTTCTCCCGACTTTTTTATTCTTAAAATTTCTCACATTTTTATGAAGTGGCTTAATACTTTGTTATATAAACAAAAACAAAAAAACACAAAAAAAAAAAAAAGTGATTTTGGCAGCTGAAAGAATTGAATTTTCTCTAGGTTTATCTAAAACAAAACCTTGCGAATTAGATAACTTCTGCTTTTAAATGAGAGCAGAGCATATACGTATCCAAAACGTCGTTCTCCATTTCTCCAATGGGGGCATCGTGCTCCACTACGTGTCATCTGGCATATATTAATTAGCCAATGAGGACAAACAAGCTGTTATTTGGATGTCTTTAGTTATTCGTCATTTTCCTGATTTTTGAGTATACGTGCCTTGGGGAAATAGTTTTAAAATTATCATCTTTGTTATGTCTGCCAGAAAGGTGAAATACTCGTCGTTTCAAAATGTACACAATTGACTTTCTTTCCATTATTTCCTCAAGGAAATGTAATAAATTTTGTGATGTGTACCGCCTGTCGTTGCGATTTTTCGATTCGCATGGTTGGAAGGGCGGATGTTCTCAAACATGTGCGTACACAAAACCAAGACAACATGAGTTGTGTTGAAAAAACGAAAAATAAAATTTTTCTTCGGAAACAGAGGACAAAACGTTGTAATGCAGAATTTCTGCTGATGGAATTTTAAAATATAGTTGTCTAGAATTATGTTGTCCATCTTGACAGTTCCCATAATAATGCAGAGTGTGAGAAAATTTCAGTAATGTTGCGAAAACGAGGACTAAATTTAGACTAATATTAGTGATGACATTAGAAACTTTTATTAGCGAAAGCAGGCCTACAAGCAATTATACAACAAATTATGAAGTTTCTTTCTTAAAGAAAGCAAATCTGCCACGTTCTAATATTTTACGAAAATTATTAAGTGGTTTTTTTTCTAATCGATGCAAGTAATAAAATGTTTTTTTATTGTGTAAGGTATTTTGTGTCTGCATTAAGAATTAGTTACTCTTTAAAGTTAATTCATTATTAAAAACTATATTTTCATCATTTAAAAAGTCTTTTTAACGTTGTGAAAAATCTCCCGATTTCTTAAAAAAGTCTCCTGATTTTTGAGTGTCATAGGTTGGCAAGTATGTATAAAGTATTTTCTCTCTCCTTTCAGCATGCCTTCGTGGTGTAACGATAGTATACTCGGCGCGTATTCGAGACAGGTCCAGGTTCGAGTCCCAGCAAGGGTATTCCTCATTTTTCACGTCTCCTACTTGAAAAATAAAACCTATTGATTCTACAGTGGCGTCCGAACTAAAAGGTGATGAACAATAATTCGTCAGGATGCCTTCGTGGCATAAAGGTAGCGCACTCGGCAGGTATTCTACAGGTCCAGGTTTGAGTAACGGCGAGGGCATTGCTCATTTCATTTTTCATGTCTCCTGTTTCAAAAACACCTAACCACTCTATCTACACTACATTTTTAAATTTTGTAATACTAAAGGTACACTTTGTCACCGTGACTTAATGTTAAAATCTTTCGTGTTCACACATGTATAAGTTTCTCTACGGGACTAGTATGAGCGCTAGGTGGTAATTTCAACAGTAGTTCTAGCAGAATCCCTGCGAGGAAATAAAAGGTTATTAAGTACTAACGAAAAAAAGCATTTATTTTTTACATCCATATATATATATATATATATATAGATAATTTAAGAAAGGAGAACAAACTAAAAAAGACCTGTGCGGTCAAGAACTTTGCGCATTGAGCTGCAAAATTATGGAATTAGCTGGATTCGAACCTCATTGTGCATTTCCCTTAAAGAGTCCGTAGTGAGATTCGAATTGGGCTAATTTACCATTTACCGATTCTTCGTAATTTTGCTTGTGTCTTTTATAACTTTTGTATTTATGTTAAAATGTTTTAGGATTGTTTAAACTTTAATCAACATTTTTTAACATTCAAATTAGATTTGAGTTTTACATTTACTTTTTATTTGTCAGTTTTCTTGTTATAATTTCATTTTTCTTGTATTTAAATTTTTTGTAATTGCAATTTATTCTAACTTAGTGTTAAAAAATTATTCACGGGAACCACAGTATCACATTGCTAAAGCAATAGCATAAGAATTTCCTTTTCCTATATATATATATATATAGATATAGATAGTATTATGTATGTATCAGGCGTCTTTTTTTTTTTTTTTTTTTCAATAGGAATGAAAACAGACTTGCGTTCATATTGCGTATCGAAATGAGATGAACTGTAATCCAGATTTTCTGATTTGCGTATTTCAGAGCTTCTAATCTAAGTGTTCAGAAGTAATGAAAGTATTATAAAAAATGTTCCTGAAAAAGAAAATTTTTGTTGTGTAATTTATATGTGCATACAGAATCGAAATCATACTTATGTAATAGATTACTGCTACTACCTTTCAGTTTGATGTTTCGTGGTCTGTTCCTTTCTTGTTTTGAGTTGAAAAAATCTAAATCTAGAATAACTGCGATTATTAACTTTCTTAAAGGGTTATTCCCGAAACCCCGCGTTGGCTTTTGACGCATGGGAAGTTTCATAAGGCAGAGGAAATATTACTTGAAGCGGCCAGGAGGAACAAGAAGGACATGAAGAAGACGAAAGCAGCTTTAGAACAATTTTTAACTCGCCAGATGAAGGTAGGCAATAACTCAATATGGAACTACTCTCATATGCGCCCTCAGGTCGCCAAATTTCTCGCCAAAAATTTTTGGGAAGAAACTCCAGCCATATTACTATCTAAACGTTTTGTCTACATTTCAAAGTTTAAGCCTGAAATGTCGCCAAAAACGCGGAATCACACCAAAAACTAGCGCAGAACACATATCGCCACATTTGGTGATCTTAGGGCGCATATAAGAGTAGAGCCCTCAATATCTCGTAAGCTCTTTAACTACTGTGCAATAAATAATATTTTTGAAGAAAAGTGGTTACATAAGTTATCTTATAAGATATAATCTCCCGCATTCTTAGCGAACCTTCGTGGTGTAGTGGTCTGCACGCTCAGCGCGTGATTGAGGAGAGATCCGCGGTTCGATTCCCTGCGAAGGCGTTGCTAATTTTTCATCCTGCCTGCTTCCAAAAATACCTAATGTCTCTATAATTTTAGAAAGAGCTGGTTTGAATTTTGAAGCTGTTGTGGTCAGTGATGCCATAAAACTTGAAATGCATGTAAACTACTTCTAAGTTTATGGAAAAAGAAAAGGAGTTCATTAGGTACTAATAAGATTTCTTTTGCCTGTACATTTCTACAAAAATTATTTATTAGATGCATATTTGGAATGGGGGCGTCTGATGCATTTTAGAATAATTTTTTCATTAATTAGCATTTAGATAATCGTCTGTTGATTTCAATGTAGGATGATGAATGAAAATTAGCCTTAATTTACGCAGAGGGCATAGACACATGGATAAGATTATCTAATAAAATGCATATAAAATTGTTAACAGTACTTTAAAATTTTTTATTATATATTTAGAATTTAACACAGATTAAAATACATCTTATATCGGTTAAAATTGATCAAATCGATGTGAAAATAAGGTGGCATTTCTAATAGCATATTTCTCCTGCACATAATAATCAGAAATTAAACATCACCTAAATCAATATTTTTAAATAATATTCCAATTAAATGTGAAAAAAAATATTTTCTTTACACAATTTCTTTTACATTAAAATGTAGATGCCTAAAGTAATGATGTTAAGTAGTTTTTCTGTTTGATGCTTAGTGTACCCAATCTTGGTTTCTTATAATAAAATCTTAAGCTCACCAGCCGCCGAGCGGTAAAGTCGCTGAATACTGGTAGTTCGATCCGAGGTTCAAATCCCACAAACTCGCTTGGCTACGTGGGCATTTTCGTGGTTTTCTTTCCATGTGTAACGTGTATATGAGGAAGATTCTTTTAGAGAGCCCTTCACGAAGGCATCCCTTCTCTTAGGCAGATAGCCCTCGAGTGCCTTGCCATAATCAAATAAATCAAACCAAACTATAAAATTATTAAAATATTATACAAGATTACTTTCTGGCTACTTTTATAACAACGTATGAAATATAAACGAATTTCACTTATTACCTGTTTATTACTAGTTATTTTCTTAAAATGTATTTCATTATGTATAAAAGTTAAGTATTTTCAAATTCCCGAGGCTCAAAATTTGAACACTACACTGTGGTGTCACTTATTTCGCTTAAGGATATTCAAATTACATTCCATTTAATCTTTCATATGCGTGATATTTCTTAAAAATTGTTTCTTAAATATGGATGTTCTTTTCTTCTTTGCTTTCCGTTCCGTCTGGTTCTGCTGAAGTTAGAAGAGAAAGGTAATGAAAATGTTTTTGATCTGCTGAAGACTTCGGCTCTGAGAAGAACGACATTCAACATTTACTTTTGTTGGTGAGTCAGTTTCGAAAATTAAATAACTTTACAATGATCTTCTCCTTAAAGTATTTCATTTTGTTTCTGGTAATATTATCTTCTAAGCAATATCTAAATCTGTAATCAAGTCTTAAAATCACTGTATACTATTGATGAAATCTAGCCAAAGAAAGCACTAACAAGTTAACTAGCGCGCAAGAAATTATATTGGGGGAAGACAATCCAGTGACATGTTGACGCAGTATGGGCTCTTTCATATTACGTGCTCCATTTCTGTTCTTTTAATATGATTTCAAGCTATTTTAACCCCTTCGCGCCGACTGTCACGTATACGTGCCAGCAACGAACACACTTATCTACCGACCGACACGCAGGCGTGCCAGAGCAATGTTGCATTCTCTACCGACTGTCACGTATTTGTGCCAGTACCTTGGAACGTTTTTCAAACTATAATTTCTACCACAAGATGGCACTGTATGTCCATATGGTTTCAGATACAGGTGCATTAGACCTTCACTTGTAATGAGAGAAGCATGACTCACATACACGTGTTTTGATTATAAAACAAACGGGGAACTAAATGTTTCCGATGGCGTGATTTATGACGTCTCTTTAAATCGCACTTTATTCGCACGTGGTAGTTGTTTTTGTAAGTAGAAGTTTTATATGCGCTAAAGCGTTGAGTATTTCCGTTTACAGTTCAGTTTTAGAAAAATTAGATCTTGTTAGACGTGAATTCTTTCTGTTTTTACCGTTGCAATGTCGAAGCGTCGAAAATGTTTAACGGAGCAGAATAGCAGAAATGATGCAAAATATTTCAGATATGATTCTGATATTCTGAATTGATTCTGAAAGATTAACTGAAAGACATTTTCCAAAACTTTGTTCAGAAGAGACTGATAAGAAAATGAGACAACGATGCTTCGTTGTTCACATTCCCGGAAAATCCTCCAAAACGGCAAATGAGTTATTACGAGTTCAAGGAATGTAACGTAGGACTGTGTGTAGATCCCTGTTTTAAAATTTTTCATACGAAAAGAGAATTTTAAGTAATACATTTTTCAGATTATAATGTTAAAAGTGAGTGGTGAGTAAAAAAAAAATGTGTAAAATATGCATTTAAACAAGAAATAAAGTAATTAAAGTATATATATATAAATATATCTAAGCATAAGCCGTTTAAATACTCTATAGAGCATTATTAAACAATGCGTTGATACTTTCGGAAATTTCATGGATTTAGGCTTAGTAGCAAAAAAGCCCCCGGCCCTGGAGAGACGCTCGCGGAAGACACTGCCGGCCTCCGCGATAAGCGCGCGTTTTCGCTACCCGGCTCGAAGGGGTTAAAAGTAACTGATATTTCTAAAAAATTTTAAAAGTCAAGCTATAGTCTTTTCTTTTTATAACGATAAATTTATATATGACGTTTTATTCTTCGGAATTTTCCTTAAATATATGTAAAGTGATAGACAGAAAATAAGAATAGCAATTTGAATTTAAAATTAAGCAAACGTCTTCAATGTTAGACGGACGCTGATCTTGAGGAAAACTCCTCGTATATTTATACTACATATAGGAGAGTCACTGATGAAGCTAATTCGTTTGCCAGGATTCGAAAGTGAACTAACTAGGTGCCACAAATGTTGAGCGGTCTTATCCAATATTTGTGCGTAATATTTTAATTTAAAAAACTTATTTGAGTAAAGAGGGTTAGGTTTATTATATTATAAGTTAACAAGAGATTTTCAACTCTTTACATAGTACTTTTGGATATCTGTATTTATGTTTGTTATTCGAACTCATAAAGGAGCAGATCGTCACATACCGCGCTGTTTTAAAAGGCATATATGCCTTTTAATATATATATTCTTTGGTGCAGCCAATTGCAATCAAAATACGAGGTGCACATCTACATGTTATAGCAGTCCTGCATACAAAATTTCAACGTTCTGAGGCTACTCGCTTTTGAGTTATGCGAGATACATACGTATATTTCTGTGTTGTATCCATTTACACGCTTCTTAACTGTAGACAATTGTTGATTTCGTATGGTTTTGAAATATCATACCTTCATTCTACCTCAGCATTGAGCAATAACAGCAGACGTGTATTTTGCAAGTCTCATAATAGAGGGTTGGAAGAGCAGAGCCAGATCATCCAAAGGCATCCCAAAGATTTTCAACAGGACTTTGTTCCTATGAGCTTGATGTCTGTTGTGCATAATCAATATCTTTGCTGTCGTAGTTCATTCTGTCAGATCTATTGAATTTGGATAAGAGTTATTCATTTAAACAAAAATCTGAAACTAGTGTTGAAATTTAAAGCCTTCGAAGCTTTCAAGCACTTGAACTCGATAACTTTCCGACATCATAATATCCTCCCCTTTGATCACCTGCAAACTAGTGCGTTATTGCAAAGTAAGTGTAACTTGTTTTCTGTGTTACTGGACCGATTACTTATCTAAAATCTCAGGATATTTATTATCTAACTCTAGGATAAATCTTGATTCATCAGATTTATCAGATTAAGAGCACAGTATACCATTGTGCTTTATATTCAATATGGCATATTGGAAATATCACTTTTATGGTCTTGTTTGGCATTAATGCTCAAAGTCCCACCAATGGCCGGTTGGATGAGGACACTTACTACTGTGAATTCGATCAGGTTTGATCATGGGCGAACGGGTTGTTTTTTGTAGTTTTTCCGTGTGAAGTGTGAATATGAGCCAGTTTTTCTTAAAAAGTCCTCCTAAGATGTCATTCTTTTCCTTAAGCAAATAGCCCTGGTCTGTTTTCTCATAATCACATAACCTAACCATTAGTTGTTAAAAATGTCTAACTGTTAGTGACAAGCAGGTGTCTTTATACCATATTTAGTCTTTATAACAAACAAATCGGTATACCAAGAGGTAATCATGCGATTGCTTTGAAATTTCGTATGCATAAATGTTTTGACCAAATATGCAAATGATTAAAATTTGGTGTCCAATGAATAAATAGTGCGATCTCCAGCGCATCGGAGTGCGCATCCAGCAGATGTATATAAGGAGCTATTCTTGAACTGTTGTTAAAAGTTTCTGTTGCATTGCGATTTAGGATACCTTTCAACGACTGAAAAAATGCTTCGCCGCAAGATTCAAGCTCATTATGAGCAATTGTAATAAGTTTTAAATGGGTCATATTATTGGATTGAAAGAGGCAGGCTGGGAAAATCGGTGAATCGCTCGTCATATGAGTCGAAGTGATGCGGCGATTAGAAGATGCTAGCAAGAATGGGTGGACAATAGCAGATTTCAGCGTCATGATGGTAGCGGTCGACCTAGGGCCACAACAGATCAGGAGGACAGAGTGATTGTCAGATCAGCTGTCACAGATCAGCTCAGTGCGACCCGCACGCGATTGTCCTCCATGACCATTAACAGATGGCTCATAGAGCGAAATCTACTCTCGTACCGACCGCTACGCCACCTGCCACTCACGGATGCACACTGCAGAGCCATTTTACAGTAGTTCTTGGATCTGTGAGGTTGGAATGATGCTGACTGGGGGCGTACTGTCTTTAGCGACGAATTTCGCTTTCAACCGTGTCGTGATGACCATCGAAGACGTGTCTGGAGACGCTCACAGCAGCGTGCCAATCCTGCCTTCACTACTGCATGGCACACAGGCCAAAGACTTATGGCCTGGGTATCAACCACAAGTTATGTCCTAGGGTATCATTTCTCTTGATAGCCGGACCCCTTTGACCGGCATTAGGGGCACACTTACAGCACAGCGGTATGCCGACCACATTCTGTGACCTGTTTTGCTACCGTTCCTTTGCAGTACCCTGGCCTTATTTTTTAGCAAGATAATGCAAGACCACATACGACACGTGTTACTATGAACTGCCTTACAGCTTGTTAAACACTTCCTTGGCCAGCCAGATCTCTCTTGCAGCAAGAATGTCTGGGATATGATGGGAAGACGATTGTATCTACCGGGGAATGTTGATGACCTAGCCCGACAAGTGAAGCAAATTTGACAAGAAATAACGCAGGTGATCATCCGGGAGCTTTATCAGTCTATGACACACCGTGTGGCAGCTTGCATCCAGGCTAGAGGTAGGTCAATACCTTATTGAGCTCGTTACTTTGCAACTTTGTACCTCTAAATCATTCAATTGTTCTGAAATTTTAATAATTATCTATTCCGTGCATAATCTTTCTATCCACCAATTTTTGTTTCTACCGGACAACTCCTACTTGGCGCGTAGATTTTTTTGTTATAGAGTGTAATATTTTTTTGACACAACACAAACTTTTCACTCCACATCTAATTCTCATATTGTTTGAGCAGAAAAATAGCTTTGGGGCATATTTGTTGACATGTGAGTATCCCCATTGTTGCCGCCAGCGATACTGGATAATTTTTATCCTGCGCTTTACATTCGGATGTGCATTTTAGTACAGATTCACTCGCTGAATTTTTATAGCAATCTTTAATCGTTAAATAGGGCAGCAGTAATATATTAATGAGTTTCTAAATCTTTGTAAGAAAACATTTTGTTTCATATTAGTAACAGCAACTACCATGATATCTCATTTCACGTTTAATTAACCATATACTACTTATAAACAGTTTATCTTTACATAGGTGTGCTAATTTGGTTGTCTTTTGCTTTACTTCTTATTTGTAGGTTCATTATATCTTACATTTACTATGCTCTTTCTTGGAATACAAATGACTTGGGAGGTGACCCGTACATCACGTTCTTCATTTCTGGAGCAGTGGAACTTCCAGCGACGATCATTTTCCTGTACATCAGTAAAGCCATTGGACATCGAATAGCTCTACTTTCCTCAAATGTACTTGCAGGTCTATGTCTGCTGCTCATGATTCCTATACCTGCAGGTAACGCTGATATCTGCAGCCTAAATAGGATATGGTAAAAAATTTAATTCAAGAAATATTACTTTTATCAGCCAGTTTTTCTAACACAGGTGGAAATACGGCTTTTGCATTGATCTTTAAATGTAAAATTTATAAAATTTTGAGATAATCATTAATTTTTCGTTGTACTGAGTCAAGCAATGTATCGTCGCTATTACAGCGCAGCATTTATGACAAAAATGCCCATTTTTATGATAAGTAACAGAAAATAAAAGCATATAGCTTCCTTCAGATGTCGCCCAGGTGGTATAGTGGTTAGTGAACCTGACTACCCTAGGGAGGGGCCCGGGCCCAGGCTCGAATCCTGGAAAAGGCATGGTTTTTTTTTTTAAATGTCCACCTCTTCATAGGGGGCAGCGGTAGCTGCCTATTAGGTGCTTCCATAATGAAATGGCCACCACTTCCGGCTCTTGTAGTGGCGCAAGGCCAATGGCTATTTAATAAAGCTCCTGGCCATTTAAAAAAATGCAAGGTCCTATAAATGATGATATGTGACGCGAAAGTGAGATATCAGCATGAGCATTCGGAACAAGTAGTTTTAAACTTATTCTCTTCATTCCAAGAGGCTACCTTTTCTTTTAAATGAGGCATAGTGCAGTAACACAGACGATACATTAATTATTTCAGAAAAAAATGTTATAATATTTCATTTCCTTTTATCATTATTTTATTCTACTAAAGCAATTGCTAGCTCTGGTTCTTAGGATTTTTAAAGATTATTCAGTGTTAGCCGCCACAGAGTTAAAATTTGTGCTGTGGAAATTATATTATTTCCTTTCGATTAACTTAGTCTAATTATTGCTGCTTTCAGCATTTTAAGAAGACAAGAATTTCTGAAAGCATTTTAGGAAAAGGGGAATGTATAATAGTCTTCTTTATATAAGAATTATAAAGGCTAGTTTTATATAGTTCAACCGCGCTGGTAACGACCATGAGCACAAACACGCATGCTCCATTCGAACCCATTTATTAATCAAATAGAGTGGATGGAGTATGAATCCTGTAGTAGGGATTTTTTCCATTCTTATTTGTTCTCTGCTTATTTTCACTGCTTTCAAACAGTACAGATTTAAAATGGCAGTAAGCAATACAGATTTAAAATGACAGTAAATGAATTTTTAAGTAATGTAACATAATATGCTGATCATAATTTGTAATTAATTGATTGATTACATTCTGTTTAATTTGTGCGTTTATATATTTATTTATACACTGTTAAAAATATGAGTATTTTCAACGCTTAATTTTGCTATACATGCATAATTTTTATGGTAAAGGGTAAGAAATAAAACTATTATTGTATGATAATTGTTATCATAATTATTTAATTATTATATTTTATTCTATAATTTTTATCACAATGAATTCTAACAGAATAACCATTGTAATTGATTATAAAACCTTTTGATAACAAGAATTATTATTATATTATGTAATAATATAATTATTATATTCTTCTTCATATTTGAATTGAAATATATGTACAGTAATATACATAGCAAAAAGAATTTTTAATACTTAATTATAATAATTACATTATAATAAATGATTTTTATAATTATTTAATTAATTGTAGTAATTATGTTATTATAAACAATTATTATATGTTTTTAAATTTTTTTCCGCTAAATTCTGTATGCATTATTATACATAGTTCAAGGCGGGGGAAACAAATTTATTTAATTAAAAAGAAAATAAATCGAAAGTAATTTTACGTGAAAGATTACAATTTGGGCAAATGTTATTTTAAATCAACTACGATCAGAGAACACTCCGTTCAAATGGGTTGGATACGTCTTGACCCCCTTTTTTTTCTTTAAACTGCAGAATGAATATTTTCGCTAAAAATATAGTTGCGTTATTTTCAGGGATCTTATTTTTAAAAGTAATCAATGAAATATGCTCTGTTCACCTAAAATTGATATGAAAAAAAAAAAAAAATTCTATATTTTTGGTTTCCAGCATTGCACTTTTACTATGCAGATATTCACGTTTATTTCTGCGAATGTGAAATAAAGACGCGAAAACCTTGTATCCTATGACACAGGGCTTTCTCTCCGTCGATAGGAAATCTCTTCTTTCCGGAGAAGAGCATATTGTCATGTGAGCTGTTCACCCTGAGAAACACCACTTCTAACGATCGTAAATATTTTGGCAGGATGCCAGCGAAGGTTGCGTTTGACGCGGTTGAACTATAATTCGTTATTTTCGTAATTGTTATGTTTTTAAATAACTGTAAAAACCTGAGAAAAGTCTTTCCGCAGTGCCACATTGGTTTACCAGAACTCGCAATTTTTTTTTTTCCCTTTGGAGACAACTGAACGCGAAAGTTATTCAACATAATTACCCTAAGTAAATTCTAAAGTGTCAGTAAATGACAATCATTGCCTTTCAAACTTCTCACCAATTTATTAAAAAAACGTCAGTAAAGAAGGAAAATTTTAGATGTTGATAAAATTCGTGCAAATGTTCGATGATATTAAAAAAACTGTGAGTTTTTCCCTGAATATTTTTATGAGTTTAAAAGAACGAATATTTACATCAGAATTGTAGAATGTGGTTTTTTTTTTTTTTTTTTTTTTATGCTAAAAGACCCAGATGATAGAAAATAAGATCTATTCAGTGATTAAGAATATGATATTGATAAATGTGATAAATATTTATGTAAAAGTGATTACAAATATATAATATTTTTCAACTATTCTGTGTGATAGATTTAGCGGAATACCTGCATAAAATGTGAAACAGGGCAACAGTAATTTAGGTTAAATAAACACGGCGAATAATAATTATTGGAGAAGTCGACCAACAAGCATCAGGTTATATTTATAAATTTTGGAAGACTAGTTTCGATGGTTTAACTACAGAACCATCTTCCTCAGCTGTCTAAGTGTCCATTTGCACTTAGGCAGCTGAGGAAGATGGCCCATTTGCAGTTAGGCAGCTGAGGTAGATGATTCTATAGTTAAACATCGAAACTAGTCTTGCAAAATTTACAAATATAACTCTGGTTCTTGTAGTTTGATTTCTCCAATAACGGCAATAGTAGTTTGCAAATGAAAAGCTTTTTAAAGAAAGCTTAGTATTCTTCTTTATCTGGTTATGAAATGATCGCTTAGAAATTTCAGCATTTCTCATCGCGGAACTGAAGCTGTAAGAAAAATGTCTTTGAAAGTGGCACATTTATTGTTAGGTATAAACTTCCTCATGCAGAACTGATTTTTTATTCTAAAATTTAGAGAATGTATTTGCTTTCATCGGTTATGTTGCTGTAGACTTTGACTTATCTTCATCTCACTGAATAGGACGCATGCAATTTATTCGTGTAACTGTTAGTATCGGGTTGGCAAGAATGTAATTTCGGTTTTTTAGTGTGGAAAGAAACTCAAATTTTTTTCTACACAATAAATGAACTTTAATTAGTCAAATATCTTCCATTCTGTTCGATGACCTTTTGTCATCTTTCTAGTAACTTCTTGATTCTGCGCTTATAGTAGAACGTTTGGTCTTTTTCAGCAAAAACCTAAACCAAGTGCGATGTGAGGTCATCGCTATTACTGAAAGTCTTACCATTTATGAAGTTTTGTAAAGTTCGAAGTAAATGATAATCCGATGATTTAAGGTTAGGGTTATATGGAGGATATGACATCACCTCCAAACCACGTTCCTGTAATTTAGTACTTGTTGCTAAAATTGTGTGAGGCCTCGCATTATCGTGGAGAAAACGATGCCTTTACGATTTGCCATTTCTGGCCTTTTCTCTTTTATTGTTTCCTCCAAATTCATAAGTTGTTGGCAGTAAACATCTGAGTTGATCGTTCGGTTGTTTGGAAGCAGCTAAAAATACACATTTTTTGAAATCTCACTAGATTGAGAGCATGATCTTTTTCCGGTGGAATTTAGTTTTCGATATGATTTGTGCTGATTCATTGTACTTGGATCATGATGTTTTTCGATTAATGTTATTGTACATGATCCATTTTCCATTATCAGTGACAATTTGTTTAAAAAAAAGAGTTGATTGTATTACGTTTGAAATGCGCATAGCAACTACTGTTAGGTGAATTTATTTCAATTTATGTGAAAACCAAATATCGAGCTTCTTAACGAGTCCAAGACATCTTATGTGATTTTCAGTTGTTGCGTGTGATATATTTAAACTTCTTGCAATCTCTCGCAAAGTTATGTGACAGTTCGGTTCAATTATAGCTTTAATTCTGTCATCATCAACTTCAGAAGGTCGACTAGAATGTTGTTCATCTTTATGTGAAAAATCTTTAGAATGAAATATATAAACCAGTTCCGACACATGCATTCTGTTAAGAAATCAAAACCATAAACTTTACGTATCTCGTTTTGAGCCTCAGCCGCTTTCTTGCCTTTATGAAAATAAAAAAGAAAAATATGTCGAAAATGTTTATTTTTGCACCTTATGTTGAAACTGAGCGTAAACTAACAGTTGTACACAAAAATACACGGGGTGATTTTCTGTGGCAACTTAAAAGCGTCAGCTGCCAAATCGCAAAAGAAAGAAAAAAAATTATAAGATATACGGAAGAATAACAAAATAAACATAACACTATCTAACCGAAAGCAAACCGAAGTTACTTTCTTGCCAATCCAATATTATTTAAAATAAATTTCAAAAGTTCAAAGTTTTCGGTTGTTTTAATGTCGCATTCATTCATACCACTATGTTAATATTTTTTAAACATATTAATAAATAAAAAGTTTATTTTTAAATTCTAGCCCAAAGCATATAGTTATAAAAAATTTTAAATATGGATTTTAAACTTGAAACTCAGTTGCACTTAAGCTCTTCTTATTTGTGTGTTCTAGATATGACGTGGCTGTCAATTACCTTCTCAATGGCCGGCAAGTTCTTCAATTCCGCTTCTTTTGATATTATCTACATCTACAGTGCCGAGGTCTTTCCTACTGTAGTCCGGAATGTGGGTGTAGGATCCAGTTCCACTTGGGCTCGAATAGGAGCCCTAGTTGCTCCTTTCATAGGACAGCTGGTCAGTCTATCTCACTTTCCTTATAATTGCTGTCTTTGTAAAGGTAACTCAAAATGCGATTTATGTGATCAAAAGTATCCTGGAAATTGTATAGAATGTAGTGATGGTGCTTATGCACTTTAGTTCAGGAATTAAAAGGAAGTTGGACTCATTGGTTGCAGTGTCAGTAGTTACTTTGGTAGGAAAGGTATTTGTAACATTTTTTTTATGTTTATCCTCCAACTGTAGTTTCGAAAGAATGGAAAATATTTTATATTCCTCTAGGAGGGTAGTCGTTAGTTACGTCAGCGATATTTAGCCCACACACGGCCACTGGACTTCCAGACAGCCGTCGATCTGCGTAACACAACGTCAGTTTTTCTTCAGATACATGCTAAAAATTTTTCATGTAGCCAAATCCGCAAACTACATTCTAATTCAGCCCATAGTTATTCTGTAGGTATTTTCTCCCTCCTTCCAGCATGCCTTTGTGGTATAACGGTAGCACACTCGGCTCGTATTCGAGAGGTCCAGATTCGAGTCCCGACGAGGACATTGCTCATTATTTATGTCACCCGCTTCAAATAATGACTCTACATTGACGCCCGAATTGACGCCCGTGGTGCACTATAATTCTTCACCACCCGGATTTGGCAATTAGGTCCCCAAATCCCCAGTCGCTTTAAGGTAATTTCTACCTTCTTTTAGCATGTCTTCATGGTGTAACGGTAACACACTGGGTGCGCATTCGAGAGTTCCAGGTTAGAGGTCCGGCGAGGGCGTTGCTCACTTTTCATGTCTGCCCCTTCAAATAACCTAATCACTCTATAGTGTTAAGATAGATCGGGGCTGTGAGTGAGCCAGTCGAGTTCTGATAGATCCATAGCAGAAAACAAATGTTGTATGGCTTAGAACCCAATCTTACCGAACAGAATGTCTTCCTCCTCGCACCCTCATCAAAGTGTTGTCACACTATGGGCAGTGTTGAATTGTCTAAAATATTAAGAGAGGTCTTTTTGCTCACGTTTCTTTTTACAGGACTCAAGGAACTAAGCCCAGACCGAAAGAAACAAGATAAGATTATAATGCTTCTTTCACTAAACTTTGCTGAATTGAGGACAAGTATTCTGTATAAAATGTCATTCACCTGGCATTTGTTATACCCACGCACGGCCACTGGACTTCCAGACAGCCGTCGATCTGCATAACACAACGTCAGTTTTTCTTCAGTTATATGCTAAAAATTTTTTATCGTGTTGAAACCCGAATACTTTAGCTCTGAATGAAAAATCATTGTTCTGACATTGTATTGAACAGAACTGACGAATCTTTCGCAAATAGATTTGGCTGATTACATAAGGTTTTGGTTTACCACTCTAAGAAGCCGCGAATGGCTCCTGTTTGTCAAACTGCGTCGACAACGTGGCTTTAGTTGAACAGATGTAGTTCTATAGTTTTTCACTTCATAAAAAATGTCATTCCCATTTAAATGTTCCTCATTAGACATCATCAGGTTTCAAGAACGGTTGGTAAATCTTCGGATTGTGGTAACTTGGCGATGTTCTGGCGAAAATTTGGCGACCAACCCTGCTACAGCAACCTGCTAGTTTTTTTTGGGGGGGGATGCCATTTTGTTTTCACAAAATAAATGCACTTTTTTTTTTTTTTTTTTTCAACATTTTTTCCAAAAATCTGATAGCTGAATTACGCTTATGCTAGAACTTTTATGGAAAAAAAAAGTGCTTAACCATGACGACCATTAGGTGCGAAATTGAGAGAAAGTGCAGAATCGCCCACTGCTTCGCGCGTTTTTAAGAATTGCACATATGCGGTATCCATGTACACGTCGACCTATTTTCACTTAAAAATACATCCCATAATGGCACAGAAATGGCATTGCGCGCACTCTTGACTTTATCCATGTACACATCGACCTATTTTCACTTAAAAAGTCAAAGAAACCTGGCAAAAATCCAATTCTTCTTATTCTTGTAAAAAACGCAAACAAATAAGTGGACGATTCTGCACTTTAGCAGCAAAATTGTTTCTAAGTGCTTATTAGCTAAAATCACGATCGGAATTTTCCGGAAAATGTCACATGACATGTCTCATGATCTCTCATTTCTCTCAGACAAAATAATCTGTGATTCGAACTGTGTACTTCTCAGATTATCGCTAAAGTCCTACCTAGTAACCTTTATCGCCTTACCAAAATGTCGCCAAACTACCTGTTACCATATTCCAAAGATCAGCCGAACTATTTTTCGTAACAAAGCAACCAATTACTTCTCCTTTTTCGAACTCACCGAATGGCATCTCCTATCCACGTTGTGTTTTAAGATGTGTATTATGATGTCTCTAAAAGGGATTCCTAAATCTTCTGCTAATTTCGGAATGAGTCATGACTTCTTGAATAATTTATAAACTTTTCCGAACGTTAAGTATACAGTGCTATGTCAGAGGGCAAATTTACTACTTCCTGGAAGCATTAGAATGCTTTTGATCACATAGTGCCTTTCGAGGAACAAACCAAATTACTGAAAATTTACTTGCATTTATTCGATTTAAATACGTTTATGAGATTGCGAAAATATTTAAATGAAAAAATATTTATTTTAAGGATTATACTGACCATTACAGTTGGTTAACTTCAAACAGAACTGATTGATTAATTCTGACATGAACAATTAAAATCTTCAAACAGAAGTAAAGTTCTCTTTTTCAATGAGAAAGATTTAATTGAATAAAAAAAATTATAAATATCACTCTTGATGAATACCTCCACTGAAAATAGGACCAATAAATATGAAATCATTTTAAATTGGTAAATTTTATTTTATTTTGTAGTTTCAGAAAACGCGTTCACATTACATTTTCCTAAACTGAATTATAATTAAAGTTCTTTCTTCCCATTCCGGTTAAAAGTCAAAATGACTTTTGTTTCAGTAATACAAAGCCATGACTGAAATTTGTTTCATGTTTAAGTAAAAGTTTTATATAATTTGCAAAGAAAAAGAAGTATTTTTTATTCTAGTAAGTGAAAGTAAATCTTAGAATGAAGAATTTATTTTTTCTGTGGTTGTAGTTAATTTCGAAACGGTAATAGTAAGCTTATATAATAACAATAACTTGCTTACAAAACAACAATAATAATCTAGACTTGGACCATCAGTTGTCTAAAATAGGGATTCGAAATGTTTAGCTCCTTTGTGCATATTGATATGGTCCGCCTGTGTACAGTGTAGTGAAAAAAAATTGTATTTTTGCATTAAAAAATTTATGTATGATAATTTTAACGTTTTCAAAATTTTTTGTTTTATTTATTTTGCTTTATTTCATTTAACGACATACACAAAAGGTAAAAACCTATTTTAAATCAATGGGAGAAAAAAGTCATATCTGGGAACCGAATTATAAAAATAAACGGAGCTCATCACTGTGGCCCATATCTGTGTCAACATTCTAAGAGGATCTAGTCTAGATAAAAACTTATGTTGGTAATTACATTCTAGACATCCATTACGTGTGATTGTTTGCTACACTTTGTTTTTCTGAATTACTCTGAATTTATAGTAGCAATAGTAGTGTTATAACAAATATTACTAATAATTTCGTATTGCTTATTTTGGACCTGATAATTCTATTTTTGTCATTTCTTTGAGTACAATCCATAGTAATAGTTTGATGATTAATCAATAGAAACGAAGCTATATGCAGGGTGTTTTTGTTTTAATTCACACTTCTCAGAGCCATCTGTAGCTCGGCCTATCAGCTACCACCAAATTTGGTAGCGGGGCAAATGACGATAAGAGGAAAACATTTATTGAAAAAAAAATTTCGTTTCGAAAGTTGCGGATAAAGGAAAGTATGGTCTCTGCCAAACCAAACTACTAAGGATCACATTTCTTCCAAATCTGAATCACGACTTTTAATGCGTTTATTTATAGAGGGTCTTTATATAGGATGTGACAATTTCTACTCACACGAAGAATGGCGGATGCGTTTTATTGATGAAGAGATGATCTTCCCAAGTAATGCGCGATGAGGTAAAGTGAGACGCATGTTGAATCCTGCTTATATTCAGAATGCCTGTCGGTGTTTTTCACTTATTTTTATAGACTGATTTACTGACGCTGCTGTCATTTACATTACCGAGTATTTGCATTTTCAAATTTTTCCTATTTCATGCACATTTTGAGTTGTATAGACTGGAACAGCGCCACATTTTTCTCTATTGACACCTTTCGAAACTAACTTTTTTTTTCCTTTGAGTCTTTTCCCCCATATCATCCTTAGTCCTTCTGCCAAATTTGGTGGCATTTCAACTGGTATATCGAATTATAGATGGCTCTGAGTAGTGTCAGTATAAGAAAATACCCCATACTTCTTTTAAAGAATTGTGACGTGGTTACAGCCGAAAACATCACGGAGAAAACAACGCAAGGCGAAAACGTCGTGATACAAAACATCGTGGGAGAAAACATCGCAGTTCTAAAACATCGTGATACAAAATATCGTCGTCCAAAATAAAGCGATTCAAAAATTTCGCAGTTTAAAAATATCGTCGTCGAAAAAATCGTGCTTTGAAATAAAGTATCTACAAATCATCGCATGACGATAACATCGCAGACATGCTTTTTTCAGGCTTTAATAATTGTAAAGGGATATTTCCATAATGATTTGAGCGCAAGATGGAAAGAAGAATAATCTTTACTTTCATATTTTTTATTAACTAATAAATTTTTGCTTAAAAAGGTAAGAAGGAAATTTAAGCATAGAAAATTAAGGCAACTTATAGATAGAAAATTAAGGCAACTTAATAGAATTTTAAACTGACATAGTTAACTAACAAAGGTCATTAATAGGTCATTTTTTTATAAAGTTTTTACTGGTAATTTTTCATTAAAAGTATAATCTAAAAATATTTAGAAAAAGGAAGCTGCGTAACTGCATGACCTTATCTATAAAAAATTGCTAATTATGAGATTATTTTCTTCATTTTTGTCAATCTAATAGTCTTATAATGAAAATTATTTCTTGTTCTGCTTCAGTTTATTTTTAAGTTTCCTTCTTACTTTTTCAGCAAAAAATTATTAGTTAATAGAAAACATGAAAGTAAAAATTATCTTTCTTTCCATCTCGCGCTCACAAATCATTATGGGAATATCCATTTACAATTATTAAATCCTGAGAAAAGCAGGTCTGCGATGTTATCGTCCTGCGATGATTGGTCGATACTTTATTTTTTACCGCGATATTTTCAACGACGATGTTTTTAAACTGCGAAGTTTTTGAACTGCTTTATTTTCGACGACGATATTTTGTATCACGATTTTTAGAACTGCGATGTTTTCTCTTTGCGATGTTTTCTCCCACGATGTTTTGTAGCACGACGTTTTCGACTTGCGTTGTTGTCTCCGCGACGATTTCGCCCGTGATGATTTTGCCGTGATATTATCGGCGGACACCTATGACATGAAGTATTTAAAACTCTCAAATTTACCAAAATTGTAAACTATAACAAACCGTAAGAATGCAGGTTAATTTATCGATAGTTTAATTGTTAATTATGGAAAAGTAGTTAAAGATTAACGAATCTAACTTTATGTATATGATAAGAAGTGTTTTAGAAAAATTATCATTTCACGAGTAAGGAAAGTTCAGAAAAATTTCGTGTTCCAGTGTATTAATAACATATAACTGATCAGTAGGCATAGCTGCTGATATTAAGTCAAATCGTTATCTAGACAACTGATGAGCCTTTTAAGTTGAGGTAAAGATAATTTTTGGCAATAAACATGTTAAACACTTTTACTGTAAAATCTTCATGCTAAGAAAATCCTTGTGTAACATATACATTAAATTTTAAGCTTCTTTAAGCTTATTTAAGTTTGTTACATTAAGCTTGTGTATTTGTTTAACACATTATTTCCCAGCAATTGTTCACTCGGAGTAATATTTTTTCAATTGAAAATACTTCTGTTTTTATATACCAGATTTTCTTTGTAAATTTTTAAAGTGAATGGAAAACGTTTTTCATTCTGATTAAGTGAAATGTATTTCTAAAAATTTTCATTATCCACCACATTTTTAATAAATTATGTTATGCTAGAATATTTTCTTAGAAATTATCTAGTAAAATTACGAATTAAGAGAATATTATTTAATTAACAGTTGTTATTTGTTAGAGGAGATTTCCTACTAATAGGAACACTACTAATCCAACTCTCATTCTTCCAGGCGGATGTCACCCATCCTGTTGTACCCCTTGCAGTTCCTGGAGGTCTGTCGATTATTAGCGGTTTGCTGCTACTTTTGCTCCCCGAAACGAAAGGTAGAAAAATTCCTGACACCTTGGAAGAGGGAGAAATATTTTCAAAGTAAGAATAATAAAATTTACACTAAAATTAACGGATAATATAGAATTATTGCTGTTACAACTTTACCACAAATAATTTAAGCTTATTATTCGAAATCTTAATCTCCACTTCATTTATAACTAGTTTTCTCAAACATTATTTTGGATCTTTATTTAGATGATATCAATAACTAAAAATGAACTAAAATTTCAAATTTTCATTTCCCCCCCCCGCTGCTGATCTTCGTACAGTTTGGGGAAGAGGGAAAAGGTTTTTTTCTTGAAAATCAAGTCAGTTATGGTGGATAGTGAATATTGGACTAGTTCCCTTCCAGTAGTAATTGGTGACGAAATAAAAATTCCCATTTTATTACCTAAATGTGATATAAAAAGTAAGTATTCATAGGTTCTGAAAGCTGATGCAACCAATAAAATTCAAAAGATCACTCTTTTGATTCATCACATATTATGCAACTACTACATAGCATATTAAAAAATGGCTACAAATTTTATTCTTAGTCAGAGATCCCGTATCTCCTCTTTCAGTCACAAAGCTTTTGCATTAAATGGCAACGAATTTTTTTAAAATAGTGCCATTATTAGAGTTGGAATTTCTTCCCAAAGATAAACTCTAAATTTTTATATATTTCTTCTGATTAGTAAATGATCAGAATATTTTTGTTAACTAAATCTTTAGTAAGTTAACGTTTTCCAAGGTGCATTATAGGTAAAGATTGATATTACACCCTCAAGAAGGAGGGTAAATTAACGTCTGTACAATCAAACCTTAGACGATAATCGAACCTATACCCGTGGTTTCTGGCCAACATTCAGTCTCCATTAATCACAGTACTATTCAAGAGACAACATTTAATGACTCTCATAATTTATTACTATTTTTTATTATATTATCTCAAAATTATCTATGAACATTTTTTAACTAAAAAGACTCAAAATTTTGAAATTTTAATTTTGAATTTTATCAGCTCATCATTCACAGGCAAAGAGAATACTGCCGACATTTCAGTATGAAACATTATGCGATTTCCAGATTCATCAGTTAATTCAGCATAAAAAAGTCGTAGATAAATCAAACGCCACTTTGATAATATCTGTCTAAAAATTCAAGAACTGCATTCGAAGTTATTAATTATTATTGCTCGGAGAATGCAGATGAAAAAGCACATCTGCATGAAGCAAAAAGCAAAAGAATTTTTAATTCTATAATATTTTATAACTGAATAAGAATAAAAATGAGAATTTATTTTCAGTGCTTCCGTTTTAGTTTCAGTGTTAAGATGAAATATCAAATGTCCAAATTAAAAGATTTTAAACAATTAGGTGATTTTTGAGGCATTACCTCAATTATTACATTTTCGCACCTGAAATTAAGCGTTAATGTCATGTGTTTTTTTATTAATAAATGTTTATTATGTTCCAATTGAGCCTTCTAGAACAGAATTAATCTTAGGTTCTGTTATCGGATTTTAAAGAGATTAGAGAAGGAAAAGGATGTTATTTCTATGTTTAATTACCTCAATTTACTTGGCATATTTTTCCCTCCTGAAATTAAGCTGTAATGTCAGTGTTTTTTTTTTTTTTTTAGTAATACAAGTTTTTTACGTCCCAATTCCGCCATCTAGAACAGAATAAACCTTAGGTTCTGTTATTGAATTTTAATGTGACTAGAGTATAGAGAAGGAAAAGAATGTTATTCCTATGTCTAATTACTCAATTTATTTAATACATTTTTTTTCTCCTGAAATTAAGGCCCACCAGCGGCCGAGCGGTAAAGTCGCTGAACACTGGTAGTTCGGTCCGAGGTTCGAATACCGCGAACGGGCTGGCTGCATGGGTGTTTTCGTGGTTTTCCCCATGTGTATACTAGCCAGTTGCCCTTAGAAAGTCCTCCAAGAAGGCATCCCTGCCCTTAGGTAGATAGCCCTACTGTGCTTTGCCATAATTAAATACACACCACCTCCTGAAATTAAGCTGTAATGCCATGTGTTGGTTTTAGTAATCAAGTTTTATAAGCAATACAAGTTAATGCAAGTTTTCTTATGTTCTAATTCAGCCATCTATAACAGAATTAACCTTCGATTCTGTTAGCGGATTTTAGAGCATAGACAAGGAAAAAGAGGTTATTTCTAAGTTTAATTACCCCAATTTACTTGGTATATTTTTCCCCTCCTGAAATTAATCATCCTTTAATGTCACGTCTTTTGTTTAGTAATACAAGTTTTTTACATCCCATTTCAACCAGCTAGAACAGAATTAACCTTAGATTCTCTTATCGAAGTTTAAAGCAAGTAGAGTATAGAGAACAAAAAGGAGGTTTTTTTATTTAAAGCTTTCTTTAAATGATTCCTTGTTTTTCATGTCTCTGTTTACTTTTTGCAGGAGAAGAAAACCATATAAAGTGTTCGACAAAGGATCCAACAATGGTATCAAAATGGAAGAGCGGTAGAAGATAGTTAGTTCACTAGACGAGCAGTTTGCTAGAATAAAAGATTATGACGGCGTACTATGGAAACGAGAGTAATGGGGTCATCATAGGAACTAATTATTTTAAACTGTAATTTAAAATAATTAGATTTGTAGCTCTTTTATGTCATTAATTATTTATATTAAAGTTGTTAGTATTAGATTCCAGTGACACGCAAGAATGATTTCGTCATCATTGCAGTAAAAGAAAGGAAACCAGGTCTTTACATTTGTTTTCTCAAATGGGATTCAGTCCAAGCATTTCACACAAACTCTAAGAAACTACATTTTAAGAAGTAGTTTTTCCTATTGTGTTGAATTATTCATGTGTTCTTTGAAGCACCTACAGATATTTAATATTTGCTTTATTTGTCCATTTGTTAAAAATGTGGCACACATGAAGCTGTAAACTAATGCATCTTTGGAATTATTTACTTTTTTATGCTTTGATGTGTTGTGCCTTTCACAGCATTATACTCGATATTTCATTTTTTATATAATTTTAAATGTGAATGTGAGAAGATTTCTTGAATAGATATAAGTATAGTTCAGAAGCCTTCATTAAATAATTAATTATTTATGTTACATGCTCGATGTCTAATGCAATAAAGATTTTTATTTTCTGTTTACTGGTTTTATTAATTTATTTAAGTAATTTTTATATTTTTGACTAACGAAAAAAAGAAATTTTTATTTAACCCTTTAAAAAGCATGAATTTTTATTTTTACTTATTTTAATTTTATCACTTTTAGCCTAAAGGGGCAATTTGCCCAGAAGGTCTATTAATTTTGTTTTGGCATTTTCTGTTGATTCATTATAAGCGGCGAATCCCTTTTTAAATTATTGCCACCAAATATTAGAGCCTTGTATTATATATAAAGAAATTAAATAATGAAGAATCTGTATAAATGCATGTATATTTCTCGCACTGTGATAAAACAACGGTACCTAGAGCCATCAAATTTTGAATAACGTACGTCTCCACCCGAATATGGGCATCTGGGAGCCCCGAATTTGAAATTTATTTTATTATCTATTTTATATTTTATAAAGTATTTATGAGTTTTTGATTAAGAAATTCAACGATTTCAAAGCCAGGAACGACAATAATTTACGGAAGAGAAACATTTTTATCTCCAGCGCGCGATGCTGTGTACCGAAAATTCTAAAGATATGCTCTTTTAAATATTTTGTGATATTGCTCTTGAATTAATTTTATGGTTTAAGTGCGAAGAACATGGCCTTTAATAAATAAAGGTAACGCACAAAACGTTTAACAAAACGCCCCTTCAGGCGAAATATAAAATCTGAAAGCCTTCAAATAGATTTTTATTTTTATTATTTATTTTTTTAAGTCAATAATACATTAGATTTAATACAGATACATGATACATGATATCGAATGAAATAGTTAAAAATACTAATAAAAATGAAACTAAGTATTTTTTGCCAATTTTTGAAAAAAATATTATTAACTTTAAAAACAAATATGATAAGCAAATGTGTAATAACAATTTCATGTAATATATATATATATATAAGCGGCTTAAGTGTTTGTCGCCGATAGTTTATTGGTTGCTTGCGTAACTGTAAATTGTTTTATTCCCCGTGCAGTGCAGCGCGTGACGTATATTATTAAGCTAAGCCGAAAAAATTAAAAATACTAGACCACGTGCATTTAACATTTAATAAATAAATTTAACATCTGTTTGTCGTCGATACACTACGCAATTAAAATTGGTTGCTTGTGCAGCTGTAAATTGTTTTATTCCCCGTGCAGTACACGTGCGATAAATATTATGAGAAAGCTAAGCCGGAAAAATTAAATACAAGATCACGTGCATTTAACATTTAATAAATAAATTTAACATCTGTTTGTCGCCGATAGTTTATTGGTTGCTTGCGCAACTGTAAATTGTTTTATTTCCCGTGCAGTGCAGCGTGTGACGAATATTATGAGAAAGCTAAGCCGGAAATTAAAAATACTATGCATTTAACATTTAATAAATAAATTTAACATAATAGAATTCGGAAATTTGCAACCGAAAAAAACCGGCAACTATGAAAAAACAAATAAGATAAAATAAATAAATATCTTTATTATGTGCGGCTTAAGTGTCTGTTTGTCGCCGATAGTTTATTAGTTGCTTGCGTAACTGTACTAGCCAATTGGGTGAAGTTGTCACAGCACAATTGGCCGTTTCAATTGAGACGTAGACAATTTCCTGTAAAACTTGCCTTTGCTATGACCATCAATAAGCCTCAACGCTTAAGCGAGTTGGCATTTTTTTACCTGAGCCTGCATTTGGACACGGTCAACTTTATTTTGCCTGTTCAAGAGTTCGTGAAAGAATGGACGTAGAGTTAAAAATAATGGATGGTCTTCTGCAAGGCGAGCTTAAAAATGATGGAAAGATCTACACAAGAAAGGTTGTGTACTAAGATATCTTTGACATGTGAATTAACATTTTTATTATTTAAATCATCTTTATTTATTGAGCTAGCGGTGGCTCTTAAGAAATGTACCGCCAGTGGTTTCCTTCATTGCACTCTATTATAAGCAATTAAGCAAGTAGAAAGGAAAAACCCCGTGGGGCAGTAAGCAAAGGGGCCTCCTCGCCGCCGTTTCCCAGCTATTACAATCGTCTCCTCGCCGCCGTTTCCCAGCTATTACAATCGCCACGGCATCTCAAATACAGATATCTGTGTCTGTGGATCAGAAGGGTCACCAGACCATTACGTATTTGAATGTCCTTTGACGGATGCGCACCATCTTCCGCTACCTACAAATAATAGGAACGCCTATCACCGGTTCCTTATAACGCATAAAGGAGCGGTTAATTCAATCTCCAGCATCATGAATACCATCGCGGCATTGGGCACAGACCTTTGCCTACCGTGCTAAAATGACGCTATGGTGTACTGACGATAAGCTCTAAGACTAGTCCAGTGAATTTTACAATATCTGGGCTTCACCACAACTGTGTGTTTAAGCTCCCCTGCCCACAATCTAAAGTGGCAATACTAACAATTCGCAAATATGTGGCATCTCCTTAGAGAGATGTGTTATGCCTCCATAATGATACGTGTGTAATCCCTTCAACAGCATGTGAACAACATCTTCTTACGCAGTGTTAGTGAACGCTTGTGTGCCTCACTGTGCACACATTGCTGGGGCACTGCCCAATAATTAGTGCTACAACATCCTCGTGCCTTTTATCAGTGTTTTTATCTATGTTCTTAGCGATGCTACAATAATCAACGCCTTAGCAATCTAACCGCACTCTTCTTCTGCACACATGAGTATTCATGAACTCATCATTCATCATTCAAGATGTACTTGTATTTATATCCAACAGAACTGCCTTACACTAACATTGTGCTCCAGCTTTCATGTGACTTCATGTACTCCATTTATCTTTTTGTGCCTTAAGTGACTATGTGTATGTACCTTTTTTTTGTGCTCTCTGTTTATGCATTTTACGCATTGTGCTTTTTGTATTGTTGCCTATGCATTTTTATGTCTTTTTATGCGTATGTCTTATTATCCAAGTATTTTTAGTTTAACTACCTACTATCTGTAACACCACAGCTTGCCTCTTCAAACTGTAATACAATCCTACTAATGCCCTTGTAAGGCCATGTACTTCCCTTTGACAACCTCAATAATCTCCTGGTGCAGCCTCGTGTGGTTCCAGGAAGCTTTTGCCGTAGTTAGAGGAGGGTTTGGAACACATGCCTGTTTACCTCTGTTAGACACCAGGCGTTCCAGTCCTCCGTAACCTACCTACCTACCTACTTCGCCGCCTGCCCTGGGTAATTCAGTTTGAATTAGCAGACACCTCTGCACAAATCACATCAACTCACAATAGTGACCGTTACACCGTTAGTCGTATCACCACACTGAAACTTTCAGAACTATATACAATAAACAGTATGGATCCGATTGGTTACACTACGCAATTAAAATTTCCGTAGTTTTGATTTGATTAATTGACTAAATATGAATATCTTGCCAAATGGCAACTACGTGCATTTAAAGCACATATATATTTTCAATAATTTTTCGAATTATTGCAAATTATGAAATAATGTCGATGTCTCAAAGAATCCTGAATCTGCATTTTTTGTTGTTTTCATTTACATAATTTTCTGCGCCGTTTAAAAGAGCAGGTTTTTCTTAAATGCATGTAAAAGAATCGCCCCGCAGAAATCAATACTAAATTTTCCTCTAAACAGCTCATACTTTGAAAAATGTTTTTTTTTTTAGAAAAAATGATTTTATATATTTTTGGTTTTAGCATGATGTCGACGATATGTGTAATGGATAAGATTCGACTGAAGCTTTCTTTGTGAATAACTGGGATTTATCGCTGTACAGATGAGCTTTAATCAATATAAAAAAACTGAATGTATTTCAAAATTGTTAAGGTATCTTCTTATGTATTTTCGAGCAAACTAGAGAAACGAATTTAAAAGTTGAAAGAAATATTACAGGAAGTCATCTGTTGAGGAGAATAAGAAATTTACATACTTTAAAGTAGAAGTTATGCATTGTAATAATATTCCAATAAAAATTTTAATATTCACGTTTCTTAAACAAAATTAGTCTTGTATTTATAGTATTGGTTTAAATAACAGAGAATTTAAAATCTGAAAACGTTTTTCATTTATAGACATATAAACATTTCCAGATCATTTGGGATAACGCCATTTGGGCTAAAAATATTTAAAAACAGCATATCCTTAGAACTTCCGATAGACAGTCTCGCGAGCTGGAGATACAACTGTTTCATTCTCTAAAATGCTGCCTCTGCTCGCTTTGAAATTTGGGCGTTTTTTAATCAAAAATTTGTTAAATGTTTTAAAATATGAAACAAACAATAAAACAAATTCAAAATTCCAAAAACGAGAATATTGAATACTAAAAGAATTTTGTGATTTCACATCGCTAGAAATGTTTTTTGTTAATCAGCTCTCTACATTGTTTTATCCCCCTTGGAAAAACTATCAAAAGAATACTGTGACTTCACATCGTTTTGAAACAGATATACTTGTATTACTAAAATATTACATTTTTGTTGGTTTGACCTTCGAAATATATTTGTTAAGTTATAATCATATAGTTCTATAATATTAAAACAAAATATGTTTCTTATTTTTATGTGAAATAATGATTTATTTTATTTGCATTTATGTCAAATACGTACTTTTGTATCTCTTTGAAAATCAAAAATTGAAATAAAATATATCGTACTTAATATCTGGGACAGATTCTCTTGCGTATTACAAGCAATGTTCTACTAAATGGAACGAACTGTTTGTTCACCAGGTGAACAAATAATTTTCGCTTAGAAGTTATATCTTATAACTTCTTGTATCGAAGGTAAATGAAATTAAAATTGTGTTAATGCAGATACAAGATAGAAATTTAAATTTGTATTTAAATATACGAAAGGAAAATCAAAAATTATAATTTAATTTTTAGAATCAAATTGATCGAAACGTCATGACGGTTTTACAAGAACATCTTTTTGAATATTAATTCTGTCTTTCTAAAAGATCGTATTCATTACTTTTTAAATAAAAATTTTCTTTCAATTTACTATTTTCAAAATCTTTATTTTATCCGTCTTTACGTTCTTCTAGTGCTTCTTTTAATTGTACTTTAAAAGTGCTATTTCCATTAAGAAAATACAACTTTGATATTTTTATTGCTTTTATCTTTTCAATGATGAATTATAATTGATCTATTTTTCCTGTATCACATAGATGACAACGCTGTGCGGTAGAAAAATTACTTTTAAAATTCTTCACGAACTTAGCAGTCTGGAGTTCCAAATACTTATCAAATAAGAAAAATGGAAAAATCTCATACATTTAAAAACTCTAACATCCTTCAAGCATTTAGTTTTTCTGATTATCCCGATATAAAATTCCAAATACAGCTTCTCCAAGGTTGGCGACCATATACAATGTGCATTCTTACTTTATTTGTAAAGAAATTCGTCCCATAATAATTAACAAAATTTCACATTTATTACACATTCGCTTGACATTTATTTCAAATGGAAATGCTCAATACATTCACAGGGAAAACAAATTATCTTTTTACTTCCATGTATAAAGTAAAGGAATTATCATAATCATAAAAAACATTCAACGAAAATATCTGTTTTGACTTTTCTCGAATATACATCTGAATGATGATTTTGCGTACATATGTAAGTATGGCAGAATAAAGGAATCTTTTATTTTTTCAAAACGAATTGTAAAATAGATTTAAAATAAATTCAGAAGCGATTTTTGTGACATCTGTACGTGCGTACGCAAGTATGCATTTCGGTACTCACAAATGGTAGCCGTAGAAAGTAGAAATTTTGTTTATGGGACTGTCATAATCTGTAGTTTCCCACCTCCCTTTTTCGTTGCAATAGGCGGCACAAAACGTACGTATATATATATTGTAAAGATCGTGACTTGTAAGGATTGTGACTTGTAAAGATCGTGACTTGTAAAGATCATGACTTGTAAAGATCGTGACTTGTAAAGATCATGACTTGTAAAGATCGTGACTTGTAAAGATCATGACTTGTAAAGATCGTGAATTAAAGAGAACGTGAAATATAAATAATAGGTCATGAACTTGCATTTTACGGTGTGGCAACAAGAAGAGAATTCGGAAGATTTTTATATATATTTTGTTTGGAGAGTTTAAGATATTTTAGTATTTTAATAGTCGTAAGAGTTTTAACTGTAGTAATTAAGAGTATAAAATTTTAATAGTTAAGAGCTGCAGCATTTATTTTTTTTTTGGGTTCTGTTCTAAAATTCAAATAAAAGTATTTTGTTCATTCTGAAAATTTAGCTTTGTTCTTCCTACAAGGTTCAATATCCAATATATTGAAATAAGGAAAGGATTTTACTTATATATATATATATATATATATAATACTGAATAAAAATACTGAGCTCACCGAGGCAAATAATAGGATTATTATTTGCCTCGGTGAGCTCAGTATTTTTATTCTTATATGTTGGTGAATTGCTCGTTTTTTGCTTTAAAAGTGATTGAATCATGTGGTTCTTGTGTTCCGGTTAAGGTTTTTATGCCTTTAGTTAATCTGCATGAAATAGTTGTAGAATTATCGAGAGTTTAAAAGTTTAAGTGGCGCTAGGCCTAATGAGGCGGCCATTTGTTTGCATTTGAAACTCTTAGTATAATAGAGAATTAAGCTATTTGGTGCACCAACTTCAGTATCTGTTTGCGCAATGGGACCGAAAGTCAACTTTAAATTTCGGGCATCGATAATTTTGTCTTCTTGCCCGTTGGCCGAATTGATTGTTTTGGGGTGAAAACTTTAATTTTAATTATAAAAAAAATTATTAAACTCCTTTTAAATGTATTTGGTATTTTAAATTTATCTGTATCTTATAATTTTTAATGAAGATGTTTTGTGTGTTTGCTTATTTTACCCTTGTCGCAAAATGAGAACTGAATTGATTTAGTGAGAAATTATATCTTTTATTAAATTCAAGAAAATAAATTTAAATGAAGTGTAGCGAAGATTTGTGCATTTTAATAGGTCAAGTAAAGTGAAGTCAAGAAAGTCAAGTGGTGTCCATATCAAGTGGTGTGGAGTTTTTCTACAATATCGTCAGAGAAAGCTAGGCATGATGTTTTTAAAGAAAAATCCAAGTTAAGGTTTCTGAAGAAAATGCTCCCCAGTTATTACATCACCAAAACAGAGAGAGGCATTGGCTCTAAAGCTGTAATGTACTTAGTCGTTTGAAATCAGCTTTCAACGCAAGATGAATTTTTCCAAAATCGGAAACCCAAATTAGAAGGCATTTCTTGTTTGCACTTGTAAAACTCAGCTTTTCTTTTTAGCTTCCTGCAGTAAAAATTCTAGAGTTCATGTTATAATTAATACGCACCAAGCATACCAAGAACTAATCAATGATATTTTCCTTTATTCATAATTAGAAAATTTATTAAAATATGGGCTTCCAAATTATGTTGAAATTTAAGTCGCTCTTTATTTGGACAATGTATACTTGCAGTTGTAATGCAACTTTAATTCAAGTTATTCTCATCCCACATATTTTCATATAATATGTGGGCATTACATTAAGCAACGTAAATTTATTCGATGACAATAATTTTTAAATCTCCTAATTTGCTGTGTCATGATCTTTAATTCGAAAAATTATGACTGTGCATTGTTTTGAATTTACGTTATTACTTTTGTGACTGTGCATTATTTTAAGTTTTTCACTACTACATTAATGCTTGTTTTAAATATATACTTGGGATGATGAATGTGATTTTTTGAAAAACGAAAGTGTCAGAAGCAAATATGTTTTTTCGTGGCATGTGTAGGGAAATATGTAGCAGCAATATATTTCAAAAAACTTAATTTAGAAAATTATAACATAAATTACATCTGATTTTAGCAGAGGCTCAAAATTCCTGTTTCCAACATCAAGATCTTCATTAAAAGGTAAATATTTCGATTTTTCGATTCTGTAAGAAACACCTACAAATAATTCATCAACCTTCGCTCACTGGAGATTCGTATTTAAAGTGTCCGCTTAAGAATTAAGTTTCCGACGGTAAAATCTCTTGCTCTCAAACTAACAAATAATTTATTCTTATTTGGAAGCTACTACTTCTGCACAATTCTCATTGAAATAATCTGTATAATCTGACTGTAAGCTTTACCGTAAAACATTTCTCGGTAATAAACTGTAAGATTTTGAACAAAGATACGATTACCAGAATTGTACAACTAGATTTGCTGCATTTTCATTTTTCATTCTAATCTTTCATCTAAATCTGTATTTTTTGTTGTTGATTGTTTTGTTTCATGCATTTATACAATTTTCTGTTGTATTCATGGATTATTTGGTATTTTTCTTAGTTTTATTAAGTTTTATTTGTACTGTTTCTCAGTAGAAATTCTGTTTATTCCAGTCTGTTATGAGGTGTAACATCTCGTTTTTCATTGGTACATTTTCATAAGATCATGTTACGCTGGAATTATTGAATCTCTCCTTGGATTTTTTTTTTTTTTTTTTTTTGAATTGAAATAATGATCTCTCCTTCTTTCGATACTAGATTTCCTCCTCGAGTACTTAACTTTGAGGTAACAGAAGTAATCGGCCTAATTACACGCTAAGTTCAATGCGGAAGTAACACCCCAAATCAAGCTATGGACTTGCACATTATGTAACAAATGCGTAATGCTTGAGCAATTTTTAAAAATTAAAGGAATTAAAACATAGCGAACTAGGAACCTTGAACCGTTTTCTGATGGATAATTGATATTTTTTTAAGGGGTGTTGGAACCCCAAAATCTTCAAAAAATTGTGATTTCGGATTTTTGCATTTTCAAATTTCCTACACTTTTATCTTTCTAAAAATACCATTCTTTAATCTATATGAAAATTAGAACTGTAAAAAATCTAGTTTTAATATGTCATCGACTGCTTTGATCAATGAGGATTTTTACATAAAAACGCGTTTTTCTCCAAACGTGATTTTTTTATACTCGATGTACCTTTTCTCAGGAACTACTACTTACAGGTATCTAAAATTTTTATGGCTTATTTGTTAGGTTTCCTGATATTTACTGAAATGAGCTTTTTGTGATAAACTTATAAAAAATTTTAAAAAGTTTTTTGTGTGAGAAAAGTGCTAAATTTTACTATGCCTAACAAAATATTCTGTAAATTACTCTAAAATTCAAAATGTTTCAAAAGCTCATTTCAGTATAATCAGATAGGTATACTTTAATTACACAAAAAATTTCAAGCATGTATCTACAGCAGATTTTGAGGAAAGGTACATCGAAAATGCCCAATTTAACATTGTCGGTATAGGGGTTTCTGATACCCCTTAGTATTCCTTCTTGTGCTTCAGACTTTGAGAATTTGAAATTTCGGTAATTGGTCAATGGCATGTACACCTGAAAGTTCTACTACTTTATTTCAGTGCATGTGTTGCTGCATCTGTGTTGTTAGCATATGTGTTGTTATCTATGATATGATGTTTTCGTAGGGATTTCAGTTGTGAGAGATTTAATACAATCTAGATTCCTCAGTGATGTTAATAAAATTCAGGACCAAACCACCGTTATAAGCCCTTCTGGACTCATTTGAGTGAAACGCTGTATAATCACTGTATAATATAATTAATCACTTCAAAATACAATTGCTTATGATATCATTGTCAGTGTTTACAATGATATTTTGAATTCTTCTATGCCCTCAGTTTAGGGTTTGAAATCATTATGCCTTAGTATATAACTTGTAAGCTTTATACCGAATCAGAGACTCTAATACATATTTCCAAGCAAGATATACGAAAACATCTTATAAATCATGAGATCTTGATAAGAGCTTAGTTTTCAGGTATTCTTTTGAGAGAATAATGATAGAGACAAAACTAGTTACGTCTGCCGAGTCCTTGCTTTGAAATGAACTGATAATTCATGATATACCATTATTTATGTTCTTCACTTAAGTTCTTGTTTTTGCTCACTATACAGTCCAAAAATTGTAAATGGAGACAACTGGCATATTCTAACGGTGATACTACATATAATACTGTTTTCAGCATATTTTTATAGTGATTGACTCCAATGAAAGCTAAAAATAAACAATAATGTTTTATGTTTGGTATGGTGATGTGGCTTAGCAGAAATCTCCATAAATCGATGATTCAATGAAACACGTTTGAGCTACATGAAGGCAAGTTCATTCAGTACAAAAACGCTTGCTGTAAATTTGTGATGATGTCAGAGGTCATGTGAGCATACGTAACTATGACGTCACGAAAAAATCACGCGATCTCTGACGTCATTTGTGATTTTTTGCTACTTTAGTTGAAAGCTTTCTGACAACACTGATGGTGTGGCGAGCTATTGGGTATAATTGTCGTTTCCATATAATGCAGATTGGGGATAACCTCAACAGTGATCCCTACATAAGGGAAGTTGTGAAGCTAGAGGTCTTCCCCATTCTTTGACGCATACTGGGCGCTGTATTCCTACAAGATAATGCCCGAACACATGTTTCTCATACTGCGCAAGCTTGCTTTAGGGCACAGCAGATTTCGCTTCTTCCATGCCCTGCTTATTTCACGGATATGTCTCCCATTAAGCATGTCTAGTATTTCATTGGTCAGCTCGCTTGGACAGCTGGTGGTGCACACGCTAAGACTGAACCTTGGTGTCAAGTCGAAGCCATATGGAATGCCGTTCGACAGGATTACATTTAGAACCTGTATTGATTCAATGCCTCGACGTATACAGGCTCTCATCGCTCAGCGTGGCGAACATACAAAGTACTGATTTCCGACATTCGCTTTGTTTTTTGGTCTTGCAAATTCGACTGTTTATTTGTACCACTATATGTGGAATCAATTTCATTTACTTCCGACAATTCCTTCATGGTGCTGCATTTTTCACAAAGACATGTGTATTTTATAATTATCTTACAGCAGTGTTTAATCCGATATAATCTAAAACTAAAAAAGTATGAAAAACACATAAAAGAGTATCAAAATAAACTGGAATAACGTTTTTCAAATAAAAACGTCTCATAGCATCTTATTTTGCCTAGTAGTGGTAGAGTAGGTACTAGACGTGGATGACTGGAAAGGAAAATGCTGTTCTCTGGGAAATTTCACACCTCTCAGTATTGAAGGCCGAGAGTACTTGGTGTCGTTTGAGTTGTCATATTGATGCTGTTATGAGTTGCATCCCATAAATATACCTAGAGCAGATGGTATGGTCACCCCCTTTTTGTCATCATAGATGAACTTGTAATCTAGAATATCAGAATGGAGGTGCTGCTAACACTCTCGAGACGCTTAAGACGGGTCGATTCCGATTTCGCTAGTACAATATATATCAAGTCTCGCCGTGTCCCTTTGTTGGATGTCCCCCTTTTTAAGGATAAATAAACAATGAACAGTAACAGTGATAAATGAATGACTAAATTAACTGCACGAATAATTGTTTAAATGCAAGAAATATGGGTAAGGAAAAGGAGGAGTCATTAATGGAGTTCTTATTTATAATTAGTAGGTTTCAGTTCGAATGCTATGATTTTTGCATCGTAAGGGATTCTGCAGCAAGATAGAAAGCTTTGGAACAAATTCCAATGAATTCGTGAATTTGATGTTCAGCAAAGCTTATTCATCCAAATTTGTTTTATTAATTAAGAAACTAAGCAGTTTAAAAACAATAAACTCAGATTCATTTCAGTTATTAATTACTAATTGCATCCATGAAATTACATTAGTTTGATTTACTAAAATCATCTATCATCTACATATATACATAGTATAAAGAAAAGTTTTAATTTGTTTGCATGTCTGTAATTCATCCAGACTTACAGTTTTATTCCAATCTTGATGAAATTTTGCATACTTGACCATCAAAACAAGAGGAAGGCCACTGTCTATATAAGATTTAAATAAACCACACTGAGTTCACACTCAAAGCGTTTATATTAGAACTTTGTGCTCGTGACATCCATAGCAGGTTCACGTCGCTGTTGTTGCATTCCCGCTATCAGTGGAAGTCATACATACCAAAGAAAGAATTTATAACTGTTTTTTTTTTTTACCAAAATAAATAAATAAATATTGATATTTCTTCCCCATCTTAGATTCACTTGCTGTTGTTGCGTTCCCGCTATCAGTTCTAACTGAAACCGTTAGATGGCGCAGTGTTAGTTTTCTTTTTAGAATCGCTGGGATCGTGAAAATTGATTTGAAATGGGTAAATTTAAATTAATCGTTAGTCGCAATCCCTTTAATTTAATATATTGCATTTTCTGTTTAGTACGGTTATAAAATCGTAATACTATCTAATTTGAGCTGTAAATTACATACTTTACGTATTGGAAAATACCAAAGCGCATCACGATAGATGTCTCATTGCGATCCCAGAATATTCAATGGAGCTATTTCAGCAAGTTATATCAGACTCAAAATACGCCGCAAAGTACTTTACGTCTTACAACACATAGACGTGCCAAGAATTAGGTCGGCGCCGCTGTGCATAAAAACACTTTTCCAGTATTTAGTCCAGTCATCGAAGATTCAGAAAGGGTATTTTCAGGAAAAAAAATTATACAATTTTTTTCTCACCGGTTCTATGTATTTTTTTGGGGTGCTGAATACAAATTTTACGTTTGCCACCTCGCCAGAGGCCGGCTTTAAGGCGAAAATCTCAAACCTTTGCAATCTTTTTTCAGTTTTTTGCTCATAACTCAAAAATTGACCATTTTTCGAAGATGACCATTCTGGTGCAAAATTACAGTGCACAAAATTTCCTACAAAATGCGTATATTAAACCTAAAATTCCGACATTCTAAGATCTAAGCACTGTGATAAAAGGAAATTTGTCAAAGTTATCCTATTCATTGCTAGCAATCTGACGGTTAGGCCGCCTTTCTACATTTTACTTTAATCTGTAGTTTCTTGGATATAATTATTTTCATTCACTTGCTTCATTATCTCTAAGATGCCCTTGTTGCAGTAATAGTCCGTGAACAGTCTATTCACAGGATATGTGATGTAGTCGGAAGGAAAGAACTGCTGTCGAAGGTGCTCTGTCAGAGGGCAGGAGAGCAGGTAATGAAGTGCGTCCGCGTCTTCCCCGCGAAAACCGCAAGAACAGTTGACGTCCCGTCTGAGGAAACGTCTGTAATACGCTGGGAATTTCCCGTGGTTGGTACAGGCTTGGAGGAAGAGTCGGTTGCATTTCAGCCTCTTGAGAGAAGGTATTGGGAAGAGTGCCATTAACTCAGTTTGGCGGAACAGGTTAAGTAAAGTGACCATATATGCCTCAGTATCAACGTTATGTATCAGACACTAATTATTTTATGAATGCCTGGTATACCTAGGTCACATTAACGGAATTAACGAACATTAGTGAGGTGCATGATCGGCGGACCAGCTAGTTTAAGGGAAATTGCGCTGATACTCTCCATGCTACATCTGCAAATGGTAAATGAAATTTGAATGTTGTGAGCGAAATAGTGTTACAGTATGCTAATTCTGTACTTATTGTCGAACGTGAATGATGTACCATATCAGTGGACATTTATTAGCTCGGATGCTTGTACCAAACTACAGGCCACAATTTGTTATGTGGGGCAAACAGGAAAGTACTCATGAAGGAAACGAAATGTACATTGCGTGACACGAAATTTAATTTATAAAGAAAATGTTTTTAGACCAAAGTAATTAAAGGTTTTCAGTTGATATAAAATGCTATGTCACGCGCGTTTTCGACATGTCCGAGGATTATCTTTATCTGGAAAAGAAAGAATGGAGTTTTAGAGGACTCTTACTTACCAAAAAAAAAGTTTGAGCAATGGAGCCCCATGAAAAAAAGATGTAAAGTATAGAATGTCCTAGAATGAATTATTGTATGAAATTTATGCGCGCAATAAGACTCAAGATTTCATTTTTGCTTTTCCTTTAGATGGACCATACTGGTCATCCGTGGTTGATCTTTTTTTAGATTCCCTTGTTGTTTGGGTCTTGCGTTGATGAAGTTGGGAGTTTAAAAGTTGGGCATCAATTTCAATGGAACAATTCCGACGAGTCCAGTACTTCCTGCTGAAGGTATAAGAGGGCGAAAGTTTAGGATTATTGCTGTCAAAAATCGAAATTATTATATTTAAAAAAAAAAAACAAAACTCTAATCTTGCCGCTCTTTTTCAAAATGACTTATGGCTATAAAAGCTGTGCTATTTGTTAGATATTTTTGAAACATTAAACTAACTCGATTCATCTGTAAAAGCAAAAAATAGAATAAATTTACTTGGGATGATAAAATGTAAGATATTATTAAAAATATCAAGATGGGAAACTATGATAGAAAACGATTTATTCGAAATGATTCGACTATCGATATTTATTATTATTCATTAAATTATTTCGAATATCGACAATTTTATAATTGGAGAAAATAATTGCAAAAATTATTATAAATTACTGTAAAATACTAAACACAGTTTTGCAAATCATATATATCAAACATGCATTTTAAAAAATTCTTTTTGATTTAAAAAACATTTTTGATTGCCATTAACGAGATTAATCACGTGTCATATAAAGCCCAATCGAAATTTTGTGTAACTATTGAGTGATTCAAAACTTGAGAGTTTCCTCAAAAATACTTCTGTGAATTCTGAATCGGAGTTAGAACTGAATTGCTGACAATTTGTGAAATGACATTAAATAATCTTCTGCCATACAACACCATAGGCAGATGTGAAACGAATTGTTCAGTTTTAATGATTATTAAATCCAATTATCGTTCAGTGCTGAAGTAATTTATGGGAAAATATTTACTTTTATATCTTTATTTTATATTTAATAATTGGGTACGAGGAAATAATCTCGATGATAAAAAGGGATCATGAAGGAAAAAAGCTTAAGAACTTTCCAGAACAGTGTAGAATCTTTAAAGCAAAATTTAAGCGCTCTATCAGTTTTCACGAAAATTTCCAAAACGATGAAGAAATCAGCCAAAGTGGATGGGGATTTCCCGAAAACTCATTTTCAGAAAAAGACATACTGGACATATTAAGAAAGCAAATACCACTTCTTACTAGAACCGACACTGCAAATCAGATTAGTCTCCTTCCTATTATATTTCACTCTGTGCAACATGATTTGTTTTACACATCAAAGTTCATTTAATGGCAGACTTAATTCATAAATTTAGCACATTAAAAAGCTAAATGGCAAATTTAGATATTAATTCTCTCTAAATGGCATTTTAAAGCAACTCTGCAAAAGAAAAAAAATTTAAATTTAAAACACTTGAGGACTAAAATAACTGCATGTAATAACACAAAATTGTAATAATACCTCATGTTGGTGAATATCGTAATGCACTTGGTACTTAGAATTTATCTGTTTTATCTTACAAGTCTCTAACAGTAACTCGTTACAATTATAACAGAAAGAAAAGTTTGAAGGATGGACGTTCCGGAGCTGAAGGAGAGCATCTTCGAACCAAAGCATTTCACTGATATCATTGGAGGACATGGGCCTTGGCAACTCGGCATCTTTACTTTCTTCTTTTTTGCTGCCGCACCCCACTGCATGCACAACCTTATCATGGCATTCTTTGCCCCCAACGTACAGCATTGGTGTGCAAGATCTCCAGAGGTAAATAAACGCCAGTTGCTTCAAAGTACTATGTAAAAAACGTGTAATGTTGAAGTCCCTTTAGTCTAACCTAAACACTAGCCTCGTCTTCTACATTGCCAGATGAATTATTGACGGTCTTTATCTTTTATTATCAAAACACTGAATAAATTCAATAGTCAACTGATGAAAACAAGTCTATATTTTCAGTATTTAGGTAATTATCTGTGCAATTAGACAAGTAGCATGAATAATTCTTCAGCAGATTAATGTGAAACAATTAAAGGTTTTACTTGAATTTCATTTCGAAATTACAGAATTAAACTAATTAACGAAATTAATTTCCGCAAGACATGCACATTAATTCCTAATTTAAACACTTTAAATTTTAAATCACTTTTTCTGCTCCACTTATTTATAGAAGAAAAACACATAAAATACAAAGCTGTTGCAGCTTTACGGAAAGCATTAAACATATTATACAAGTTAAAGGAATACATTATGCTTTTAAACAGAAATAGTTTTTAGTTCTGTGTTATAACAAAATCGAGAATTTAGGTTTATTCCTTTCAAAACAATAGAAACTCTAGAAGCAACATCTATTGAGTAATAATATTTTATGCAAATATTCGTTCAAAATATTTAGCTGAATTGAAAAAAATATAGCTTTTGCAATTACAACAATGAACCATGACAACAAATTTAGTGAATATGGATCAATTTATATATACTATTTACCACGAATTAAATTAATTCGAAAATTTCTTTGTATACCATAAAAGCGGCAGAAAGGAAAGTTTGCATTCACTTTTTTAAAACTTTAGTAAATATATTGAACTTGGGATTTAATATCAAATTTTACAATTGATAAAAATGACGAGCACATCCATAAGTAAGTCCAAATGCTTATACAAATTCGATACAATTTTAGCCATATTATTTTCGAAGTTCCAGTTACTGCAGACAAATCGGTTCATAACTTCAAGCAAAAATAAATAGGTATAGTTAGGCAGGAAATTATGATTTCAAGGTGGAAGTTTAGTACAATGTATTCATCCATCACCACCGACAGAACAAGGCCTTGGCATTAGAATCATGACGTCTCTAATAGATTTCTAATAAATTCATATAAAAATTTTAGATTACTTTTAAATAATTCACATTTTGTTGCAATACATCTACTTGATAAACTAGTCTATAGCATAACAACATACATGATTGGAAAAAACCATTTTCATTGAATCAGCTTGATATTTAAAAATTATTTATTTGAAACTTTCACAGCGGTTTTTCGTCATAATAAGTAGTAACTATACTTAATAAATGTATTTTGAACTTTGAATGCTAATCATCACAATAAATCAATCATGAATAATACCTGATCATACACTAAAAAAAGTACCGCAAAATTACATTCAGAAATTTCATTCACAATTTGTATTGCTTACAGATTTAAACATTTATATGCGTCGACAAATATAATATAGAGTAGCAAAAAAAAAAAAAAAAAAAAAAAAAATTGTGATGAATAACGAATACTTCTTTTTTTACAAATAAGATTTAAAAGTTTTTCTATAATGAATGCTACAGTTTTCTGCTTATTACTATCATCGCTATTAACAGTTTTGAATATAGCTGTTTTTATAACACTGAAAAACAAATTTTAGTTATGTGGCTATAATAAGGAGTCCAAATTTTATAAAACTATTTCCATCATTTATTTCTTCCGAATAATTGCGTGTATATTATTTTTAATTCTGCGTTGCCAATAAGAACACCCCACTTTAGATTTTATATTACTGTTGTCTTATTTGTTTTATGTTTTATGTTACAATATCATAGAAGTTTCCGTAATCGGTGCAGAGCGATATCAATTATAAAAAAAATAGGAATTAATCTTCTTTGAAAATAATTGTGAAAGTATTAGGAAGTTTCTCAGGTTTTATGCTCAGTAGAAATTGAAAATGTGTCGAAAATTTTCTTTCATAAATTGTTTTAGTGGTAAAACTTTCAAAAAGTGCAAACTTCAAATTATTTCTATCAGTTCTGTCTCTACTCTTATCAGTACATTCTCTGAAGATTTACTTCACAAATATTTTGAGAGATTAAACAATTGTAAAGGTGTTAGCCTCCTTTCCGTTAATTAACCAGTTATTGTATGTTTTATCTCTTTGCTGTTACTTCTTCCTTCCGTTTCCACTCCAGAATTCAAATTAAGTCGCGTATTCATTGTGAAGATTTTCGATTGTAAGAGAGTGTATTCCGCCTCTCGAGGCCACGTTATAAGTTGCTAGATCAGATGAGACCTATATAATTGCCAATATTGAATTGCCATGCCGGTTAGATAAGTGAGCCAACTTCACGTTAAATTGATTTGTGTAGCTTTGGCTACTAGCTTATTAAAGTTTAACTTACATTTGAAACTGACTGTTACTTTAAGTTATCTCGTCATAATTGCTGGCAGAGCTTGTAAGACCTTCCGTTCTTTTTAGTTTAAAAAAAAGGTTTTTTACACCCTTCTTAAGTTTCAATTGTTATTTTAGACTCAGCAATAATTCGCTTGACCCCTACCAAGAGTTTGGCCACTACTAAATGACTTCAAAATATCTCAAACGTTGTAAAGCATTCTTCGAAAGACTTGGGCTTACCACATTTATTCTTATAAAGGTACCTTTTCTCTCATTTAAATTTCCCTTTACTCTCTGAACATATGATTCAAGGAAATATTTTTCAGAAATTAAGAAGGAATACATATTCAGTATCTACTACCACTATAAATTCACAAGAAAATCTTAAAAATAGATTGTGTAAAATGAAAATGCAATTTTCTTTCAATGCCTTAGGTTTCCATTCAGAAATAAATTTACGGAACTGGAAAATGCTTTTGGCTGAATTCAAGTATTTATACTTATTATCCTGATAGTTTGAAAAGCTTGTAAGTACTCGGGAAAAATGCTCGAGTTCTTTCTCATTAATTAAAATGTTACACTTTAATTAATATGTCAGCAAGTTTCATTATAAATTTAATTAAGTGTTTTGCATTGATGCCTAATTGCAGTGTTATTTGTTAGCACATATAAATTTCAGATTTTACTGAATTTAAAAAATATACAAGTTTAATAATATCAAGTATGAAATGAGCCCTAATATTTAGACTATCGAGAGCTGCATAAGTTTTTTAAATTGCAAGAATTAGGGTGTTCATTGTAGTATCTTTTTCAATTAAAAATTTATAAAGGGTAAAAATCTGATGTTTTTATAAAAAATATCTTACATATTTTAGAATGTTTTAAATTCTGCCGGTGAATGTTACGTTTTAGAACCATTCATAATTTGTGTTGCTTGAAATGATGTCAATAATAAAAAGAGGACTTTATTGTCTTTGAAAAACATAATTGTACATTAAATCGCACATAAAATATGTACACAATTGGACATAAAATAATTAACATAATGTAATTTTAAATGTACATAAAATTATATATTATTGTACATATAACTAATCCCATTTTTTGTGCATAAAATAAAATTTTGGAGAGGAAAACAAACCTATTTTTTCATTATTTGGGTAATTATCTGTGCGATTAGGTAAACAACAAGTAATATAAACCATTCTTTAGCAGATTATCGTAAGCAGTAAATAAAACACTTCTCAGTCCTTTATAAATATTCATGCGCTATACAAAATATCACTCTATAACTACAAGTACGCGGTACCTCAAGGTATGTTTGTTATGTCTACTACAAAATAGAATAGTAGTCCTGCTAGTTCTCCTGCTAGTGGCTAAAATTATAGTTCTCCTGCTAGTGGCTCCACTCGCAGCAGAAAAAAGGCCTTGTTCTTCCGGTGGTGACAACTCATCCTAGTACAAAAATGCGTCACATTCAAAATAACATTGAGTGCCTGACACGCAAAGAAATGTTTTGCACTACACAGACTCCAATACATGTGCTTAATATATTAGAATTGTTTTGTTGAAAGGCAACTAGTCGGTATTAATACCATACCCTAAGGTAAAACGTAGTAAATATAGCTTTTTATAATGCAAAACTGCAAGCGATAAACAAGAAATTAAATTCATGCATATTTTTAAAAACATTTGCTGCCCTTATAACACAGATATAATTTTCAGAAGGGCATTTTAAGGAGAAAAACTGCTTCTTATATTTAAGCCCATATGGAATATTAGATGCATTCTCATTTGAAAAATTGCCAGAAGCGATAATAATAGAAAATGTTTTATTCATTCTTATTGTTCGAAGGCACTCGCTGCGAATGTGTCCATTGAGCAATGGAAGAACGAAAGTTTGCCTATGGAAAACACCTATGGAGGTGGTATGGAATACAGCAAATGCACCGTGTACAATGTCACTTATGCAAACGGTTCTGTTAATTATCCTCTGCATCTACAAGAAGATACAATAAAATGCAATTACTGGGAATACGATCTTTCATTTTACACGTCAACGATGGTAGACGAGGTAAGATTTAAGACTGCATTACTATGTGATATGCTTGAAGTATAATCTTATTTCTGAAGCATAAATACCTTTCTGTTTACAGTGGAACCTTGTTTGTGATCGTGAGTGGCTGATATCCATTGCTAAGACGGTTTATATGGTAGGTTTCTTATTATCATCCACTCTCAGTGGGCAGATCTCAGACAGGTAAGCAACAACAGAATTATCACAACTTTACACCCATTACTTGTGATATTATCAGGTTCAGTATTCCTCCTTACTTGCTTGGGGAACATGAAATGACCTGACTCGGAACAGGGAGCTTACTAAAGCTATGTTCAATAAATGTGGGAAGTAGACAAGATACACAGGAAGGGTATACGAAACCCTTTATTTTTCTCTCTTTACAATGATTTCCGGACTTCGGAATACAGAGACCAACCACTTGTGGTCTGAACGTAAGAATATAAAAATATTAACTAAATTCTAACTAAACTAACTTTGGATTAATAAACAGGTGGCTACTTGAAGATTGGCCGTATATTAACAGAAAGGCCGTATGTAGTACAGAGAACTGTTAACACTACGATACGTTTAAAATTATCAAGAGGATTAAACCTCTGGCCTTGAAGGCAACCAGCAACCGAGTGAAACTGCTAAGGCAAGCGGCCTGCTTCTACTAACTCCTTCCTCTCTCTCTTGCTTGGCAAAAAGCCACAACTTAAGCACTTGGCGTTCGCAAGACAAATTTGTATAAATAAGTTAAAGCTTTTAATTCTGGCCGGAAGTAGAAAATAAGAAGTGATAGTAAAGATTTAAAATAAAATAAACGTTAGTAAAACTTAAGATCCTTACAATATTTCCATAATTTCTTGGCTTTTATACAAGTACTTTGATTCATACGATGTGTGCAATTAATAGTCTTTTAATCCTACTACCTTAGAAAAATTTATACATGTAATATTTTTGTTGGTATGTCGATAGAACTTAGTAGAAAGTCGGTTAGTTAGCTAGGGAATATGAAACCAATTCACCTTTTATCCATGGTCGAAATAACTTTGTAGGTGATAACTGTAATGGATTATTGAGTAAATGGAATGATTGACTTGCAGACAGCTGTGGCCAAATTCAACGTAATTTTGTAAAGCAGTTCTGGAGACACAATATTTGCTTCACGTATGACTGTAGGTGCAGTAAGCATGCCGCAATTTGTATATGCAGCTCACATTTTAGATAGTAGAAACAGCGGCAAGAGATTATTCATGCAGCAGCAGATGAAAATGTGAAGCATATTAAGTAGTTGGAGTTATTTATAATCTCGGTTTCTTTGTTTGAGTTCTCGGCAGATATCATTTTACAGCAATGCAGAAAATTGCAGGGAAAGAGGGACGTCTATAACGGATTATAAATGCGCAAGAAGGGTGTTGTATTAGTCTTTAAAGGACTATTACCAATTAATTTCAAATAAGTTTAATTTGTAATAAATTTTCGTCATATTTTGATACCTTACATAATTACTATGCATACATAATCTTACATAATTTTATATCTCCTATGTGCGGCCAGAAGCAACTCTTTGATTCAGTTATTCAAAGCATTTAAGACATTACGAACATAGAAATATTTTTAGCCCTTGACTCTGTAAGCTGCATAAATCATTCATTTTAGAACAATGAAACGTAATGTTGACATACATGAGCACAACAATTACAGATGCAATTATCTGGTTACAGCCGAAAACATCGCAGACGAAAATGTGGCGGAGAAAACAACGCAAAGCGAAAACGTCGTGGTACAAAACGTTGTGGGAGAGAAGAAAGTAAAGAGAAAGCGTCGCAATTCTAAAACATCGTGATACAAAATGTCGTTGTCGAAAATAAAGCGGTTCAAAAACTTCGCAGTTTAAAAACATCATCACTGAAAATATCGTGGTAAAACGTACCTACAAATTATAGCATGACGACAACAATCCACACATGCATTTTTCAGGTTTTAAAAGTTGTAAATGCATTTTCGCATAATGATTTAGAAGCGTAAGAAGGAAAGAGCGTGAATATGTTAACGACCCCTTTAAGAAGAAACAGAAACAATACAAGATATAATTTTCATTTAAAACAATAACAGACTAACAAACGTGAAATCATTTATCTTCCTTTTTCTAAATATATTAAGACTGTATTTTTTAAAAATTATTTAGAAAAAAAGATTAAGTTATTAATAATCTTTGTTGATTAACTACGTAAATTCAAAATTAAGCGCTATATGTTGCATTAATTTTCTTTTCATTTTTAATTTTCAAATGTTTAAGTTTCCGGCTTACTTTTTCAATAAAAAAATTATTAGTTTATTCAAAAACATGAAATATAGAGGTAAAAATATCCCTCTTTAGGTCTTGCTCTCCCAAATCATTATACAAAAATGCACTTATTTTCAAAAACCTAAAAAAATTATGTGTGCGATGTTATCCTCATGCGATGATTTGTAGGTACTTTATTTTTTACCGCGATATTTTCGATGACGATGTTTTTGAACTGCGAAGTTTTAAAACCGCATTATTTTGGACCACGATGTTTTAGAACTGCGATGTTTTCTCTTTGCTTTCTTCTCTCCCACGATGTTTTGTACTACGACGTTTTCGTCCGCGATGTTTCCGGCGGACACATATTATCTAACGATGCTTAACAATAATCTTATACATGTGTGGACAAAGTTTAAATAAAACTTTCTTTGCACAGTAACTTATAACTACTTTCGTTTCTAAATATTTCAAGGAAACAAGAATTTTCCAAGCAGCTCAAAAATGTGTTGACCAAAGATTTTATGACTGCGATTATTTAAATTCTCGTATAAAAGTATCTGCAAAAAAAAGGGGGCAAGGTCAGAATCACTTTTCGCAAGTCTCTTGGCATTTTTCAAAAATGGGCTTGGGAGTGCCTGACTGCTTGTTTCATCAATTCTTCAACTTACTGTCTGATGAAACAAGGACACTGTTTCAAACTCTTTGTAGAGTCATTAGGTTAATTGGAAGCAGGAAAGATGAAAAATATGCAATTGCCTTCGCCGGGAATCGAACCACGGACCTCTGAAATACCGGCTCAGTGTGCTGGCCACTACACCACGAAGGCACGCTAGGGAAGTGGAAGAAATACCTTATATCTTAAGTCATCAATCTTATTATCTCCAAATGAAGATGTCATTTTTAGGGCACATCTTTTAATAAACTCACCATCCCTAAAAGACTTTTTACTTTTAGCTAGCTCTAAACATCCCTCATAAGATTCGCTCAAACCAGAAGTGTTTGATGATTGCTGAGATATATTCTATTGTCTAGTTAATTTAAGCTTAAATCATTTAAGCACACAATTCTTGGCACTTCCCTGTATCAGTCGTATTTTGATTTATACAAATTGACAACGCTTAAGACTTGAAAACAGATAACACACTGTGTTTTTGCAATATATTTTAGAAAAAAAGTTACTTGGACCTCTTGGACTGAAATTGTCGTTCTCATTTTCAAGACGCCATTTTTTTAACTCCGCCATTTTAGGTAGTATTGAATGAAACTTAAAATCGAAGTATGCACTTCATGGATTATAACGGTGAGTGAAGGTTTTTATCGAGGTGGCCGTTATGAGACTAATGAAGACTGTAAGGTATGCTACCATCTCTGAGAATGAAAAAAAAAAGCTGTCATCTAGTCGGCAGCATTGCCAATGTCAGCGATTTTCCGCTAAATCTGCTTTTCTTGTATGCAGAAGAAATTCTTGTTTCTTGTATTTCTTGTATGCTGCTTTTCTTCCGCTTGTATTATTATTCTTGTATGCTAGAAAGAAATAATGTTTATGATTTGTCTTTCTGCCCGGAATTGCTTTTGCCAACACTACTTATGGCATTTCCTTGAATTTTACTGAATACCGCCGGTTAGTTCGCATCATTATGACTGTTATACACGGCCTGTTTTGCATAAATGTGATCTACTAGAAAGCCCGGCGGTCATACGAAATGACCGCTGTTCTACATATTATAAATTGTAATTAAAATGATTTGTGCAAAGGTGTCTGCTAATTCAAACTGAATTACCCAGGGCAGGCGGCGAGGACGCCCCATTGCTTACTGCCCCCCGGGGTTTCCCCCCTTCTACTTGCTTAATTGCTTAAAGTAGAGTACAATGAAGGAAATCACTGGCGGTACATTTCTTAAGGGCCCACCGCTAGCTCAATGAATAAAGGTAATTTAAATAATAAAATGTTAATTCACATGCCAAAGATCTCTTTGTACACAACATTTCTTGTGTAGATCTTTCCATCATTTTTAAGCTCGCCTTTTAAGACCATCCATTATTTTTAATTTTACGTCCGTTCTTTTCACGAACTCTTGAACAGGCAACATAAAGTTGACCGTGTCCAAATGCTCAGGTAAAAAAATGCCAGCACACTTAAGTGTTTGGCCCTGAGACTTATTGATGGTCATAGCAAAGTCAAGTTTTACAGGATATTGCCTACGTCTGAACTGAAACGGCAATCCTGTGCTGTGACAACTTCACCCCATTGGCTAGTACAGTTACGCAAGCAACCAATAAACCATCGGAGACAAAGAGACATTTAAGCCGCATATAATAAAGATATTTATTTCATTTTATTTGTTTTTTCATCGTTGCCGGTTTTTGCCGGCTTGTCATTCTCATAATATTCGTCACGCGCTGCACTGCATGGGGAATAAAACAATTTACAGTTACGCAAGCAACCAGTAAACTATCCGCGATAAACATTTTAGCCGCTTATATATATATATATATATATATATTCAGTTTAAATATTTAAAGACTGTTTAAATAATATAAACAGAATATATATATATATATATATACATATATTCTGTTTTATTATTATTTAAATTCGCGATAAACATCGATAAACATTTTAGCCGCTTATATATATATATATATATATATATATATAATATATACTCATGTCCATAAATTAAGGATAATGCAAAATCAGGGAAAGGAAGAGTTAGAAGCAAAAGAAATTTGACTTATTTGTAAAGCTTATTTATTAAACAATAGGTAAAGAGCAAAGAAATATGCTATGTGTTTGATATTATTAAAAAAATTAGCGATTTTTTCTACCTGGAGCAAATTACAAAAAAAAAAAAAAAAAAAAAAAAAAACCCTATTTACAAAAAACCAATATTTCATGGTTGGTATGATTGTTAATACATTGTATGTCTCTCAGACGAAGCAATATAGTCCGTACAACGCCCAGGCATGCTGAGTATCAAATTATCGATCTGATCTTGGGGGATATTACATCACTCAAAAAGCAATGCTCTCCGAAGTTTCGGTAGATATGTAGGAGAAGTTGACGGGCTGCAACTCGTCGGCCAAACATGTCCCACACGTGTTCTACTGGATTCAAATCCGGTGAGAATGCTGGCCAGTCCATACGGGTGATATCCTCCGATTGAAGGCATTCGCTTACGATGTTTGAACGGTGAGAGGACGGGCGTTGTCATCCATAAACACAAATTGTGCGCCCATGGCGCTCCGAAACAAACGTGCATGTTGTTCCAGAATGACGTCCCGATAGATTTGGCTTGTTATGGTTCCAATTTGAACATGCAGGTTAGTTCTGGAACCCAGTATAATTCCACCTCAAACGAGCACTCCTGCACCACCGTAACGGTGTCGTTCAATGTTGTTTTCATGATGGTAACGGGTACCTGGAGCTCTCCATATAAAATTCCGGCGAGAATCAGACTGCAAGCTAAACCTGAACTCGTCGGAAAACATCACACAAGCCCACTGTTGCGGTGTCCACAATGCATGCTCTCTACTCCAGGCTAACCGCAGGTGACAGTGAGTTGCAGTAAATGGAACGCATCTTACAGGTCTACGATCATATAGACCAATCTGCCCTAAGCATCTGTACACGGTCTGCCTTGAAATTGTCATACCAGTGGCTGAAGAGAGCTGACGAGACAGGTCTGAGGCTGTGCTGCGCCTGTTCTTTTGGCAGTAACTGCCAAATACCGGTCATCATTCGGCGTTGTAACTCTGGGGCGACCTGTGCTGTAACGTCTACTCACATTACCAAATTAATAAATAAAAATTAATTTAACTACTTTATATCATTTGAAATAGAACTTTGTGTTACTTTTAAGTAAATGAAAAATAACTTCATTTATTTGACATTGTTTGATTGTTTTGTTATTTTGCGTAAATAAAACAGAATATGTTTTTAAGTGTACAATAACTGAGTATTTAAAATAAAAGACCCGATAAACTGAAATATAAAACTGTGTTACTTACATATATATTTGGTTATAATGAAATATATTTTTGGAGATATATGAAGCTTTCTTATAATTTAGTTCCATTTCTGCACACACGATTATCCATTATTTCGGTAGAATGTGATGTAAAAATAAATATTTAATAAGGGCTTTTTTTTTACAGGATTGGACGCCGACCAGTAGTCATTACATGCTTATGCATGTTCCTTACAGCTGCTTTTCTGACATTATTGTCGGAAAGTTTTTTAATGTTTCTTATTCTTCGCTTCATTATTGCTTTGGGATTAACATCTGTTTTTACGATTAGCTACGTCATACGTAAGAAATATTTTTTTATGCAATTTATATAAAAATGTATTGGTATTAGAGTTCTGTATTAAGGTGAATAAAGAGAAAGAGAACAATTCCATGAAATCTTTAAAATTTCTTGAAATGAAAGATGGTGTATATCTCGTTAAAAGTAGTTTCTTTCTTCATTTATGCGTCTGTCTCAGCTTTTGAATTATGATTGGTTATATGCCTTGAACATCTTTTAACTGAAGTATGTATACCTTCTTCTTTGATTCGCTTTAAATATTTTCTTGTGTTATCCCAGGAATGGATAATTTTGATTCATAATTAATATTCGAAGCAATAAGCTTAAAATAATAAATTCAAGCTGAAAATAATAAATTCAAATTTTTGAGGGTTAGAGAGGCCAAAGAAAACTTGGAAAGGAGAGAAAATGGTAATGGTATTTTTTTCGATGAAAATTGAATTCGTAAAGTGTACCAAGAATTCGTCACACCTTGCTGAGATAATCGAAAAGCGATTTTATTGTGATGTTCCGATATGTCTGAAAAAGAATGTTTGTAGCAAACATTTTCTGAAGTGCAAAATGATAACTAATTAATTTACCACGACACTATACTTAGTTAACAGTATCCTGAAGATGCAACAATATTTGAGTGACGCGAAAAATCAGAATGATATTTTATCTCTTTAATTTGACATCATGTCAAATCTTTTTATTTCATAGGATGAAACCCTAATTCAGATTTGTCTAGATACCAAATTGGTTATTACTCAGGCTGAGTGTGCAAAGAATATTAGAAACACTTCAGTTAAAATACTCTCAGAAGCATTTAAATGTGATATAACAGCTGGGATCCGTACATAGATGCAGAAGGCAACTGCTTCAGAGAGCGACGAGACTAGATCTTGTTAAGTAAATATAAAGTGCGGGTTTTTTAATAAATGTAGTACTTCCTAGCTAAGCTATAAAGCATAGCAAATTATAAAAAAAGTATGAATGACGAAATATATTTTATTATCTATACTATTGCAATACTTTTCTGAGTTACAACAATTTTTTCTCTAATTATATACAATACACAAGTATAGTCTTTAATGAAAAAATTGCTCTTAATTTTAAATCACAGACTACTATAGTAGTAAGTAGGAGTTCATATCCTAATAACATCCCGCACGCTGTCGATGGGACTTAGTTAGGATGTCCTGAGGATATCCTGGGATGTGACTTTAGGCACTCGGGAGGACGTGTTTAGGAGGTTCGCGGGATATTCCGGGATGTCCTGAGGATGTGCGCATATCCCGCTAGCAACATCCTCGGGATATCCCAAGGATGTTTTTGTGCTATGTGGGTAAAGTGTATTTTTTTTTTAATAACATTTTCCTTTTGAGAATGATCTTCTTTATGAATTAAGAAAGACACAACAAAAACCTGCTGACTCATGTTTAGATCATATATTGTCTAATCTGTAATAATGATAGTTTGAGTAACTGTTTTTCCATACCTGTTGATGAGATTATCTGCTGTTACGTCGGAAGCATTGTGGATTAGATACTAGCAGTAACTTCTTGCCCATCAAACGCACATTAAGAATTTTAGAAGGAATATTCAGAATTAAAAAATATTAAAAATGTCATTTACACGTATATATATCCAATTGTTATATTATATCTGTTAGTTATATTATGGCAGAAGATAAAGTTTGATTAGTTTCAATTGAGGTGGTTATTTGTGTGAATAAAAGATTTCTCCCATTAGATCTAGAGTAGCCGCCGAAACGGGATAGTGGTTAGTGATTCTGACTACTGTACCGAAGAGCCCAGGCTCGAATCCCCGAGAAAGCATGGATACTGTAAATGTGTAGTGTCTTAGCGGCATGGGGGCGCTCGAAATGCATGGGGAGCCGAAAGTCCTCTCGTGTGAATTGGTAATAACAGAAGAGAGGTGAGAGACTCTGAGACCCATCCTCTTTCATACGGTCCCTCAACCACGGACATATGTGGCTCTCCAGACCACTATGTTTTTGAATGCCATCTGACAGCAGGAAATCACCTCCCTCTTCCCATCAACAATAGAGAAGCTTATCACCGCTTCCTTATAAAGCACAAACGGGCAGTAAATACAATCTGCAAAGTTGTTAACAAGCTCAAGGGAATGGGCCGAGATTTGTGCTCTCCTCATTAACCAAAACTCTCAAGGCATGAGACACTAAGTCAGCATGTAGTTCCACATCCTCAGACACATAAGTCTACTCCTAAAACTTACATAAGTCCCTATTACAGACACTTATCAAATAATGTAGTCAAATGTTTCCAGCATGTATTTAACATTTCCTCTTCTGTATATGTATAATACTTAATTTTTTTAACTTATGAGCCTGTATTTTAATTCTATTATTTTGTAACTGTATTTTTGTATCTGTATATTTAATTTGTATTTTTATTTGAATTTTATTACGAATATGCAAAATTACCATAGCAAATTACAACAACAAATGTCAAAACAGTAAAACGAATGCAATCTGCCCTTGTATGGCCATGTAAATGCTCTTGTTAACATCCTAAAAAGCTCCCGAGGCGGCCTCTTGTTGTGGCCAGGGAGTTGTTCCTGGTTAGTGGAGGGCGCGGGACACATGCCTATTTACCTCTGTTAGACATCAGGCGTCCCCGTCCTCCGTTACCAACCAACCAACCAAAACTGGGGTGAAATTGGGCAAAATCATACTCATACCTATATACCATGACTTTGGCAAACGATGGAAATAATCTTTTACTCGCTGCAGTTTCTAATGTCATATCCGCTAGATTAGTCACAACAACAACACTGATCTAGAGTTGTTTCATGATTCTGAAAGCACCAGTTAATGGTAAAATTTAAAACTCTCAGTTCTAACTTCCAAAACATACACTCTGTCCCAAAAGTTTATAGACTCAAGTTAATAACATGTTTGAGAAAAATAAAAATGCATCTAATATCCAATTAAAACATGTTTATTTAAAAAACACATGTGCCTTGCATTCGAGTAAATATTTAACAAAAATATCAATTTATGTTTTAGAAAAAATAAAAATAGAAAAAATATGTATGTCCGAAAGGTTTATTGACAGTTGTAATTTTATGCTAATTGGTTAAAAATAAGCTTGATGGGGAATTTGAGCATTTTAGACGAATAATGCCCTCATTCAAACCTCCAATTTATAAATGAAAAGTGATCATTTGAACTACTTTTAAGTATGCCTAAAGCTACGGAACTTTTTGATACTTAAGTTAATAGGATTCTGAACTTTAAATTCCACGGTAGGCCTGTTAAAGAAATTTTGAAACTTCTGAATCGATCTTTAAGAATTTAGCACGTACGCATTATGTAATGTCTCATAAGACTTCACATAACCCAAAATCACTTTCAGGAAGATCCGGGGGATGGATAGGCGCAGCGATAGGCAAATGCAATGAATGACTTCGAAAGAAAGAAAGTCGGTTCGCCAAACTACAAGGGCTTGTGGATTGCGAATATCCAAAAACACTGTTCATAGGCGAATCAAGGAATCTAGTTATATGATTCACGTAAAAATTTTTCGATCATAACCGCTCTCAAAACTTCACAAACGAATAAGATTTCAATGGGCCTGTAACCACATGGCATATGGTGACAAATGAATCTCTGCAACTTTCAGTGATAAAAAAAATGGAATCTAAATGATTCTGAAGGGTATTCATAATACTGGCATGACTTACAAAAAAAAAAAAAAAAAAAAAAAAAAAAAAAAAAACATCAGAGCTATTTCAGTAGGAACGGTGGAGGTGGATCTGTAATCAGGGTTTGTATTTCTTTTGATCTGCTTTGGGAACATGACGTGTCCTGAATGGGAACAGAGAGCTTATTCAAGCTATGTTCAAATTTGTGTGGAATGGACGACTCAAGAAGGAAAGGTTAACTTTATCCTTTATTTTCCACAATATTACAGACGCTCCCGCACTTCGGGATACAGAGACCAACCACTTGTGGTCTGAACATAAAAATATAAAAACTACTAACTAATTAAATTTAAATGAAAGCTAACTTTGAATGCTTGATACTAACACTAAGACTGGCTTTTTAAATTATTACGTATGTAGTACGCAAACTGCTGAAAACTACAATACGTTTAAAATAACGAGAGGACGAAACTTCTGGCTTTAAAGGCGGACAGCAACTGATTGAAAACTCGTGCGGAATGCAGTGGGAAGGCGGCTCACTTTATCTCTATCTAACTCTGTTCTTGGCAAAAAGCCACAACTTAAATACTCGGACGTTAGCAAGTACAATTTGCATAAACAAATTCACGCTTTATTCTGCCCGGAAGTAGAAAATAAAAAAAGATAGTAAAGTTTTAAAACAAAATAAACGTTAAGTAAGTAAGTAACTCTTGGTTTCTCTGCTCCGTGTGACCGAATGCCCGCACTACAGATCCAGCTCCTCCTCAGAACCAAGCGTCCGCTTCAACGTCCGCTTTGGGCCCTCGGCCGGCGCACCACTTGGAATACACCAGGCAGAACTGGTCGTTAATTTGCTACCTGCCAGTCGCATGAGCGAGCCCGTCGCAGAAGGCCGTTACCCAGCAAACCGGGGGAAAACCCCCGGCTACGGATCCAACCGCTCAGGACATGCCAGACCCTGAGGCCGGCCAATAAGTGACCTTTCCCAGGGCCTTCAAAACCACTAAATTCATACCTTTTATACCTCCGTGGTCAAGACTGCCTAGGTACAGATCCTGGTCAGTAGCTTCGCAGAGTTCTCTACGTCGACCCCCGGGGGAGGGGAATAAACGTTGTTAGTAAAACTGAAGATCCTTACACTGCCATGATGTGGGAAGCTTTCGGTTTCAAAGGACAGGTGGGTTTCACCTTTCTAGATTGTTTGCAGACATCGTCTGAATACATAGAAACACTAAGAGAACATCTTATGCCAGTTGCAAAAAATATTGGAAGGTAGAATTGGGTGTATCATCATGACAATGCTTCCATTCATACTTCTAATGATGCAAAAAATTATTTAGACATGGACAATATGACTGTTCTTAAGTGGCCACCAATGAGGCCCGATTTTTATCCGATCGAGAATGTGGAGTATTATGTCTCGATTTTACGAGCATGGATGGCAGGTTTCCTCCGTGAATGCCTTAAAAGCAGCCATCGAGAGTGTATGGTACAATGTGGAACCAGAGTTATTACAAAACTTGGTTCTCTCGATGGTGAAATGTGTATTCGACGTCTGATCATAAGTTGTTAAAATGTTAATATTCTATAAACTTTCGGGGCGCATATTCTTTTGTGTTTTTACTTTTTCTAAAACACAAACTGCTATTTTAGTTGAATACTTACTAGAATGCAAGCTGCATGTGATCTAAAGAAACAGATATTTATTTGTTGCTTGTGTTCCTTTCTATTTTTTCAAAACACATAATATAAAAGTCTTATAAACTTTTGGGAATCTATAAACTTTTAGGACAGAGTATATCAATGAGACTTAGACTGTAATAGTTCCTCAATAGTAGCAAATAATTTGTAATGATGTTGTACTTATCTACAGTTACTAAATTTATGAGCAGTAATAACTAAAAGACGTCAAACTTTGTGATAAAGAAGGATAAAGGTAGGGATATAGTAGTGATTCCTAAACAAAATTAAGTTAATAGCATATATTCTACTTTGAAGAATTAGGCATATTTGAGCAATATATCGTATTACTGAAATATATAAGAAATATTTAATTTAAAATTGGAAGATTTATTGACACAAGTTATTATATTCTTTTTTTAATTTTATTTATTATTATTCATATTTTCAGTTCCTGAAATAGTGAGCGCAGAATACAGATCGCTTTACTGCATCAACTTCAAATGCGGGTGGATATTTGCATATATGTTGTTGCCGGGTATTGCATATTTAATTCCAAGCTGGTTCTGGCTACAAATCACTATCACGGTGCCTTGGCTGACACTTCTCTGCGTTTTCTGGTAAGCCTTTTGAATTTCTTTTTACGCACTTTATAATTCGATGATAACGTGAACTAAGCACAAGTTTATGCATATTTTCGTATTATTTTGATGAAAATGGCTTTTTTAATAAGAATTTCACACCTAATCATTGCTATATCCTGATAATATCTTTTACTTAATCTACAAGTTTATGTATATTTTCGTGTTATTTTCATGAAAATGGCTTTGTTAACAAGAATTTCACTCATAATCATTGCTGTATCCTGATAATGACTTTTACTTAATCTACAAGTTTATACATATTTTCGTATTATTTTGATGAAAATGGCTTTGTTAGCAAGAATTTCAGCCCTAATCATTGTTATATCCTGATAATATCTTTTACCTAATCTAAATATTTCGATTTTCTGTCCAACAATTTAATAATGTTTTTAAAAATAAAGAATTCATAGAACTTCAAGAATTTGTGAGAAGCCAATTTTGTCGCCAAATTTGATCAAACCAAATCTGGCAACCTTGCCACTTTTTGCCAACCCTAACCTCGCCTTGCGAGAAAGCTATTTCACCTCAGCTGAGCCTTTCGTAACAGTATGTACTCAGATAAATAAAAAACGATTAGTTGTAGAATGTTGAAATTTTGTATATGAGAATGCTATAATATCTATAGTTGTGCGTCTCTCTTTTTCATTACAATTAACAATACTAAAACCATATATACCCACCCCTTACCCGGCTTCTAAGTCCTTTCCTGGCTTTTATTTTCGCAATCGTTGGTCATAGTCATATACTTTCAATTACAGAAGTGTTTTAAATGACGAAAATATTCATGTTTCGGTATGTCAAATATTAAACGAAAATTAATTTTCTAAAGATAACGAAATCTAATTTTTAATGTTTTCTCCCGGTTCTTATATTTGTATTTGGGAAAATCTTACTACTCATTCTGAAAAAATAAAAACACATGAAGATTAACTTCCGATGACAAAAATGGACCGGGCTATTTAATTTCAAAATTCGTAATTTTTATGTCATTTTTAACTTGCCTTGAGGGATTCGTTAGTTAAGTTAGAATAATTCGAGGAAATAAATGAAGAGCAGCAAGAAATGTGTACAATTTAATAGGCCGTAACAGGAAGTCATGGTGTCCATATCAGATTATTTTTTATTTCGTAATCCAAATAATTTGTAGAGCTATAAAATATTTAAAAAATCTTTTGTTTATTAGGGTTGTTCCGGAAACCCCGTGTTGGCTTCTTGCGCATGGCAAGTTTCAGGAAGCCCAAGAAATTCTGCTGCGAGCAGCAAAGAAAAATAAGAAAGATATGAAAAAGACAAAAGCAGCCTTAGCAGAATTTCTTAGCCATCAGATAAAGGTAAATAATAGCTAAAATAATAATATAAAAATAATAGAGCCTGACTGTGTGATTAAATTCATAGTTATTATGAATTTAATAAGATTTTTAATTTTATCTAGGGTGTATAAATACAGAAATTAATGCTCGTTTAATCTATTTAATAAGTATTATATCACTTTATAGTGCTGTAAATTTCTGTGTATATTTAAATTCATTTGATGGGATTATTGTTTCTGTGTTTTGTTTTATTGAATTACTTATTTTAGAGATTATTTTGTTTGTAATTAAATTTGTGTCTACATGTTTTGTATATAAAATTAGAGTTGTAGATCTTTGAGTCAAACAAAGTTTAAATTCTAAAAATAACTAAAAAAAAAAAAAAAAAAAAAAAAAAAGGCAGGTTCTGGACAAAAACATTCTAACGGGTCTTAAAATTTTTTTTGCCGTTAGTTGGCGATGTTTGGATATTTACAGTCAATGTGACTATGTTTCGGACGATCTGGTAAAACAAATTTGTGAAGCTCTACGATCGTTTCTTCCCGAATCTTCCAAAAGTCCGTGCCCACATAAATACGGGTCCGAAACCGTATTAGACCAGCTTTGAACTGGTTCATTTGTTACAGATGGTTCTTCAGAACTGGTTAGCTCTGAAATTTGTGGTTCGAAGGGAATTATCTGAATAGGGGTTTCGAATTTACTCTGTGAGTGATTTAGGAAATCTTTTATACTTCTTGTATACGAAAGAAGAATTGCTTGACATCTTCGTTCTTCTTGAGCTATTTACAGTCATTTATTGTCTCGTATGTCAATATTTATAACAAATTATTAATTTGTTTCTCCCCAACCGAAGTGATTAGAATTAGTCAAAAAAAAAAAAAAAAAAAACTGACACAAATCTGCAGCTGCCAACAATATGTTATTCCTCATAACAATAATATTACCTCAGAATTTTGGAAATGGTACGAGGATTATATAAAATGTTCTTTCGCAAAAGAGATATTTGTGTTTTGGAAGCAAACGAGCCATACCTGCATCCTTTTAAAAAAAAACGGGGTAATTAAAATACACTCTTTTGCAAAAAAATCGAAGCACCAGGAAGGAAGTGGTTGTTTTTGATGGAACTGAATATATGTATAACTCATACACACATAATAAAATGATTAAAAAAATCAAGGTCGTAGTACCTGTTCACGGCTCCCAATCACCCACTGAGTGTTCAAATTAGTAGTTGGTCGAACCGCCCCTGGCGACAATGTATGCTTGAATTTGTCGAGGGCAAGGAGTGGTAGAGGCTCCTAATGTCATCCTTCGACACATTCTGCCAGACATTCATCAACTGTCGCTCCAGATCTGCGATATTTTGTGGTGCCCGAATATGACGGCTTACCATGCCCCAGACATGCTCGATTGATGAAAGGTTTGGTGACCTTGCTTGGCCAAGGAACAGTATCAACCGCACGGAGACAGTCCAGAGGTATGCGAGCGGTATGTGGCCTGGAATTATCTTGTTGAAATATGGCCCCAGGATGACTTGCCATGAAAGGTAATGCAACCAGCCGCAGGACGGTATCAAAATATCGTTGAGCTGTTAAAGACGTACGGAGAATGACTAAAGATGACCTGCTGTCATAAGAAATAGTGCTCCAAACCATAACACCAGGGTTTATGGCTGTATGTCTTTGTAAAACAAAGGCTGATTGGGACCGCTGGCCCTGTCCTCTCCAGACACGAACACGGTGGTCATCTGCTTCAAGAGTGAAGCGGGATTCATCGCGAACACTATACGATGCCAGTCTGATGGCAGACTTTGATGATCGGCTGCGGCACCATTCCAGACGACTCCGTCGATGTTGTGGGGTCAAAAGCAAATGTCTTATAGGTCTCTGTAAGCGCTTCAGATAAGCGCCCTGATCGCCGGTCATAGAATCTACAGTCAAATTTTCCCCTGTCAATCATATTATCCCTCACAACGGACATTTTTTCATGATCTCTGGATACTATGCTTTGAAGCAAATGTTATTAGATCGTGACCGTGACAGCTAAATCATTTGCCGAATCTTCCTGTAAGTGTCATCCTTTCGATTTTAATAATCCTCAGGTAGTTTTTCTCGAATGTTTCAGGTTGTATTATTTTTTTAAATTTTTTTGTTAGAACATATTGCGTACTTTAAAGTACATGTCATCTGCTTAATTGCATTTTTTGTAGTGTGCATAATATATTTGTAAATAGGTTTCATTTGTAAACTAATGAATTAATATTTGATATGAAACGATACATTATTATTCTAATATAATTTGAAATCATATCATATATTAATTCATTTGTAAACTAATGAATTAATATTTGATATGAAACGATACATTATTATTCTAATATAATTTGAAATAATGCCTAATTTTCTTCTGCATAGTCCATTAGCTCCTTCTAAAGGGCAGCTTATGAGAAATATCTTTAAAAGTCTGTTGACAAGGAAATAGCTTTTGATTCATTCACACATTCTGAACATGCAAAACTAAAATACGAACTGCCTACAGTTTCTTAATTTTAGTTTAAATATATGTTTTTAAAGCATCTTAGGGCTCCATTTACGAATATTTTTTATTTCAATTATCATATGTATTTAAAACTATTGAATGTAATGAATTAAGTTATTACATTCTTTATTATACGGTTCCTATAAAGTCAGAAGATAAGAGAAAAGCCACATTTTTTGACTTGATGAAGACTCCAGGGCTAAGGAAAAGTACTCTGAACATTTATTTTTGCTGGTGAGATTGCTTTTCATAAATTTTTATTTTAACAAGTTTATTTAACATCATTCGTTCCTCCTAATAGTAATAGTAATATTTTCATGGCAAGAAAAAGATCAAAATTTATTTGCATTAATTCCATTGCTACATAGTATAGATATAGAAGTAGATATTAGAGTTTAGATATAGAATGTATTCAGATTTTATTTTTCAGTATTATTGGAATATTTTATTCACCAGAAAGTTTATAATTTTATGACAAGAATTCCCTTTTATTACCTGAATAATAAATTAACAGATAATGATATCATCACTATTTTTAACTTACAGAAATGTATACATTTCTGTAAATTATGTATCATATTACTGTAAATTAAAAATTTTTAGAGCAATGTACAGACTTCTATAAAAGTACATCCCTAAATTAAACCAATTAAGAAAATTAATTTAAGATTTCGTATTTGGTACTATTTTGTGCACGAATTAATATTAGAAAACTGTTATATGATGTTTATTGCATCTGCTCTTTCATGCTGATATTTCACTAAGAACAAATTAAAATGATATAAGTATTCTCATAATACAGGTCACTATTTAATATTATTTAAGATTCATTATTTCCTTAACTAGTTCCATTTTTAAAAGGAGTGCATTTGTGGAATATTAATTAATAATAATAATTCTTTGTAATGTTCATTGACGCCTACTTTCGTATTTATAGAAATTATCCTAGAGTCCTGTTTCGTATTAAGTTATCCATGTATTGACTGTTGGTATTAATTTTATTTTTAGGTTTATCATAGCCTATATTTATTATGCGCTTTCATGGAACACAAATGACTTAGGAGGCGATCCGTATATCACTTTCTTCGTCTGCGGAGCAGTGGAATTGCCAGCAATAATACTTTTCCTTTCTATTAGTAAGGCCGTCGGACATCGAATAGCACTTCTGATCTCAAACGTCCTTGCAGGTGTCTGCCTGCTGCTCTTGATTCTAGTGCCCGCAGGTAAAGTATATATATGAAATCTATATATAAGCATTTTAACGTGCTTACGTGTTGGTAATGCAGTGAATGCACAATTGATTTATATTTAAACAATTCTGATGCTCCTCGCGTTGACACTACGCACCGTAAATTGTGCTAATAAAATTTTATTGCTTTGATAGTTAATGACTTTGTTTCTTGATATGTTTCAAAATCTAAAGTTAATAATCAGAAGTTATTTTTAAATTTCTAACTTTCCTTGAATAATTTGGCGCCTCTTCACTCTCCTCATCCTTATCTTGGTTCCGGTGAATAGCATTCTTACTTGCGATAAAAAAGTAATTTTTGCAAACTGTGTACGAGATGCTGCCAGTAATTAGAAACTAGTAATTCTCCATGCGAAATCCTAAAAGAGAAGTAACAGAAGTTCCCTTTTTTTTTCCGTTCGTTAAGTCACAACTCAAGATCTTCTCTGAATACTTGAACCAAGACCAAAGAATCGGAAAACCCTTTGACATTACTCAAGAGCCACGTACAGTGAAGCACCATACTCTGAATGCCTTCGCATGAATAATACTTTGAATATGTTTAGCACATTTTATTGCCTTAGAATCTCCAAGAATTAACTTCCCTATTCACAGCATACGGAGTTGAGAGTTATATTTCTAATCCTTATATTTAGTTGGTTCAAAAGTTACTTCCTTTGTTCCTCGAAGCTTTCACTGTTGCTGTATTTGCTGAAGAGTTCAGCTATATCTAATGTCTAACATTTTACATGAATTTCGGGCTATCGAAAGGATTGCAAATGATTTTTTAATGTATTAATGCTTTATAATTTAAGATTCATAAAATTCAAATCCTATAATAAATACTGCACATAATACTGTTGTTATTATTTGTTGTGGCTTATCCCATCTGATTGGCAATAACATCAGATCAGGTCTCTGAAATCAGAGCAAGCCCGCGAAACTCATCGTGGCAAGAAGCCAAGATTGCACCTGACGTTAGCAAGAGCCTGGGACACCATATAGAGGACAAAACGACTTTGTCCAGTTCTGCCCCCAATTTTGATGGAAAGTACCCCGGGGGGAGGAAGATGTCTGAGGGATATCCACCCCTCTTTTCGCACCAGCAACCTCTCGAGAGGACTTTCTACTCGCCGGATATTTAGAGTGCCTTCATGCTCCAGTCACCCATGCCATGCCTTCTCCGAGATTCGAACCTGGATAATTCGATACGGCAGTCAACGTCGCTAACCACTATTCCGGGTGGGGGGCGCACGTAACACATTTTGGTTTTTCTATTCCAATATCAATTAAATTAATTGTCAGATTTTAGGCAATTTTTTGAGTGTTCGACTTTTAAGGGTTATAGATCTCGTAAAATTTAAATTAAACTTAATTTCCGTGAAATATTTTTAAATTTCCCCTCCATTTATTTTGCCATTTTCATATTTTTCTCGTTATAGCCCAAGACAGCTATTAGTCTCGAAACATGATTTTGAGTTTTTTTTTCGCTATAAAACATTGCTCCACTTTTCATTCGAGTCTGTTGCCATTCGGAAAAACATAAGATACTGTTCTTTCATACTTAAGCAGTCTGTTATTAATCAACAAACTAAACAATTTAAAACAATAAATGCAGTTCTTAAAAATATTATTTTTTATCCAGATTGATATAAATAAAAAGGCAATTAATTCATGATATATCTAATTAAAAACATGAAATATTTCTATAGAATTACATTATATATTCTGACTTTTTTTTAAATATATGAAAAATAGATAACATCCCCATGTTAGCTTAAATGGATATTCATCTAATACCCTATGAAATGTTTCGCTATTCCACCTCAGCTATCTCTATCGATAATCTCTACTGATAAAAGAATACTAAATTTTAAAAGAATCCCTTAGGGCGATCGTTAAAATCTAAACACTTTCAGATTTTCTTTCTTTCTTTTTTTTTTTTTTTGTAATATCTTAAAGTAATCTTGTTTAATTTCCAGAGAATATATATATACGCATACTACCTCTATGAATCACTACCCTTATGAATGTGAATTGACAACTGCTCATTATCTCCCCAGCCAAACCTCCAATAGAGAAGCTTTTAATAGATTTATTAATACACATAAGCCTGCAATATCCAAAATTTTTCAAATTGTCAGCATCACTAGGGCGATGGGTCAGGGTATCTGCTCTCCTCCTGAATCCACCAATCGCCTCTCAGTTCGTCATTAATACACCAATAAATGTTTTACCATCAGTTCCCAGTAGTGCACCAATCCATCAGTGTCTCAGTTCTATCAGCGTCCATCAGTGTCTCAGCTCATTCTTCCTTCAAGTATTAGCACTTGCACATGTAACAATGTATCTGCATTCATTATAACATTTGTTTTTGTAATTTATACGAAAAGCGCAAATTCTATAATACTCAAATTATCTTTGCAATAGCATCTGCGCATTAGTATATATCCATGTAATTAAATCTGTAATGCAACGTCTTCTGTTTTTGTATTCTGAATACCTTTGTATACATATTCGCTCTTATATACATTTTTAGTGTTGTGTACTATTTCTAAAGTTGCATCATGTTTCATGTATTTTAATGTATTTCATGTCTCTTGATTTTATCAGTGTATTCCGTGTCTCATGTATTGTATCAATGCATGCATGTATTTTGTCAGTATTATCAGTATCATGCTAGACCTTATGTTTATGTGATTAATGTGTTTTAGTTTTTTTATTTATTTATTTATTTTTTTTAATTTTTAAGACCCTTTCCCTTTATGTCTTGCACTTGACTATTTATGACATGCTAATGTATCCTGAACTGCAATGTAACACAATAACTCATCTGCACTTGTTGCACTGTAAATACTTTTATTAATTTCAATAAAGTTGCTGTTTCTATACAGGGGAAGGCGTGGGACATATGCCTATTTATCACTGTTAAACACCAGGCGTCCCCGTCTTCCGTCACCTGTCACCTGTATACGCATACGAATGCAAAGTAATATTTATTTCAAACTGTAATATTTTTGTCCTTTTTTTATTCTAGAGATGACGTGGTTATCAATTACTTTCGCAATGGCTGGTAAGTTCTTTAACTCTGCTTCGTTTGACATCGTGTTTATCCTCACTGCTGAAGTCCTTCCCACTGTGACCCGAAACGTCGGTGTAGGATCCAGTTCAACCTGTGCTCGAATAGGAGCTTTGGTCGCCCCTTTCATTCGGCAGTTGGTAAGTCTTAACTCTCCTTTAAAAAATACTAAAGGAATGTGAAGTTCGCACTCTGGCAACTTTTCTACTTAGTGAAAGTCAGGACTTTCTCCCGTAATATTGTTCATATCTGTAAATATGCTTATGTGTATTTAGCAGCGAAGAACCAAATCAAGCAGCAACTGCCAGAACCTGCACTTGGGTGGGTGAGCACCCACGTGACCAGGGACTTATTTTCCGATTCGCTTCATATACACATTTCTGAAATTAGACTCCTATGGATTCTTTGGATCACGTGACAATTGGTCACTCCCCTTCTCCATCTCCAATGTTGTACCACCCACGTGACCAAGGACTTATTTTCTGATTCGCTTCATATGCAAATTTCTGAAATTAGACTCCTATGGATTCTTTGGATCACGTGATAATTGGTCACTTCCCTTCTCCATCTCCAATGTGGTACTCCGGGGTCACAGCTCCAGTATTCATTTCACCTGCTACGTCTATGGCAACTAAATCATGACACCCGGAACAAAACATGCGAAACGCATGTTACTTGCGGCATAAGTGGAACTAGGAATTGAAGTTCGCATGAACAGTGCATTTGTTTTTCCCAGCCATAGAAGAAAGACAATTCATAAAAAAGATTATTTTATTCGTATTTGATCAATTGTTTGCAGAGAACAACGGCAGCTAGCACAGGAAAATTTCGAGACTTTAATCTCTTACAGCGTATTAGTTCTGAGAATGAAATTAAATGACATTTCCTAAAACTGCCTGAATATACAGTATGTAAAATTTCGAAACGAAAAAAGTGTTAGTTTCGGATTTATAGATATAGATACCTGAAACTATGACAACGATCCATTTGATTCCCCTATTATCAATACGGAACCAAAAGCTTACAGGAAACCATAGAATGAATAGCTGTTCCGTCTGAAAGACTTTCATATTTTCCTGCTCATTTAGCGGCATTTATTTTAAAAAAGTAATAAAAATAATATTACAGAAGCAAAACTAGTATCATTAAGATTATAAGCCACTTTTGTGACTGCTACTTACGTCATTTTACCTACATTAATAGGTAAAAATTTAGGAATGAAAATGAGAATTGTACTGCTCTCAGATCGTCGCTGTTTATAATAATATAGTTATTCGAGTCTGAAGCTTCTGGCAAAGAGATTTATTCTTGAGAATCTGCTGAAGCCACTCACGAGCATTGTTTGTTGTATAAGGCCAAAACATGTGGATCTTTGGTTATTTGACATTGAAACAAGTAGTGATCCAATGTACCTGGTAAGCCACAAATGCAACTGTCTGTATTATGTAGCCCAAAACGAAGTAAATAGGCCCCAATTGGTCCATGAGCTGTCAGAAGATAAGTCACTGCACTATTATTTGATATTTACACTCACTGCACTATTATTTTTAGTCACTGCACTGAGTCACTATTATTATTTAGTCACTGCACTATTATTTGATTACTAGATAATTGCCATAGGAATAAGATAATGTACTAGGAGATGCAAAAAAATTCTTCACTAATTAGTTCCTTAAAAAGGTGTTTAATTTAATTCGATGTGATTAGATATACAAATGTATTGTTGTATGAAGTACAATGTACAATGCCCGATGTGCAATGAATGTTTGTATGATGTATGTTCGAAATAGATATGTTATATTAATTTGCCATAGTCCAACTTTTGTTAATCGATTAATTTCTTTGTAATAATTGTATACCGTGTGTTTGTAATTGTATATTCAGTACGTAAGTCTAAAATTAATGTAAAGTTTCTATGTAAATATCTTGTTAGGTTGGCATCTGATGCGGGTCAACCGAACGCCCAGCGGGTACAGTAGGGCGGCGGAGCAATACTTGTAAATGTTACTGACAAAGTTCTGGTGCTCCTTCTACTTTTCCCTGTCCCTGCACTATTATTTGTAGAGTAACTGCACTATTTGTAGAGTAATTAATTTCTCCTAAAAGCTTACAGAAGAAAAATGATTTTATCATACATAATCTGTGATTCGGGGGGTGGGAGAGAATAACAAAGTTAAAAAATGAAAAGTTTAAGTAGCCGAAGTATTCTTGAAATGGCTATTAACATGTGGCGACGTTGTTTGCGATATTGAAACGCTATTTGCCAAAATCTTCGAGATGTGATTTTCATTTTGCACTAGTAGCAGCAATAAAAGAGTTCGGAATTAAAAAAAAAAAAAAAAAAAAAGCATTAGAATTTCCTTTTAACAAGGGAACTCTTTATCATCTTTTTTTACTCCTGTTCTCTCATTCATTAATTTATAGAGTCTCGTATGCTTTGGTAACGTAAACTCACGAGCTGTAGGAAGACTGTAGGGGAATTATTCTCGTGTATTTAACCAGTAGGCAGACAAAGTCAGAAGAAGATTCTAAATAGCCCTTTTATTCATCACAAAGAACTAAAAATCGCCACTTGGGTTTGAAGTGTTGGGTCACCAACACTTCTGGCTTAACCTAAACAAGTAATACAGAACTTAAAATAAAATATAGTTAGACTAGCCTAGCAGATCACAGAGTAAAGTAAAAGCGCCTCTGGCTCGTAAAAGCCGCCGAGACAAGCCGAATGGCTAGAAGCACTCAATGCCACAGAATCGAATCAAATCGTTAATAAATTACTGTAGCAACGTGGCCCTAAACAGGCATAACACGCTCTAAAATCAACTTGGCGGAAAGCTTCGCTTAAATAGCACTGCTTTCTCCTTAATCTGAATAAACGCGAGCTATCTAATTTACATTCTGCCATGGAAAGCGTGAGTGAAAAGAAGAGCGGCAGTTTAAATTGCTTTAACTCAAATGTAACTATTAGTCAAAATAAATAAATAAATCCTTACAAATTTATTTAAAAAAATACCTCTAAAGTACAGTGTTAATACACTCGTCCTTAGTCAGTGAATCTATAAACACTATCACTCCCCTTTGTGATAAACAATGCAATCTAAAGGATATTAAACGAGATTTCTAGATTGCATGGGGGGAGGAGAGGATACTACATGTGTTAGGTACTCATAAACACGAGAGGAAGTATAAACAATGTGCGCAGTTGCTAAGTCACTTGGCGTCGGGTAATCAAATCACTAAGCGCTGGTTGTTAGTAAAAACTGCAGCTGAAGAAGGACACCAAATGCATTTGCTGAAAGAGCTTCTGTTCAAATAAAATCTGCATTAGTCAATACTGTTTTTCTTGTAGATATGGTTGTTATCATATAGCATACGCAAACATTCTATTAATGATGCAGTAAACTCTCTCATTGTGATTATCCTTTTAAAAGAGCTATCTCTAAAACTGACGTAGTTTTTTTCAGAACATAACGCATCTTTTAATATTTCGAATGCGTTATTAACATCTGCCAACCAAAAGAACTTCAGTTTCTTTTGTTTAAGATTCACACTTTAAAACAGCACTTTAAGGCAATCTTTGTCCCAAACATGCGTCAAATCCATGTTAACGCATTTGAAAAATCGTTACCATGGCTTACCACGCAGTGGGGAAAAAAGATTGAATAGTCCAATTTGCTAAAGTACCTTAATTTCCTTTATTCTGTAAGGTTTATTTTAATTTTATTAACAGTTATTTTTAATTTTGAAACCCTTTCCTTTAAATTCTTGTTTAACTCTCCAACCAGAATAAGTTTTTTAGTTTCGTGTTGCATGTAAAGGAGTTATAAAAAGTATTTAAGGAATGTTCAGCTTACTTCAGTAGAAGACTTAGGAATCCTTAGTGGCGGGTGTTTGCCGTCTGGCTACTTCGTTATTGTTGGAACTTTTCATAATATAGAGGGCGCTGTTGCGCCGAAAGAATTCTGTGTGTTTACATTATGTAACTGTAGGTTCGTCGTTGCGATGTGCCTGTATTACTCTGATATATTTGGGTTTCATAATATACCCAAAGATCGTCAGTATTTTTGTTACCAATCAGACCAATTTCGATGAGCAATGTCGAAAAAACTAGCGTCGAACAAGAATCGTCCAGTGTTATTCGCGCCTTTCGACTTCGCTTCGTATCGTAACGCTTCGTAATAGTACTACCACTACGCTCAGCGTATTGCCGTCTGTGGTATCCCGGCTAATTTAATAGTCCCCTCGTTTGGTAACTGTGTCTAGCTTCGGCAAGTCGGTTAGTTTAGTTTCGATTCGTTTCTTATTTTCTTATCTTGATTTAAAGCCCAGTGGAGGCTTTCCTGTAAGCCCGAGAAGGGGGCCATCTGTTATTATTTCTTTGAGTGAATAAAAGTGTATTTTAACTCTTATCTGAACTTTGTCGTTAAATACTTGAACTTACAGTCGCTACACAATTCAATAGGTTGCTCTACGTTCAACGTAGACGAAGTAGGTAGGAATATTATAATTCAGCTAAGACGACGCACTTGCAATCGAAAATTATCGGAGTGTCGCTAATATCATGAAATATCTATTTTTAAAGTAATATATTTTAATTGAGGTTCCGCAATTTTTGTGAAATGTTTTATGAATTTTCATAATAGAATAGTCCTAAGAAAGAGGCTCTGTTGCGAGTGGAGGAGTATTTTCTTTCCGCTATAATTTTAGAGCTGTTATATTTATGCCCTTTTGCGAAACTGCCTATTCTAAATCCGAAGAAATTTTTCCCGCGAATTTATTTCTTCAAGCGTTAACCTTTATTCCCGCTTGTTGCAACAAAGTAAAATCTTCCTCTATATAGTTTTTAATATGCTTCTCAATCGCATTTCTTGTTACAATTATACCGCCTAAATGCATAAATGTAGATTTTCTCAAATCTGGCCTTAATATAATATTCATGAAAACATGACAGGAACTCTACATAATCGAAATGGTAATCTCGGAATCACATTAATTCCCAATTTTGTGATAAACGCTTTTTTTATAATATTCTCGGACACTGCTATCTGATAGTAACAAAGCTAAGATCTAATTGGCCATATATTTGGTAGAATAAATTTTTATTATCATCTCCGCTGTAATTGGTAAAATAAGTCTGCTATAATAAGTTTTCTATAACTCATCCTGATTTCGATCTGTGTGGGAGGAAGTCAATTGTCTCTCTTTCAACGTAATATAGCATTATTGGCATACAGTTTATTCATACGAATTATTTTCGTATTTTTCTAACATATCCTGTATTTGCTTCTACATTACTTCCTCTTTATCCTACTCATAAGATCAACCCTGCATGGATTTATTTCTATTCAGTTCCTTTCAGTTCTTCTAGAAAAATACATATTAAATGAAAAATTTTTAAATCAAAATGACATCGAGGGCAAATTTGCTCACTTGCACCATTGTAATTGCTATTAACTTTAAAAAATTCCCTTTTTGTTTCACAACCTGCTCTAACTGTCTGTATCACTGATATTATTTAACCTAACACAAATTGCTTGTAAAATTAGAATTTGCAAGCATCTTGAATAGTACGATTCGTGTAATTATTAATGAAAAAATATAAAACAAAATAAATAGCTTCTTTCAAAATAAAAGTTAACAATATCTTTTGAAATGTACCAAAAGATAATCAGGTCTTCGATAGCACTGATAAATTGCTGAAATTTCTATTCCAGGGAGATGTAACGCATCCAGTTGTTCCTCTTGCTGTTCCTGGAGCTTTATCTGTCGTCAGTGGCTTTCTGCTGCTTTTGCTTCCAGAAACGAAAGGGGTGAAGTTACCTGATACTTTGGAAGAAGGCGAAAGATTCTCAACGTAAGACTTACTCCCTTCTTTGAATACAAAATACCTTTCTATCAACACACATAGTATACACATAGTACACACATGAAAATATACGTATATTTTTTTGTATGCAAAAGGTTATTTATTAGATTAAATCCCAAATATCAGCATGTATTTTCGGAATCATGCTGCCTGGAAATTACGTGAATGACAACATTTTTAGAAGTTGTCGTTTACTTCCAATTAGTTCTACTTGAGGCTTTCATTTTCATTTTACCTGAGTCTGCATTTGGACGCGGTCAACTTTATGTTGCCTGTTCAAGAATCTGCCCGACGGACGTTAAATAAAATAATGGATGACTCTACCAAGGCGAGCTTCCCCATGCTCGCCCGCTCTACCCGAGAAATGTTGTGTCCACGCGATTTTGCCCTGTGAATTCCCCTTTTATTCTTCACTCCCCCTTGCTTTTGAGCTCTCGCGGTGGGTCTTTCCGCCATGTACCGCCAAATGGTTTCTTCATTACCTCTATTTACGCAATTAAGCACGTGAAGGGGGCCCCCCGAGGGCCGTCCGCCCAGGGTCTTCGCCGCCTGCCCTGCGTCCTTCAGTTGAATTAAGCGGGCCACGTTGCTCAATCATTGTCATAGCAATTTCTCACTAGAACCTCTTCGTATGACCACTGAGCTTTCTAGTTACTTAATAAACAAAAGTATGTAATTAATTATTAAATGTCTGGCGAAATAAGTTTTAATAAAAGCTTCTCGAGTTCATGAATTTTAAGAAACATTTCAATAAATCCTGTCATTTTAATTTAAGTTAAATTAAGTTAATTTACGCAATTCTAGAAATCCTTAGTTCTAGCTGAGCTATCAACTGAAAGACATCTGCCAATGCAAAATTATAATTTTATGACAGGGTCTCATATACCATAAATGACAAGATAAAACATAACTTTCGATGTAATGTTACCGTTGGTTCTATGCTTAGATCCCATTCAGCTTTGGTTTTAAGCTTCCATTAGTTATCTGTGTTGTGATAGCTTAAAAAAAAGACATACAAACACACACATGTAATGTGAATATAGAATTGTGTAGTGCTCAGCTCACATTTCGCCGAGCAAAGAGCGTGAAAAAGAATTAAATGCATCTTTCTCAAAGCAACAATATCGCGGATTTATGATTTTATAACGTGGAGGTAATGATATATTCTGACTTTCTTTCTCTCTCTCTCTCTCTCTCTCTTTTTTTTTTTTTTTTGTGCGCTTCACTTTCAGATGGTACAGTCCACGTTGCCGATAAAGCACGACATCTGGTTTTTTTCTTGTCGTCTACATCTGTTTTCAATATGGGCGCTCACTTGCAGATCTACTGCCCTTGCTTGTTAGCATTACTCGTCGGTGAAATTCCCGATTATTTAACAGATCTTGCCAATGACTCGTGGAATTTTCTTTCTGGTTCCAGAACCGTTAGTCTTGTTCTGCCCGTTTCGACTAACATATGTTCTCCAGCAAGTGGAAGATGAGAGGCCCAGACTTCCCGGTCATTCTTGTCTCCCATGATCCGCCCACCTTTTTCATGAAACAAGAATTTTCTGTAGCGGAATATGTGTCAGGCAGACCTGTCTTGTTGAGATCAGGTATTTGGGATATCCTTTTATCCGGAGCAGGTCACAAAAGTTTGTGATGTCACGATAACTATCACCATTAACACTGCATTTCTAACGACATCTTCGGCCACAAATCCTCTCTCCTAACCACAGCAAACGTTGATTCTTAGAGGGTACATTTGGCACTCCTGGCTTATCCTAGAATTTTCTTTACTCAAAATGTTGGAGTTTTGTCTGTTGGCAAATTTAAAAGATGAAACTGACCTTCCTCACTGAAGATTATTCTTTCTGAAAATTATCGTCTACATCATAAATTATTACTATCATAAATCATAAATTATTACCATATTATTTACATCATAAATTATTCTACATCCTGTTTTCTTCAAAACCGGCTCTAAAGATTTTTTTAATGGTCTGCCGATTTTAGATATTGCGCCAACTGAATTTTTAAAGTACGAAGGTCTTTTGTCAGTATTCGTTGAATCGAGGATATTGATATTCCCGATTGTTAGCAACGATGATTACGAGAGTTCATATTCACACTATGCTTCACAACTGCAATCTTGTGAAGTTTCTTTCATTTGACATGTTCGTTTGTTTGTTTCATTCAATGCAACGTTTTGTTTCTTTGTAATGTTTTGTTTGCAATGTTCAATTGTTTCATTTGCAATGTTTTGTGTTCATTTGCAAAGTTTTGTTTCATTCGACTCATACAATTTCCTCCATTCGGTGTAGAAAAGCACACGGATCACATCAAAAATCCAAACCATTACGTAATATATCAATTTTCCAAGTTTAAAAAATATTCATATGAAATTTTGATACGTTTATTAAAATAAACCAGTTAATATTTCTGGAAATGATCACAACTATTATAGCTCACAAAGCTTTTACTTATGTTTTTGATAAGCGTGTTTTAATAATGAGAAAAAGATCATTAATAAAGGGATTTTTATTGGCTTCATGGTTGAAAGAATAAATTTCTAAGATGTTTCAAAAGCTTTTGAATTATTAAAAAGGCTTTTAAATTAAACTTTTTTAATTAAAAGTTCTGTAAGTAAAAAAGGCTGTTTTTTATTGTCAAAATTATTCCTAAAAATACAAGCTACGACCTATATTTTGCATTATTAAAAGTATCTTATGGCTTTCGAGTTTTTTAGGATTATATAGTCTTTTTAATAATATTTTAAAATTAAATGCTGTTATTTTCTATTTAATGGTTTGGGGTAACATAGAACATATTTGTTTACAGATGTGATAAATATATTCTTCCAGAAAAATAATAATTAACAAAATAATTTAAACAAAACGAATAATATTTTTAGGAACATATTCTTTGAAATCATTAGATGGTTCTTAAAATTCACTTTAAGCAATGAACAGAATCAGACCCATTTTATTGTAAAAACGTAAAATGTTTGCAAAGCAACTTCAGTTGAGAGTACATTTCCATGCAAGATATTCCATCGCGTGAAATGTAAATATTCTCAAAAATCTTAGGTAGATGTAAAATTTAAAACCAAAGAAAATGTAACCTGAAAAAAAGCAAACTGTAATATATTGGATTGGTTCTTTTAAGGTAGTGTTAGTCATTAAATATAATAAAAACTTATGGCATAAATCATGAAAATTAATTTTATTTAAATAATATATTTTAAAAAACTCTGGGCTATGATTACATGTCCTTTTTTTTCCCCTTGCAGAAAGGTGAAATTGAAAAGAATGGTTTTCAGAGACTCTAACAATGAAATCAATTCTGACGAGCAGCAAAAAATGCTTTATCAAAAACCTAACCACGCAGACGATGGAACAGAAATTTTGAATCTGGCAGGCTAATAGCCTGAATGGAAGATGCAAGAATACTGGTATACTATGTTATTCAAAATGATTGACATTACTGCAGATGAGCATGATTCAGTAACTGTTTACCTTGTGTTAATTTGGTAGAGTACTTTAAATGAAGAAGGATAAAATGAAAAATAAGACTTTTAGGAATATCTAGAGGAAAAGCAACTTCACAGAAGAAGGCAAGTGTTCTGAAATTTCAATAGGTAATTCCAGTTAACAGAAGTTTGACTCACAATCCCATTTAGCATTACTATCAATTGCTAAGAACATTCCTTTTGATAATTAGGCAATATTATGTGAAAAAATGTATATGTAAAGGCAACATAACCACGCGACAAGTGCTATACGATTTGCATAATAAGGGATGTCTTAGCGTTTTATAGTTGGATTCAGTGAATTTCAGCGGATCTTCCGTCAGTTTGCTCCCCATGGAGGTATATTAAGGAAGCTTTGTTCGAGCTACAAATGCTCAAAAACACACGATCTCAATGAAATGCATCGTTATTGCTATGAATCGGTAACTTAGAATATATTGGAGCAAGGTGACATTAACTGAGTTTTGTCATGACATTGTTCATATAAGACTGATCACTTCTAATTAAACCTTAAACACTTTTTCTTTTATTTTATATATGCAGTTGTGTGTTTAACACAGAATTATTCGAATAGACAGAAATTCCAGCTAAAAAGCATTTTAACTCTTTCCAAATTGGTCTGCTTGCTGGTTTTGCATCTTTATTACTTTGGCTTGGAGCATTTGTGTAGAAATAAACGATCAATTTAAAAAGACTTAGAGAAAGATATTAGAACTGTGACAGATTTTAGATGGAATCATTAAAAAAAAAAGAAATCAAAAGTTTTTTTTTGTGAAATAAACGTTTTTATGTTCTTCGGTAGTTATTTAATTTTCATTTTTGAATTTCAAGTTAAAAATTCATTAATATAATAATTTAAAACCAAAACGTAGAGATCAAATTGTGTATTAATATATTATGATTCTTTGCACTTTTTAAAAATATTGTTCCGTGAACGTTGCTGTTGCTGTAATTGCGATTACCAGTCTGTGTATAATTATTGGCCCAGCAAGTCCAGTTATACATTTATTTAAAATAATGAGAAAATGATAGCATAAACAAAGTGCTTGAATACATGCGCTAACAATTTAAAATACATAAATATTACAACTTCTAAATTAATACATTTTGAATGATTAAATAATATTTCAAACACCTTCCACTGCAGCATACACATTCTTGAACACAATTGCTAGTAAAATTTAATAAATGCAACAAACTTTGAGAAAATGATGGAAATAAATATTTTTCATACTTTTGTATCTGTTATTTTTACTTAGATATAGAAACATAAGATCTTCTGAAGCAAGAAATCTAAGAAATAAATTATACCCTGGACAGAACTCGAAGCACAGATTTTACGATTGCTAACTGGGCATGATACCACCCACGAGGGATACCACCACTATGACAGCACTCACGAGGATACCACCATTATGACAGCACCTACGAGGCAATATGATAATTTCTTATACATATTAAAGTGCGAACAAGTCGTAGTATCATTCATCAAGCGGAGTCGTAGAAATAACCGTTCCCCCGTTAACATTTCGACACCCTTTTGCGGTGGTACTTGACATGGGCCGAATGATGAATGCATATAAGCCCTTTGAAGCCAGAAATAAAGAAATAAACTATCCCCTGGCTGAACTCGAAGCACTAGATTGTACGCTTGCTAACTTGGGCATGATACACCACTATGACAGAACTACGAGGCAATATGATAATTTCTTATACATATTAAAGTGCGAACAAGTCGTAGTATCATTCATCAAGCTGAGTATATAAATAATGGTTGCCAGGTTAACCATTTGCCACCTTTCCGCGGTGGTACTTGAAAATGGGGAAGAACGATGAATGAATATAAGACCTTCTGAAGCAAGAAATCTAAGAAATAAACTATACCCTGGACTGAACTCGAAGCACAGATTTTACGATTGCTAACTGGGCATGATACCACCTACACTACGACAGCACCCACGAGGCAATATGATAATTTCTTATACATATTAAAGTGCGAACAAGTCGTAGTATCATTCATCAAGCGGAGTATATAAATAATGGTTACCAGGGTTAACCATTTGGTTGACATTTTCCACCTTTCTGAGATGGTACTTGTAAATGGGATAGAATGATGCTCCCTTATTGACTTAATGCATAGAATTTTAGCATAATTTTTGTACAAATTTCTAGAAAAACAAACTGCATCGCTAGTGATAATTACATTTATAAAGCGTCAATGGAATCTAACACGTATTATTGATTACGGTAGGATTTTAAGAAATTGCCTATAATTCCACATGAAATTCAAATGAATCCGTATAGATTATACAATAGCCTACTAAAGCCATTTTGCAAATAGTCTCTGTCATTGATTTTTATAGATGTGTTTGTAGAACCAAGCAATTGAAATACTGCAATAATCGCACAATGAAGGTACCTGTTGTGGTATCCGGCATGAGTATTTCATAAATCTGTAGAATGATGGATGTTTTATCACAACCACTAAGATATCTGAGATGTGCTTGTTTATTGCATGGCATAAGACATTCTTTAATTCTGATAATAAGATCCCGGTATAAATCAAAAGTAGTTTAATGTAATATGAGCAGGAATGTATAACAAAATTCCTATACTTAAAGAAGAAGAAATACTATAAACTATTTATATATTTTCTCAGAAAGATGAGCGATTCAAGTAAAATAATTAAGTTTCGTGAAACCTTCTGCAGATTTAACTGAGTGCATTTCCTCGTAGAAAGGTTTAAGATCTTCCCACAGCTATTATAGCGAAACTCATGCTGGTAAAATCTGCACTGGAAATGTTATCTGAAGTAGAAATTATTCTCGTCTCATATTAAGTACGATGGAACGAATTTGGCCTATCCAGCGGTTCTCAACCTTTTAATTAACGCGTGGCATCTAAACAAAAATTCAAAAACTTTATAACCACCTACATTTTACAACGATTATTTTTCAATTTCTCAATAGAAATATTATAAAATATACATTTTGCCATTTTCACAGCCTATTGGCTATTTGTATTAAATATGCACACATAAAAACTTGTGAGTCCATTGGTTTCCCTTTTAATTCTTAAAATTTCAGTTATACTACTTACGTCAACTTTAGTGTGCCTTTCGGCTGTTTAGGCTCACCTTTTGTCTGTCCGTCTATTCCGTTCGCTTTCCCGTAATTGGATCCCTTTTACTTTGTCTGTCTCTATTTTTCCCTATCACCTGGACGAACATCCGGTCCTGCAATCGGTATGGACCCCAATAGCACTAAAAAGTTAATCACCTTCTTGAAATGCCTTTAAATTCTTTTTTTCGGTTCAGCCAAAAGTTAATAAGTGGGTTATTTTTGAAATTTTCAATTAGAGTTCAATCACAGGAAATTTTTATTAATTATTCTTTTTCTTCACGAGATTTTTGAATTGAATAACTGAAAACTGTTTCTTTGCGTACACCTACTTTTCTCTTGCGTATCACCGGCTGAGAATCGCTGGGCTATGCGTTTAAAAAATAAAATTAATTTGAAGAATAACTTTAAAAGAAGTCTAAGAGAAAATGTTGTCATTACATTTTAGCTGCTTGAGCGCTTGCTGTGCTTGGAAATCTCAGTTGATTTGTATCACTGTTTTTATTCGACACGAAGTTTGGAGTATAAAAGTATTACCCAAATCTTTTAATAATTATCTTAAAGTACTAGGAAAGTGTGACTAGTATGAAGAAAAATATATTGTTTTCAGGAAAACAAAGATTTGCTGTAATTTGTAGAACATATAACGGAATTTTTTTTTTTTTTTAGTTTTATGTGAAAAGAATAAATGTATTTATTTCTTTATAAATTAAAGGTTTCCTTGGGTTCCATTAGGTAATTCATCAAATTATTTTTCAAAAATCTGTAATCAAATATCCTTAAACTAAATTTCGATCTAAAGCAGCAACAGAGTGCAAAAATTCAAAATGTAAAATTCTTATAGAAAATTCACAAAGAAGCATAAATAAATAACATTAAGGAATATATACATACAAAATTAATTTCAGAATTTCAGCTGTTTTCTCAGAATTGGCATTGTATAACAGAAAATCTTAAGAATTTTAAATGCAAACAAATATTTTATTACAGTTTAGTTTTTAACTACCGAAAAACGCTACCGAAATGTCTTTTAACTACCGAAAAACGCTCTTTAAAAAATTGGGTTTGGTACTATTGCATTATCAAATAATGGGGTATTTGAATTCAGGAAATTTAAATGTATGCAAAATAATCATGATTTAGAAATGTCTTAGATATTTATTACATTTAATTGCGACTGATTGCTTAATTTGTCCCTTATGATATAAACTGCTCATACATTATCATGTAAAACTGTCTACGCGCATTTTCATGCAAACTAAGAAGATATATTTATAAGGTATTTCTCCCACCTTCTTGGTGTGGCCATGCCTTCGTGATGTGGTGATCTGCACGCTGGGGCGTATTCCAGAGGTTCGTGATTGGATTTCTGGCGGCGAAGGCGTTGCTAATTTTTCATCTTACCTGCTTCCAAAAAATACCCAATGTCTCGGCATATTTAAATATAATGTGCTAGAATTTAGAATAGAGGAGAAAACGTAAGCACGGGAACAAACCAAAAGCCATTCATAACAAAGGAAAGAAAACCTCTGTCATTAATGTTCCGAGCAACTAATTCAGTAAAATATTTTCAAACTCTTCCTAATTTAGTTCCAATTTTGCAGTTCAAATTTTATGATTAAAAATTTTAGGATTCCTTATGTAATAAGTGCTAACATTTTCAGTACCGCCATACGGTTGTTTCGAATAAAAATTACATTTTATTTACACTTATAGTTTTTTTAAA